TGTGGGATCTTCCCAGACCGGGGCACGAACCCATGTCCCCTGCATTGGCAGGGGGACTCTCAACCACTGTGCCACCAGGGAAGCCCCACCCTGACTTTTGAGAAGCGAGAGGGGGTGGAGGGTTTGAGGGCACACAGGGAGCCCCTCTGGCTGTCTGGGTGAGGAGCACGGCTGGGAAGGTGGAATCACGGGACTTGAGTGTCAGATTGGGGGTGACGAGAGAGGGGCGAGGCAGACGTCAAAGGATGTGCTTTCTGTGGGGATGGATGGAGTCCCATTTCCTGAGATGGGAAGATCAAGAAGCAACAGAGTTGGGGAGAAAATCAAGAGTTTGGTTTGGGACATCTTAAAATGGGGTTATGGGAGTTGGAGAAATAGGATGAAAACAGAGGGCTGGGCAGGAGACAGATAAAGACCTGAGCAGAAGCCTTGGGACTGGGAGAGAGGGCCTGGGGGGAAGTGGAGAGAGAAGGGGACCTGGGTGGAAAGGCCCGTAACTGAGTAGTAGACAGACGTTGGGCAGAGGAGGGTAAGCCAGCCCTGTGTGTGAGTGTGTGTTTGGACATCTGTGTGAGCACATGAGAGACTGCTATGTGTGTGTGTGAGTGTGGATGTTTGGGCGTATGTGTGAGTGCATACATGAGCCTGTGTGTGTGTGTGTGTGTGTGTGTGTGTGTGTGTGTGTGTGTGTGTGTGTGTGTGTGTACACGGCTTTGGGGCAAAGAGACTGGGACTGTGATCTTCAGGGCTCACCTCTCATGCAAAACTCTGAAGTAAAATCACAAATTTCAAACAATGTCAAAAACGAAGGCCCAGCAAGTCCCCTCCAGACCCTCTCCTGCCCAAGAGGAAACCTGCTCTTCCTGGGGTTTTTGCCTGGTTTCCTCGCATGCACCTAAAAAGCCTGGTCCCCCATCAAAAGGGAAGGGCCGGGCAGGTGCCTCCCCCTTGGGGCTGCTGTAGGGGGCTGGGCTCTCCAGGTGTGGTTTGGGGTGGCAGACACTGCCCTGTCCCCTGCCCCCCGCCAGCCTTCACGGGTCCCGGGGCCTCCCTGCAGGGCATGACCCTGGCCAAGGATATCCGAGACCAGGAGCGGGGTGGACGCACCTATGTGGGCATAGTGGACGGGGAGGACGAGAAGGCCTCGCCGCAGTTGATGGAGATCATGAACCACGTGCTGGGCCGGCGGAAGGAGCTGAAAGCCGCCATGCCTGACGCGGTGGTGGAGCCGGCACTCAAGGCCGCCCTCAAGTTGTACCAGTGAGTGCCCGGCTGCCTCTGGTCTCCTCTTGACCCTGGGGGACTTCCTGGGGGAGGATTCCCCAGGCGAGGGCCCAGGACCCCCCTTGTCTATGCCGCACGTTTGTCCTGCAGTGTGTCTGACTCAGGGGGAACCGTGGTGGTCAGAGAAGTCGCCACATGGCCGCTCACACAGGACCTGCTGAGTCACGAGGTGAGAGGGTCTGGAGGCCGCCCCCAGACCCAACTCCCATCACCCCCCTGCCCGCCGCCTGCCCACTCTCCCCCAAGTAGGAGCGGCGCCAGGGGCCTGGGGCGGCTGTGGAGGAGGGGGTGGCGTGCGAGGGAAGGTGACCTCGTGTGCCTGCCGCTCCCCCAGCCCAGCACCGAGGGCGCCCTCAGGCTCTCACCCCGCGTCCTTCTCTCCCGCCTCCAGGAATGTTACATCTTGGACCAGGGGGGTCTGAAGATCTACGTGTGGAAGGGGAAGAATGCCAGTGCCCAGGAGAAGAGGGAAGCCGTGGGCCAGGCACTGGTGGGCCTAGGCGTCAGGGAGAACGTGGAGGAGAAGGCAGAGAAGCCGACTCCAGCAGGGAGAGGGCAGCGGGGTCCGGGCCAGGCACAGCCCCAGGCAGAGGCCAGGGAAGGCTCCGAGCCTGATTTAGCTCCAGGGGGCGTGGATATCCACTCTGCAGCCATCTTGGTGGGTCTCTGCACGCTGCATAGCCAACCACCCGGCAACCTGGGGGCCTCTGCAGAATGCGGGCTCCCACCTCCAGCTTGGCTGGGACAAGGGAGGGAGAAATGGAGTCTGGCCTTCCTACAGGTGGGGGTTGGGTCAGCATGGGGCTGAGGCCAAGTCAGAGTTTGGGGTCCCTGTAGGAGTTAGAGTCAGTAATTCTAACTGGCTTGGGGTCAGTGTTGGATTGGGGGTGGGGTTCAAGGTTGGAGATGGAGGCTGGGATCAGGTTTGGGTCAGATTTGACCTTGGGGTTGGGGTCAGAAGTGGGTTTTGAGGTTAGTAGTGGATTCAGGGTTGAGGTCAGAGCTGGGTTGGAGGTGGTGTCGAGTTTGCAGTCTGGTTTGGCCTTGGGGTGGGGGGTCAGAGCAGGGTTAGGTTTGGGGTCAGCTTGGGACTGTGGTAAGATTCTGGTTTGGGCTTGGGACCGGGGTAGATTAGTGGTTGGGTCTGGCTGGGGTTAGAGCCAGGCTTTGGCTTTCACTAGGGGGTGGGGACTGGGGGAGGGACACAGGCTCAGCCACCACCTTCTCTTCCCAGAACTATATCAAAGCGAAGCAGTACCCACCAAGCACACAGGTGGAGGCGCAGAATGATGGGGCCGAGTCAGCCATCTTTCAACAGCTCTTCCAGAAGTGGACAGTGCCCAGCCGGGCCTCAGGCCTGGGCAAAACCCATGCCGTGGGCTCCGTGGGTGAGGGTTGGCCTGAGGCAGGGTGGGACCGGAAGCCGGGAGCGGGGCCCAGAGAGCACAGACCTGTCTCCTGCCCTCCTTCCTGAACACGCCTCTTGCATGTGCACTTTCACCTTGGCTCTGGACTCCCCAGGTGGGGTGGGGACACAAAGGGACTTGGAGAAACTCAAGATTTGTCACAAAAAGGGAGCTGAAAACAGCCTGACTTTCATTTGGAATGGGGTTGGGTCTCCCTGGAACCCAGAAAACTTTAGTCTCCCGGACAATATTTGCTGAGGGCAAGCTCCGTGCCAGGCACCTGGAGGAGGAGAAAAGGGTTGTCCTTTCTCTGGCTGCTCTGGGAGGCCCCGGTGAAGCATGAGCCTTACTGGAGGGAGATATGGTTCTGTGTTATAACTCTGCCACTCTCTAGCTGCATGACCTTGGGTCAGCTACTGAATCTCTCTAGCCTCAGTTTCCTCATCTGTAAAATGGGTCTAAGAATTGTAGCTTCCGCTCAGGGCTGTTGTGAGAACCTGGGGGAACTCAGCTGGTGACACTGGGTATCGTGATTCCCCCTCACTCCAGCTAGGGTGGAACAGGTGAAGTTTGATGCCACGTCCATGCACACCCAGCCTCAGGTGGCTGCCCAGCAGAAGATGGTCGACGATGGGAGTGGGGAGGTGCAGGTATGGCGAGGGAGGAGGGTGGCCCGGGATGGGTGGGGAGGGGTTGGCATAGCCTGTCCTGGACCTCACACTAGCCTGGTACCCGCCCCAGGTATGGCGCATTGAGGACCTAGAGCTGGTGCCTGTGGATTCCAAGTGGCTCGGCCACTTCTATGGGGGAGACTGCTACCTGCTGCTCTACACCTACCTCATTGGCGAGAAGAAGCACTACCTGCTCTACATCTGGCAGGTCAAGCCCCACCCCACCCTGTCCAGAGCATAGCCAGCTCAGCTCCCCCTCCACTATAGCCAGGCCAAGTGGCCATTGCGCTTGAATGGAATATCTCTGGTGATGGGGATTTTCTCTCCTTTTCTACCTTGGAACTGCTTTGGCTGTGAGATCCCACTGACACTGAGTATCCCCACTCACAACCCTTTGCCCTTTTGATTCTCTGAGTCTCTCTTCCAACTCCCATTCCCTGTATCTGCTCTGACTGTGGGTTTCTATGTCCAGATGTGAGGGAGCAGGGACATGCTTGGGTGCTGGGGTTGAGTGGTGTGGTAGCCATGGTGTTTCCCTGAGAAAGGTGTAGTAAGCGGGAGAGGAGGTTTGGGGTCAAGGTGGGTCAAGGGTGGACTGGGGCTGGAAAGAGATTAAGTGTGGGGCTGGGATCAGAGCTGAGGTCTGGGTCAGGTGGGGATTTGGGCTGTGTCCGGGGTGGGGCTTGGTGGGGAAGACAGTTGTCTTTGGGGCCGGGCAGAATTGGGGATGGAGTTGTGGCTAAGGCTGGGGACGGAGTCAGAATCGGGGGCTGTCCTCATCCTACCCTTTCCATCCTGCTCATCCCCAGGGCAGCCAGGCCAGCCAGGATGAAATCACAGCCTCGGCCTATCAAGCGGTCATCCTGGACCAGCAGTACAACAATGAACCAGTCCAGATCCTGGTCCCGATGGGCAAGGAGTCACCTCACCTCATGTCCATCTTCAAAGGACGCATGGTGGTCTACCAGGTGTGGTTGCTGGACCGGGGTGCCCGGCAGTACCAGCAGCTGAGGTGGGGTGGGCATCCAGGAGATGGGGAAGGGGACATGGGGTGGGAGCGGGGCTAGGGTGAAGCCCATTCTCCCTAGGAGAGGACTGTTTGAGGCTCCATCATCTATGTGGAATGGTAATAGAAACAGCAATTCAGTATTTTTAAAAATCCATTTGATAAACACTTAGCACATAACATACAAGTACTGTTTCTCTCTACACCCCTACTCCTTGGGCCCTCTCCATGAAAAAAGAAGTTATTGTGGCTGGATCTGCCTAACGATGGACCTGTCTAAAATGCACTGGCGCCTTCTGACATAATGAAATAGCTGTCTCTTGCATTCCTTTAGGCAATAATCTGGTTATTGAGCGCTTACTAAGCATACAGCCCTCTGCAAAGCGCCAAGGGGGAGAAAAATGCCATGCTAATGCTGTTTACCGTCTTGTTGGGCAACCAGTGAACCAACAGGCCAAGGCACTGTGTGCTTAAATGCCAGAAATATGTTGCATTCAAAGGGGAGCATGCATACAGTAATCAGGGAATAAGCATAGAGTCCATGATGGAAAGGGGGTTTGGAGGAGGTCTTGACATTGGGGTCAGAGTTGAAGAGCTCAGCAGAGGTAAAACGAGGGCATGCGATGCAGGGGCACAGCCAGGACAAAGGCCCAGAGGAAGGGCCCCGTGGGGAACAGTGAGAAACTGGCCAAGCTACATGGAGGGTTTGGAGAGAGCCGAGAGTGACTCTGGAAAGGAAGTCTCCACCTTCAACATCAAGGGCCGCGCTGAAAGCTGGGCTCTAGTCCGTAAGCCGGATGAAGGTTTCAGGCAGGGAAGCAACCGTGACCAAAGCGATGTTTTGGAAACACTATAGTCTGGTGATGGTGTAAAGGACCAGGAGGGGCAGCAGACTCACCCAACCTCTGTCGCCCCTCTAATCCCCCATCACCTTTACTAAGTTACTCCTGCCCCGCTCTCCCTACAGGGAGGCACCTCTCGGGCTAACAGCGTGGAGCCTGTGCCCTCCACACGGCTGTTCCAGGTCCGGGGGACCAGCACCAACAACACCAAGGCCTTTGAGGTCCCAGCCCGGGCCGCCTCCCTCAACTCCAATGACGTCTTCATCCTCAAGACCCAGTCTTGCTGCTACCTGTGGTGTGGGAAGGTGTGTGCAGGGTCCAGCGGCCTCCCCCTCCCCACGTGCGTCTTGGCGGTCCCCCAGCCTCAGAGCAGCCTCCCCGTGTGGGTCAGGGCAGGGGCCTCTGGCCGGGTAGGTCCGGCTCTCTGGTCTCCCTGATGCCTCTAGCCCTGCCTCGCTCCTTCGCAGCACTGGGGCTGGCCATCCTGATTCTCTGCCTCTGTGTCCGAGTAGGTCTCTCTCATTCCGTTTGTCTCTGGACACCCATGTCTGTCCCAGTGTTGCTCTTGTCATAATGCCTTGGGCTCTCTCACTCTCCCCGTGCCTGTAGCTGCCTCCCCATTTATCTCTGTCAGGAGGACTCAGTCTCTTGGAGACTTCCTCCTGCCCAGTAGGCGTGCAGACTCTCTTGTCTCCTCTGCCATCCTTTGGAGCATCAAGGACAGAGGAGAGGTTGGGAGAACTGCCCTTGCCTGGGCCGTGTGCGTGGGCCCCTGATCCAGGAGAACCTCCCAGACCTGGGAGCTCTGGGCCAGTGAATGTGGTGGAAGGAGGGGGGAGGCGTGGCACTGGAGATGGGCTCCCCCAGCACAGCCGACCCCCACTTTTCCCAGGGCTGTAGTGGGGACGAGCGGGAAATGGCCAAGATGGTTGCTGACACCATCTCCCGGACCGAGAAACAAGTGGTGGTGGAAGGGCAGGAGCCGGCCAACTTCTGGATGGCCCTGGGCGGGAAGGCCCCCTATGCCAGCACCAAGAGGTAACTCCCAGGTCCCTCGACCGCCAGCTCACTTTGCGAGGCTGGAGAGCCTCTCGGCACCTCCACCCGCGTGGCCCAGAGCCTGCAGCAGGTATGGATTGAGAACTCTGTGTGCCAGGCTCTCAGGGCTGCCAGGTGAGTAAGGGGCAGCCCAGGCCCTTGGGGCCTCTCAGGCACTGGGGCTGTGTCTGTGCTGCTTACCATGGAATGCCTGGTGAGGGTATTTCCACAGCCATAGGAGGTAGCTCAACGAGAGGGGCAGAGCTATCTATAGTTGTGCCCTTTGGGAAGAAGATGCCAGGGTCCCAGCAGCTCCCGTCCTTCCGTGCTGCCACAGGACCCAGATGCTGAGGAATGCAAGCTGTAAACCCTCTTTTTCTAAAGAAGGTCCATGATCCACTATTCCCCAGTTCAAAAGCAAAAGGGCATGTACTGCAGTAGCAGCAGGAGGAATAGAGGGAAGATATCAGGAAGAGCTTCCTAACAGGACTATACAAGAGCCACTGAAATGTATGTCCTGGAAGATTGGTGGGAATTTCTCCCTTGGAGAGCTTCTGGACTCTTGGGAGGACGCGGGAACTTTTGTGTGATCAGAAGAAAGAGCCTTTTCCTAGGAGACAGGCTTTCCAACGTGATCTCCTCTCCACCTTGCAGGCTGCAGGAGGAAACCCTGGTGATCACTCCTCGGCTCTTTGAATGTTCCAACCAGACTGGGCGCTTCCTGGCCACAGAGATCCCTGACTTCAATCAGGATGACTTGGAAGAGGATGATGTGTTCCTGCTAGATGTCTGGGACCAGGTAGGTTTGAGGCCTGGGGACCTCCCTTCCCACCACCTCAATCCCCAGAGCCAAGAAATAGTGCCTTTAGGGATAGGTAAGGTTTGACGTTTTCTTGGCTCCCAGATACGTTCTCCCTGGGAGTGGTGTTATGAGCCCAAGCAAGAAGAAGGCAAGTAGAGAGGAACATGCCTGGAGGGACTGCAGGGCAGGATGTGTTCTTCTCCCAAAGTCCAGTTCATTTCATGAGGCAGAGGAGTGTTTTGAGGGTCCTTGGCTCTGGAGAGGCTGGGAGTCACACATCTGCAGAATATCTAAGTAGAGGGCATCTGTCCAACCTCCATTTCCAGAGGCAAAATCAAGGCCTGATGGGGCCTGCCCAAGGTCAGGGGCCACTTCTGGACATCTGAGCCTGGGGAAGCCGAGGGAGGACAGGAAGGACTGACTCTGGGATGCTCCACAGGTCTTTTTCTGGATTGGAAAGAATGCCAATGAGGCCGAGAAGAAAGCTGCAGCCACCACAGTGCAGCAATACCTCAAGACCCACCCCAGCGGCCGGGACCCCGAGACCTCCATCATTGTGGTGAAGCAAGGACACGAGCCCCCCACATTCACGGGCTGGTTCCTGGCTTGGGATCCCTTCAAGTGGAGTGTGAGTGGCCCCAGCCCACCTGCTCCTTCCAGCCCAGTGCATCCTTCATGGCACATCGAGGGCAAGGTGGACTCCTGGCTTTTCTGTTCATTGTGATGGACGACCTGTGGTATATCTGTAAAGGGGTTTGAGGAGACTTAGAATAAACAGTAAGGCTGCAGCAAGACCATTAAGGCCCCTGGTGAGGGAGAAGAAAGGAAATCTATCAAAAACCTAGGCTAATGACAGTGTCTTGCTTGTGCACTAGATTTAGCTCAAAGCTCTTGGACATTATTGGTAAGAGCTGTACTGATTATTTAAATGCAAATTAATTAAAATTTGCATTTAAACTGATTAAAGAATTGATTTCTTTAAAATTAAAGAATTGATTTCTCACTAAATTAATGAATGAAAGAATTAAAATTAAGGAACTGATTTCTCACTAGTCACATGTGGCTGGTGGGTACCATATTGGACAGCACAGAAAAAGAACATTTCCATCATCATTGCAGAAACGTCTATGGCACAGCATTGGTGGGTCCTCTGAACATGTCAGTTCTAAAGGAAAGTGTCTAAAGACAGATGTCTCCTGGCACTAAATTCTAAGCAAAATGGGTCCTATACGTGGTCCTTACCTGAGGGACAGTGAATCAGATTTCCACAGGATTTTCTAAACTGGTCTCAGATAGAAGCAGAGGGCAGCTCCTCAAAACGGAACCCCAGTGAATGTTCTCTGAAGGAAGGAGGAAGGCTAAGGTAGAATGAATGTTGGCCTAGTGGCTTTGGGTACATGGAATTGACACAACAGATGAGATTAGGGAAACAAAGCTTAGATTAATTTCCTCAAATGTGTTTAAACAAATTCAGTGTTTGATGGGCTAAGTTTAGTCTTGATGATGGATTCAAACAAATCTCAAGGCGGCATACCTAGATGCCAGAATTTCTCAAATCCAGCTCAGTGTCCCAAGTCAACAACTCTGGCAGGTCTTCCCCCACCTCAAGTCTGTGTGGCGTCTCTCTCAGACTCATTCATTCACTCACTCAATCATTTATTTATTCACTCATTCATTCAGTCAGCATAACTGGAGCTCATAATGCGCCATGCTTGCTGCCAGGCCCTGGGGATGTGGAGATGGGTCTCCCCATGGAGCCAAGGTCCCCTCTACTCCCTTCACTCCTCCACGGTAGGGTCCCCTCCAGGCTCTGAGAGGAGCCCCTCCAGGGTTCTCCAGGACCCCTCAGTCCCCCAGAGCCTACACAGCGTGGGCAGGGGTCTCAAGACTGTGTGCGGCTGCTTAGACCCCGAGGGTAGGGAAAAATCGTACTTTCCATCCCCATGTTGCGCCAAGCAGGGCAGATAGCCCCCTGCCCCAGCCTGTTACCCGTCAGCCCTTCGTGCTCATCCTTACCATCCAACCTCCTTTTTCAGGGACGTCCTCCAGCCTCTCCCTGAGCTCCCTCATCTCCTCCTCACCCCCGGGCCCTAGGCCAGTCTTCTTTCAAAGCCTGAAGGAAAATGTTCTTCCGTCTCCTCTGCTGAGACCCAGGTCTAATTTATTACTTACTTTACATGCAGAACGCCAAATCCTATGAGGCCCTGAAGGCGGAGCTTGGAAACTCTGGGGACTGGGGCCAGATCACTGCTGTGAGTACGGGGCAGTTGGTGGTGGCCATTGACGATGGTCAGACCCGTGAGAGCTGAGAAAGCTCCACGGAAGACGCCAGGGTCCTCTGCTTCCTTCCCATTGTTCCCTCCCACTTCTCCTAGAAGTTCTTGCTGTTTAACTTCAATGCCTCTTGCTGTTTTGTCTCCTCCATTCCCTAGTGAAATGGTTCCCAAATTTTATCATGCATAAGAGTCTGGGTGATGGGGAACTAGGGGATGGGGGAAGCTTATTAAAATGCAGATTCCAAGGTCCCACTTCCCAAAATTCTGGTTTGTAGAGTTGGGCTGAGACCCAGTAATATGTGTATTTTTCACAAAGGGCCCAGGTAATTCGAGGCAGTTAGTCCGCAGATCACACTTGGGGAAATAGTGATTTCTCTACTATCATCAGCCTGGGGATCCCTTCTCTGGGTAGAATAACCTTTTCCTTCGATGTTTCAGTTAGTTCATGGAAATGTGTTCTGCCTACAGGCCTAGGATGTGGAAATATGAAATCAGAGAAGTTCACAGGCCTGTAGGGGAAACAAGACCAAGTAGACTCTGCAGAAGTGTGTCCAGAGCCTGAGAGCAATTTCCCAAGCACGCTGGGTTATCAGCAGATAACACGTGTGGCCCCTCAGCTTCACCTGCAGGCCGGGAACCCTGTGGCACTCAATAAACCCTTCTTGGTTGACGGATGGTGCAGGCAGGAAAGCATAGATAGATAGGTCAAGGCTAAGTGAATTTACGGATGACGGTTTCACAACAGATAAGAGAAAGAGGGTCATAAAGGTCCAAGGTAGACCTCGAACATTAGGGTAGCCATGGAGAAGTTCATAGGTCATAGAACAAAACAGTCATCTTACACCAACTGGCTTTGGCTGAATACAGACCGCCAAGCTTCAGCTCATGGGTCCTGTCCAAAGTGCCATGTTTTTATGAGCGTGTGTATGTGCGTGTGGACAGTGGGAGGCACGGGTCATGGAATGCTTCTTCTTTTTTTTTTTTTTTTTGGCCACACCGCAAGGCTTACGGGATCTTAGTTCCCTGACCAGGGATTGAACCCGGGCTCTCGGCAGTGAAAGCGCCGAGTCCTAACCACTGGACCGCCAGGGAATTCCCATGGAGGGCTTCTTGAAGGAGGTCCCCTAGGGTCAGTGTTGACTTCAGAGAAAAAGGCAGCCTGGGAGGCAGCCACAAACCAGCTGAACTAACAGTGTTTTCCTTTTCTTCCCTAGGAGCTCACAAACCCTAAACTAGACGTGTTCAACGCTAACAGCAATATCAGTTCTGGGCCTCTACCCATCTTTCCCCTGGAGCAGCTGGTGAACAAGCCTGTGGAGGAGCTTCCCGAGGGCGTGGATCCCAGCAGGAGGGAGGTGGGTCAGACTCTGAGAAGGAGGACGAATCTGATTTAGTGAGAGATTTCCTCCTGAAAGGTGAACAGGAATTATTCAGGCAGAGTGGCTTACTCTTGGAGAAGGGAACAGTATACACGAAGCCCAGAAGTAGGAAGTAAACACAGCTCGGGCGAAAGGACGAGGCGGCCAGAGCGGTGGGGTGTGTGGAGCGGGGTAGGGATGGCTGATAGGGGGGTGGGGGACTGGGCAGTGCCTTCTACTCTAGGCTAGGGGTGGGCGGTGTCCATTCTAAAAGTCAAGGGGAACCATTATGGTGAAGCAGGGGAGTGGCAGTCAGGTTTACGCTTTTCAAAGACCACTCTAGTGGTCAGTGAAGAATGGACTGGAAGGTGGCCAAACAGCAGCCACAAGTCAGGCTGAGAGGTAGACGGGAGCCTAGAATAGATGGTGGCAGGTGGAGGGGGGGGTGGGTGGAGGGAAGGAGAAGGTTTAGGGAAGTATTTCGGAGGTTAAGTCAACGACACTTGGTAACGACCGGATAAAGGTTGCGAGAGGGGAAAGTTGTGTCATTTTCTGAGATCAAAATCCTGGGTCGGACCCAGCTTAGAAGGGGACAGTCCTGAGTTTAGTGGCAGCCATGTCGTTTGCAGCACCCAGGAGACATCCTGGTTGAAATACATGTTTGGCGGGCTGGCAATTCAGAGGAGTACCGGGGAGGAGACTCATTGGCACAGGGTCCATCAGGTAGCTGCAGCTGCTGTCTGTGTGGACCACTTGTGGGAGAGAGTTTGGCAAGAAGGGCTTGTTAAAAAACACATTACTGGACTTCCCTGGTGGTCCAGTGGTTAAGACTTTGTGCTTCCACTGCACGGGGCACGAGTTTGATCCCTGGTCAGGGAAGTTCCGCATGCCATGCGGTGAGGCCAAAAAGAAGAAGAAAACAAAACCCACATTTCTAGTATCCATTCCCACTTCATGAAGGTCTAAAATAGACCGCAAATCTAGCCTGAGAGGGTACTGAGAGAAGAGAAAACTTACTCTGTGTATAGTTAACCATAAAGAAGTCTTAGAGATAAATTAATGAATCTACAGAAGTGAGATGACTATTTTCTCCAGGAACATCTGTTATGGGTTTGGGCCCAATATATGCATAAGTGTATTGTTTCCAGACCATTGCATCCTGCCCGTCACCTTTAGAACCCTTTTATGCATTCTCTCCCACATCCACCCATGTGTCCTCACTGTAAAATTGGGATGATCCCAATATCATATAATATTATATTCATAATCATGTTACAAATATTATTATTTGCCCAGCCCCTGGTACATAGGAAGTGCTCTATACATGTAGGCTGTTATTATCATTGCTTGCTCTGCACCTGAGAAAACTCAGACCCAGAGCGGGGAAGTGACTTGACTAATGTGATGTAACTAGTCAGTAGCAAAGTCAGAGCAAGAATCAGGTCTTCTGAGTCCCGCTGTTACTGTCATATCATGTAGCACAGAAAAAGTATTTCTAAAGGGAAGGGCAGCCAACATTACTGAACCAGGTGATTAAAAGGGGGCTAAATATTGACAATATATTTTGTTGGTAAGGCTGTGGAGAAACATATATTATTCTGTTGGTGTGAGGGCAGAATGTTACAACCCCTGTAGAGGGGAATTTTGCAATATCTAACAAAGTTAAATATGCATTTACCTATTTTAAAAAATGGAAGCTAAGTAGATCACTAATTTTGAATATAACAAACAGAATCAAGACGACCCTGCCATGGTAGAAGCAGTCTAAAAAGTCTTAAGATTCTTTTTAAAAAATCAGTTGCTGCTGCTTTTCTTTTTTGAATTGTGGGAGTAGAGTGTGGATTCTTGCAGCAGAGCTGTGGGCTCCATGCCAAGTGGGGAGAGTGGACAAGCTTTCTGGCTGCTCCAGACGTAGAGGCGGTAGCCATAGGGTAAATCTGTTTGAGTACCAATGAGTAAACCACAGAGAAGCGGATGTGGGCATGGGTGAGGCCAGAAATCGCTGGTAGGACCGCAGGGTTCAAGAACAGGACCAGTGGAAAGATACAAGTCCACTGGGATGGGCAGTCCCTGCCCTCTAGCCTGGGGTCAGAGTCCAAAAGTCTCAACCAAACTGCAGAGCCAGCTTGGGTGGGACAGAGAGAGGGCACCTAAGGCACTTGCAGACCATCGAGATGGCAGCCACAGCTGTGAGGGACCTTCTTCCAAAACAAGGTGCTCCACTGCCCTGCCTGGGGGAGTGGGGAGGGCTCCCAGGAGCCTTGAGCCGAAAATGCCCAGAGGTGGGATGACAGGTTAGAAAACTGGGGCTTCAGATACACCTGAGCTTGAAATCCATCTACAGGTGTTTACCAAGAAGCTGTTCAGTTCAGGGCTCTCTGAGGGAGTCACACAAACATTCTCCAGGGCAATCCTACATAGCAGAACAGCCCGGACTGAAAAGAAACCCGTTGCTCTCACCCCAACTCTGTCCCCTTCTGGTGCCTGGGGGAGCAGAGATGGAGGTGGGAGATGCTCTTTTCTAACAATTTGAATTTGGGGTTCTTACTTGAGTATGCCTTGAGGATACTGGCCAGCTCCCAGAAGTTTCACTACTATATCATGTTTGAACTGGGAGCAGAGGTCATTTCAGTCTTATGGCTGAAGAGACCCAAGGTCTAGAAAGGTGACTCCCAGTCATGATTTTCAAACCAAGAGTGAAAATGTAGAACTTCGCTGTCTAATCTTCTAGATTATCCACAGGATGAGAGAAGCTGGTACATGTCATTTACCCAAATATTTTGTTTTCCACTCAATAGCTAGGCAAAATTTGACTCTAAATTTGTTTCGTGGCTTTCCTAGCTTCTTTTCTTAGCATCTTTCCCCTCACCTCAGTTGTACCCCTGCTGCTACCTGCCACCATCTCTAAGCAAAACCTGTTCCCACAAAATAATGGCTGATGCATTCACAGTGGAATATAGAAGCCTGGTGAGGTTTAACCAGGAACATGTTGCCTTTTAACTAGGAACAAACCTAGAAGCCAAGAGAGATGAAGATAACTATAACGGTAAAATTCAGTCACCTGTGAGCACAGTAGTATACTTAGCCAGTCTGGGAGGGAAAGATGACCTTTACAGGATCCCTGAAATCAGTCAGGAAAGGGGGTGAGTGTGGTGCAGTGGAGCATGTATTGGGATCAGATGACCTTAACTTTCTTTTTTTTCCCCATTTTTATTTTTTATTATGGTGAAATATACATAATATAAAATTTACCATCTTAGCCATTTTTAAGTGTACAGCTCAGTGGCATTAATAAACGCATTCACATCATTGTGCAACCATCAACCCTGCCCATCTCCAGAACTTTTTCATCTTCCCAAACTGAAACTCTGCACCCATTAAACAACTCCCCCATCACCACTCCTCCCCCAGCCCCTGGCAGCCACCATTCTGCTTTCTGTCTCTATGGGTTTGGCTCCTTAGGAACTGCATGTGAGTGGGCTCATACAGCATGTGTCTATGTGATGGGCTTATTTCACTCAGCACAGTATCCTCAAGGTTCATCCATGTTGTAGCAGGTGTCAGAATTTCCTTCATTTTTAAGGCTGAATAATGTTCTGTTGTATTTATATACCACTTTTTTCTTATCTATTCATCTGTCAGTGAACACTTGGGTTACCTCCACATTTTAGCCATTGGGAATAATGCTGCTATGAACATGGGTGTACAAATCTCTCTTCAAGACCCTGCTTTCAATTCCTTTGAGTATATACAGAGAAGCAGATTGCTGGGTCATATGGTAATTCTTGAGGCATGCCATACCGTTTTCCATAGTGGTTCCCAGCAATGCTCAAGGGTTCCAGTTTCTCTACATTCCTGCCAACACTACCGTTTTGTTTTTGTTTTTTCTTTCATAATAGCCACATCCTAGTGACCATGAAGGAGTATCTCATTGCAGTTTTGGTTTCTGTTTCCCTAATGATTAGTGATGTTGAGTGTCTTTGCATGTGCTTATTGGCCATCTGTATGTTGTCTTTGGAGAAATGTCTAATTAAGTCCTTGCCCATATTTTAAAAAAATTAATTTATATATTTTTGGCTGCATCATCAGAAAATAGTTGCAAGTCATCAGATATATGACTTGCAACTATTTTCTTCCATCTGTGAGTAGTCATTTTTTTCCCCAGGCATGTTTGTTTATTTATTTATTTATTTGCTGCACTGCACGCCATGTGGGATCCTGGTTCCCCAACCAGGGATTGAACCCGTGCCCCATGCGTTGGGAGCGCAGAGTCTTAACCACTAGACCAGCAGGGAAGTCCCTGTGTGTCGTCTTTTGATGCACAAAATTTTTTAATTTTCATGAAGCCCTTTTTTGTTGTTGTCTGTGCCTTTGGAGTCACATCTAAGAAATCACTGCCAAATTCAATGTCATGAAGCTTTTGTTTTTTCTTAAATAAATGTAGTTACTGGGCTTCCCTGGTGGCGCAGTGGTTGAGAGTCTGCCTGCCGACGCAGGGGACACGGGTTTGTGCCCTGGTCTGGGAAGATCCCACATGCTGCGGAGCTGTTGGGACCATGAGCCATGGCCGCTGAGCCTGCGCGTCTGGAGCCTGTGCTTTGCAACCAGAGAGGCCACAACAGTGAGAGGGCCGCATATCGCAAAAACAAAAAAATTTTAGTTATTTATTTTTGGCTGCGTTGGGTCTTCATTGCTGCATGCAGGCTTTCTCTAGTTGTGGCCAGCGGGGGTTATTCTTCGTTGCGGTGCGCAGGCTTCTCATTGTGGTGGCCTCTCCTGTTGTGGAGCATGGGCTCTAGGTGTGCGGGCTTCAGTAGTTGTGGCTCTCGGGCTCAGTAGTTGTGGCACATGGGCTTAGTTGCTCCACGGCATGTGGGATCTTCCTGGACCAGGGCTCGAACCCATGTCCCCTGCATTGGTAGGCAGATTCTCAACCACCAGAGAAGCCCTCTCCCATTTTTATAGAGAAGAAAACTAAGACCTAGAAAGAGAAGCAACATTTTAACCAAGCTAAGTCAAATGTAATTCTTATTTCAGGGTTAGTGTGAACTTGACCCTGGTCAAAAGAAAAGGAGCTCTATCTGCCTCATGTTGTTACCATCCTTTTCATTATGTTCCAAATTCAGGGATCAAATCTCTTGGGCCTCAAAATGCCACCTCCCCGCTTCCCATCCCTTTCCTGGCTCTCACATTGACTGTTTTTGCTCATTTGATTTCTGTACACACCTATATGACTCAACAAGTCGAACTCTGGCAAGAATGTGACCTTTGCCCTCTGGTCCCTCTCCTCTTCTAGGAGCACCTGTCTGTTGAGGATTTCACCAAGGCCTTGGGGATGACTCCTGCTGCCTTCTCTGCTCTGCCTCGATGGAAACAACAAAACCTCAAGAAAGAAAAAGGACTATTTTGAGAAGCAAGAGTAGCTGTGGTTTCAAGCAGTGGCCCCACCCCGCTTGCAGAGCTTCATTTTGTTATTACTGGTATTAGTCCTATATTAATGGAAGTGAACATGTACAGTTGTACCTGTGAGCAGCAGTCTGTGGCAATGCCACTTCTGTTTAGTAATCTACTTATTCCTCCAGAAAGATGATTCCTCCATAAAGAGCCTGTGGTGCCAATTTCAGCTCTGAAGAAGGTGGTTGCATTATTTTTTATCCTGGGTGTTGCATTACTTTTAAACCATCCTGTTCTAGAGCTTTCCCTTCTTAGAAGAGCAGCCCAACACTTCATGGAAGAGCCTTCCCTAGGCTTTTATCATGACTCATTTTTAATTATGGCAGGTGGGCTGAAGCATTTTGCAGTTTTATATCTTTCTGAGAGTAATGGCTTTTCCTTTTCACATATACTTTTCTTACTGCCTTCCTCAGGTGATGTTAAAGGGGACCCATTCTTTGAAAGAGCTGAATGGCCCAGGTGATGGCCCTACTTAGGTTTCACAATACTCTCTAACCAGTACCCAGCAAGAGCAACATACCCACTAGGCCTAGGCTTGAGGCCTAACAGCAAGTATGAAATGCAAATGCTATCTCACCCCCCTCTCTGGTACTCTTAACAATAAGGCAAAGGAAGAGCACAGTTAAGGCCCATGCTGGGTTTAAAACTGTTATCCAGAACCTCTGCAAAGCTTCACAGGCTCCTCAGATGTAATCCACCGGAGGTTGGTGCTGACTCAGCCATACCTGGTTTCCCATCTCATTCCCTTTAAGGTGTAACAGTGCGCTTGAAAGTCAGTCAGAAGGCCAACAGAAGGTGATTTCCACAACTTCTACAACTGGTTAAGTGTCTGCAAGAATATGTCCTTTTCAGAAATAACAGCTGAACCAACACAAGGTTAATAAAGGCTTTAATTTCACACACAAAAACCTCTATGCATAATTTAAAAAGGAAACAAAAACCGTACAGGGTACAGAGGAACAGTTCTGCTAAAACACAGATAAAGTGCCGCTCCATACAAAACAACATAAAGAATCAGAATCAAAAGTCACTCTGAACACAAAGAAAGAAAATCACCTCACAAATAACGTGGCCAAAGCTGCCAGCAAACCTAGTAGTGGCTCAACTAGGCCAAGTGTAGGAAGCTTACTTCTGTTCTCCTCTCCGTAGCATAAATAAACAACACTGACAATAGGCCAGAGAAGATGGGGATGGAAGCAAAAGAGAGGGAGGGAAACCTAAAGACGAGAGGTGTGTACAACCACTGTGTCCCACTCTTCCACCCATTCTGTTCTTCAGACAGACCACTTCAGATGACTGCTCTTCTGTTTTGGCATTGGACCTAACGAACTCTGGTCCTGATGCAGACCCTCATCCACTCTATTCTGACACCAGTGGACACGTCTCTACTTCAAACCTCTGCACTTTAAGTCCAAATTACTGAAATCAACTGCTTGTATTCATACTGGCACATTTTTTATTAAAAACTTCAAAACCTCAGACACATAGCACACATGGAAAGGAAAACACTAATTGTGTGTAAATATGATACAACAAAAGAGACTGCCTGAAGTTTAGTAATCAAAGCATGCCATAAAGAAGTCAGTGGTTGTGGTGAGACACTGCAAAAGAAACCTGTCACAAAACTCTCAAGGCCTAACAAACTATAGTTTTCCAATAAAATATATATATTTTTTCAGATGTTAATAAGATATTGAGAGACAAAATTAGAATTTTGAAGTAATGCACTAGAAAGATGTTAGAGGGCAGAAATCTGTTTAGTTTTTGTACATACTTAAAGAGCATTACTCGGTGTAAAGCAAGATGGGGAGGAGGAAAAAGATGTTTCTGTTTTGGGGGGGACACTTTTATGTGACTTGCATCTAGTACTAAGTGTTGATTTTTCTAAAAATCTCCATGTATACACAAGATCCACATATACTTGGAGATCCAGCTCTGTTTCCCTGATTTAAAACAAAAGGGCAAAAATGGTTGGATGGCTAAGAGCATCCATTGTAGTTGATTTAGACAGAGAAGAAAGAGGAAGAAGGGTAATATTTTTATTTGTTTTAATATTATCTCTGTTCAGTAGATCACAAATGAGTTTACAAACTACCTTTTTCTCCTGTATGTTTTCAATGCCCATGCTCTCTCTACACTCAGAATGCTCTACTACATATGAGATACTGCCAAGAATCTCTTTAATTTAGGTGTTTCTGAATAATTTTCATTATACAACTAGCTGTACATGTGTAGAGCTATATTTATAGAGTTACATAATAGTAACTGCAATATGGAAGAATAGGTAAATTCATGAATTCACTTGCTGAGGTTTTAATTCTTAAAGTTTCTCTTTTAGAAGAATTTTACACTTTATCAAGGAGAGAAATAAAGAAATGTCTAGTCTAGTATTTGCCTCCCAGAGTTAATAAACTGATCTTTAAGTATCACTGCATACTTTTTAAAATGTAAACACATTTACATTTGTTATTGAGCCATTAAGTTAGGCCTGAAATTAACAGACCATGGCAAGTAAACAAGTAGCTCTTGGAATCAAAATATAAATAGAAGAATAATTCATGGACTTGCTTCTTATTCTATCCTGCTTAAACAGAACTTCTGAGTCTGTACACATAAATATATTCCCTACAAAACAGAATCTATCTCCTTATAGGCCTAAATTATAGTCAGGGCTTCTAAAGTGATAGCAGCACCTGGGCACATGCAACTTTCCAATCCTCTGTAATATTAGGTGATAATAATCAACAAGTTTTAGTTTAGCTTTCCCTTCCAAAAAATTCCAATTAAGATCAGTTGTGTGGAGAACTAAGAACTGTCAAGTTCCAATTTAAAGTCATTTAAAGTAACATATTTGGTATTTTCAATAGGAATATTAGTTATTGTGCAAGCTGCCTGGAACTGAAGCTCTCTGTCCCTATCTAACTTGTCCCTTTTGGGCACCAACATGCCAAATGCCCCATTCCCCAATTTTGAGCAAACTGCACAAAAAATATTATCTACTTGTAATTTTAAAATACATACAGTCAGCTTAAAAAAACAACAAACTCCATCAACATGGTCCAGCTGAACTCTCCATGTATAGTCATTAATCCTTCACTGAACCAAAATGAGAAAGTAACTCTGTAGTGAAAGGGGTAATAGTTGAAGGAGTGAAGGGAGAGAGGAAGGCTGACCAGGCCAAAACAATGCACAGACATCAAGGAAATTTCAAGTCCCAAACTTGCAAGTATATGAGCAGTGACATACTCATCTACTTTTTTCAACTAATAATTCCTGCCTAAGACATGAAGAGCAAATCAAATTAGGTTCAAGCCAAGTGTACTTCTAAACCATACACACACACAAGCTATGAAAAGCAAGTCAAACGAGGGTACTTCATGGGCAACCTAGGCTTATGGCATTATATCTATTTGTTTAAATGCCCTAAATGCACCCACTCATGTCAAATCATCCCAATCATTTTTTTTTTTTTTTTTCCTTGCGTTATTCTTCAGCTCTGATTGGTTCTTTTTTATATTTTCCAATTCCTTACTAAAATTATTTCTGTGTTCATCTATTCTTTTGCTTAGTTCAGTTAGCATTCTTATTGCTAATGCTTTGCCCGCGTCTCCTGCATCGGCAGGCGGACTCTCAAGCACTGCGCCACCAGGGAAGCCCCCCAATCATTTTTAATAGCATCTCTCAAAAGCTCTCAAATACAGACACAGAGAAGTAATAAACAGCTAAAGAATTTGATTATCACTTCACTCACATGAGAAAACCAGTTATTTCCAAGAAAAAAATAAAATGGCTCCCCAGTGGAAATAAACAAAATTTTAAAAGCTAGTTTTTTAAACAAGTATTTTCCTCTGCTCTATACTACTCCTGCATATCCTACCACCGTACCACTTTGGAAGGTTCACTACCTTAACAGGTAGGTAAATGGTAGGAGACAAAGCTTTTATCTGTAGTTAAGCAAAAGTGCTGGGGCCATTTACAATTCAAAGATTCAATATTTTAGAATAGGTTACTATGTCAGAACACATCCAAGTTTCAAGAGTAGGGCTGGAGCTCTCTTAAGGCAATCTTCCAGAAAAAATATTACATCTTCTGTGATGTTGGACTTAAAAATGAAAGAAAATGTTGAAGGTTTCATTTTGCTGTACTTAACTCTGTGTGATCCTAATGATTCCTGGGCTCACAAAATTATTTTAGGAACAAAATTCTACTCTCAAACTCATTCTTTATATGGTTTCACAAGCTGCTTAACCAAGCTGGTTATGTCAGCTTAATGTTGTCACTTAATGTTGCCAAGCTGGTTATGTCAGCTTAATGTTGTCACTTAATGTTATGTCACTTAATGTTGAGCCCATTTAACCTCAACTCAAAGCACCTAAAAAGTAAGATAATTATGCACCTTTGTTATTTGTTAGTTCTTGGAATTACTTAAACCAATCATATTTTAATTCTCATCCTGTTTTAAGGGCAAAGTCAGACAGCAAATGGTTATATGTTTAAGCTTTATCCTATAGCTCATGTGCTTAATTTCACCCTTGAAGCAGGGCTTTCAGCTTTAGTGGTCCAGAGTTTCAGCTTTAACACAAGAATACTCCTCCTGACCTCTCTATGTATGGGAGACAGAGATGCTAGCATTCTTCATATTCTCTAGGTAATCTTGTAGGGGAGTCCCAATTGGGACAACATCACTTTCCTACCTCTTAGAGTTTTGGCTGCAGTCTGTTAGGGTAATGCTTGCTCCATGGAAGAATGACACAGAAGAAAAATAAGATTCTATCTTCACCATGGTAATAATATAGATGATATACAATGGAAATACTGTGTGAAGGAATCTCTTTAAAGAAAATACCAAGTATACAATGAATACCAAATGTGGGAACATAACACATTCCAAAGCACCAACAATCCATTTCTTGGGACTGCATGTAAACAGCAAAAGCATTACGAATCCATGAAATAATTTTTTTAAAAAAGCTCCTCAAGTCAGGTGGCAGAAATGTCCCTCCTTTGTCAGGAGGACAAACTGTCATTAGTGTAACATGGAGAGCTGGCTTTCCAGTGAACTTTACTAATAGGAAACACACATGAAAGATTACAGACGTGAGTGAAACTACTCAAGGAACATAAAAGCTAAATGCCAAATGATATGTATATCTTCACACATTTCTCAGGTGAATGGACTCTTTGACAACTTCAATTAGTCTCCAAACTGCTGTGCTATTAATTTTGAGCAGGCATACTCTGGTGGGCTATCCTAACTCTTTAAGGCTCCATTCATTCCACATATGTGTGTGTGTATGTGTGTGTGTGTGTATGTACATATATATATATTTACAACATGTATTCCTAAGACAAAAGGAAGTGCCACTCTTGTAGGAGAAAAAAAGGATAATCAGCTACAGATGTGAGACCAAAGTTTCCATAAAACAATTAATATGGAGCGTTCCGCATAATTGCAATTTTCGTCTTTTGGTTTGGCCCTGAGCTGTTTGTTGCTCCCGCATCAAGTAGAGTTCTAAATTCTCCTCGGGCAGAGGAAAGAGAAGTGGGTGACAGTAAGAGAGAATATGCAGTGCACACTGCCAACCCAGGAGTTTGTTCCTCATGAAGCCTGACGAGTGGTCTTTCCCACTTCCATGCTAAGTGCCTGAGAGGTCTTTTCTGTTTCCAGCAGCTCATCAAAGATCTCCCTTAAAATAAAACAAATAAAAAGTTAAATAGGAAATTCAGTGAACAGAGACAGAGGATAGACAGAAAATAAACATTGATAAAGGCTGCATAATCCCATGATGCCTAAATTTTATCAAATAAGCAGCTCATTCATTTTATTACCATCTTAACCCCATGTGCCGATTCTTAAAAATACTTAGGGGGGAATGGCAATAGCTAGCTTTGACAGAAATGCTATGTAGTTCCTATCCATATAACTCAGATCTTCTAGCTGATACAATGAAAGACCAAAAAGTTTTATGACAGGACAGCTTCCATCATAAAAAGATCTTAAGTTCTATACCTAGATTCTACTGTGTGAGTTAAGAGAAAAAATATTTTGGAAATATCAAGACATGAGCCCTAAGCAAAGACAATAAAAATCATAAATCGTCAACCAATTAACTGATGGGAACATTTTATCCTTAAAGAAAAAAAAAAAAAAGAATTCAAGTGATTTTTAGCCCACGGCTTCAGATCAGGCAAAGTTTCTTACTTGTGCATATAAAAGAAGATGTAACCACTTCGATCTCGATCACTCTGCACAGAAGCCTCTTGGATTTTAGATACCTCTAGGTCATTATAAGTAAACCAAGCCTGCTTCTTAATGTCGTACACATCACTAATGTAATGACCTGAAATAAATAAAATCTTTAAATTAAGGTTATTTATTTTTTTAAAACATATTGAAGGGGCTTCCCTGGTGGTGGTGCAGTAGTTAAGAATCCTTCTGCCAGTGCAGGGGACACGGGTTCGAGCCCTGGTCCGGGAAGATGCCACATGCTGCGGAGCAACTAAGCCCGTGCACCACAACTACTGAGCCCGTGTGCCACAACTACGGAAGCCTGTGCACCTAGAACCCACACTCCAAGAGAAGCCACTGCAATGAGATGCCCGCGCATCGCACTAAAGAGTAGCCCCCGCTCGCTGCATTAGAGAAAGCCCGTGCACAGCAACGGAGACCCAACACAACCAAAAATAAATAAATAAAATAAAAAATTAATTAAAGAATATATATATTGAGTTTTTCTCAGGGACAGGAAGCTTCAGAAAGAGACACAGCCAACCCCATTTCACCTTACTATACCAGGACAACTTTTCTGATAAATATATTTTGTTTAGGGACATTTGGGTCACAGGTGAATAGAGAAATCAAAACAGTTGTACCTATTAACACAATTCACACTTAGTGTGATCAAAGAAAAGATTTCAGGGCTTCCCTGGTGGCACAGTGGTTGAGAGTCCGCCTGCCGATGCAGGGGACGCGGGTTCGTGCCCCGGTCCAGGAAGATGCCACATGCCGCGGAGCGGCTGGGCCCGTGGGCCATGGCCGCTGAGCCTGCGCGTCTGGAGCCTGTGCTCCGCAATGGGAGAGGCCACGACAGTGAGAGGCCCGCATACCGAAAAAAAAAAAAAAAAAAAAAAGAAAAGATTTCAAAGTTTTTCTTGATGTGTTTAACTTACACCTCACAAAGCTAGGCTCAGAGCAACCCAATAAGGAGTAAATGCTGGCTAGTCCATTTATAAAATGCTGAAATCTTAATGTCCATTTACCTGAAGAAGAAGTGCTACCAATGTGACTGACAACACTGATGAGCCGATAGGAATGAGGAAGATTTCCTGTCTGGAAAACAGAAGTGGGTATGACTTTCAACTCTTCATCTGAATACAAGCAAAACACTAATTTTAAATTTATTATCAAAGCTGACATGGCAAAGTTTCAATGTGTGGGGGGGTTAGACTCAATTAAAAAACCCAGTGGTCGGTATTGTTCATATCCTCTGACCCAAGAACTGTACTCCCCAAGAATTTATCCTAAGAAAATAATGCAAAAGAAGGAAACAGTATATATATATATAATTATTCACTGCAGCATTATCCATAATAATGAAAATTTGGAACTAACAATACGCTCAGTAATAGTTAAATGGTTACTGGTATATCAACTCAGTACAGTATTATTCAGTTATTTAAAGAAAAAATATGTGGGTCAGCAACATGTTAACTTGTTTTTCAAACTTACATGAACACACATAACTATAGCTCTATAAAATAGATATGTTAATGGCTAAGTACTGAAAAACAGAATGGAAAAAATGAAAAGAGTTGCTGTGTTGCTGTAGGGATTATGGATGAACTTTTACATTTTAAATATTTTTTAAAATGCTATTAAAATATCATTAGCAGAAAAGTAAAACAAAACTGAAAAGTGATATTCATGGACTTCAGAAAGCACTATAAGATATAATTTTGGGAAGAAATATAGTTATAGATAAGCCAGGCCATTAAAATGTTCAAAAACTTTGATGCTATAATTTATTTCTGGGAATTTCCTTAAAGAAGAAAATCCTAATATAGAAAACACTACAATCATATACAGTTCCTCTATATGTTATTTATTATAATGAAAAAAAAACAACTTAAATGCTCAATGTTAACTAAAAATTAAATAAAATAAATAGCATGTTCATTGATGGAATACAGTATAGCCATTAAAAATAAAATGCTTAGAGTCTTTAACAAGTAGGATAAAAACTGTACTTATTCTATGACTTTAAAAGCATACTTGGGGTATTTTGGGGTAGGGATGATAAAAGAATATATCAAATGCTAACAGTAGTTGTGTTAGAATAGTATAAAATTATACTATTAATATAGTATAATTATATATAATTAAAATTATACATATAAAATTATATATAGTTATAAAAATATATATTATATTTTTATAACTATATATAATTTTATATATTTATATATATATAAAAATATAAAATTATATATATATAGATATAAAATTATATCTATAATATAAAATAGAATAAAATTACAAAAAATTTGGAAAATGGGAAAAAAGCAATTATTTAGGGTAAAAATAGATTTCAAGTGCTCTAGTTAATGTCATCAACAGTTTTTATTGAGTAACAATCAACTATTTTTAGTATTTAACCTTAAAGATAAAATAGTTTTGGTAGAACTGAAGGTGATTTAATATACATATGACTTTGAGAACTATTACTAAGTTATTACCTAACATGCACATAAGGTGATCAGGATGTGTGGGTTTTTTTGTTTTTCTTTGTTTCTTTCATTTTGTTTTGAATCTTCTGTGTAAGAAATGAGGAGCAAAGGCCAAGAGAAAGTGAAGACCATTTAATGGCTGCCAAAGGGGCAGAAGGGGACCTGCAATGGACACTGACACTGGGGCTTTTGAAAATAAGGAACAACAGGAGTAGTACTGACAACTTGACCTACAAAGGGAATATAACGTCACCCACCTCAGCATTTCTTTTCAGTTCCTCAGCTTCAGCTTCTGTATACTCCATATCTAAAACATCCTCATTTCCAGAGTCCTCATCAGAGCCCAATGAATCCAGAAAAGAGTTGTTAAACTCTGAAGAACACAAAGACAAAGTCTTGTAAAAGTTCTTGGAATAGACACAAAGAGATACGATTGGGAAGGTATAAAACAGCTTGAAGTACACATTTTATCATTCTAAGAAACATAAAACATATTATTATTAGGGTTCCAATTCACCCAGCTTACTCTAGGGAATAAAAATTCAGGCACCAGTTATCTGTAAAAGAAATGTTCCCTTTTGTTTTAAATATATTTATATGAAAGGGGATAATACTCTTTTAAGAAAGGAATAAAACTGACAAAAAAAATTACAGATAATCCAATTTCACTGAATTCTCTATTATATAAACTATATGTTAGATTTGACACACTTGGTGTATATTATAGGTGCCACCAGCAAACATAAATTATCTGACAGAAGAGAGACCATAAGAAGATCAACATCCTCTCATTTTCTTCAACTTTAAATCATACTCTGAAATTTAACAAAAATAATGGAAATTCAACCTTAAACTCCTAAGTTTTACCTAGAATACTAAACAAACAAATTCAAGGTCCAATTTTTCTTCTTAATAATGTGTTTCCACTGGAAGAATCCATCTTTACTAATGGCTTCAAATAAACAATCCCAGGAGCATCTGTGCATAAATGACTCTTTGTCTTATAGAGTTGTTTAAAAGACATGAACACTTAAGAATGGGAAGAACAGGAAGAGACTACAGTATCAAAATTCTGGACTCTGGAATATAGAGGGGTGACTGACTTAGCAGACCTAAGAAAGTCAAACCTAAGCCAGTAATGAAAAAGTTGAGAACCAATCCAATTTATATTACAGAGTCCTCAAAAGACATACAACTTGGAAATAGCAGGTACCTCTAAAACTGGAAGCTAAGAAGAGGATAAAAATAAGGATTAGGTGGGGCTTCCCTGGTGGCGCGGTGGTTAAGAATCCACCTGCCAATGCAGGGGAAATGGGTTCAATCCCTGGTCTGGGAAGATCCCACATGCCGCGGAGCAACTAAGCCTGTGTGCCACAACTACTGAGCCTGCGCTCTAGAGCCTGCGAGCCACAGCTACTGAGCCCAGGTGCCTAGAGCCCATGCTCCGCAAACAAGAGAAGCCACTACGATGAGTAGCCCGTGCACTGCAACGAAGAGTAGCCCCCACTCTCTGCGGCTAGAGAAAGCCCTCGCACAGCAATGAAGACCCAACACAGCCAAAAATAAAAATAAATAAATTAATTAATTAAAAAAAATAAGAATTAGGTGAAAGCTGTTTGAGTTACAGACTCCTAGATCCACTTCCCCTTACTTCATGCTGCTGGGCAATGACAGAAGTCGGCAGCTTTGTTCTCTGGAGAGTTGGTAAAACAGTCTCTGGATTGGAGGATTCCAGGCACAGGGGAGTACCATACTGAAAACAGTGGAGTAGGTGACAGTGTGCATACTGAAAGATGAATATAACTCCCATCCCCACCCCCAGCCCTATGCCTAAACTTGGCTTCTAGAACTCTGGCAGCCACATCTTTTACCTGTAGTCAAGGGCAAGAGACTAGAAAACTTTCTTTAAGAATCTTACCAGCCCAAGGGAAGGCCTAAAATATTAACATCATCCCCCAAACAGTAAATCCCTGTAAAACTCAAAGTTGACAAGTCCTAGCTATTCATACACTCAGAACTTCCAATCATCTTTTTAGTCCCCTACTCTTTTTTTTTTTAACATTTTTATTGGAGTATAATTGCTTTACAATGAATGGTGTGTTAGTTTCTGCTAGTCCCCTACTCTTAATCATGAGCCGACAGCCAAGGATTACAAGATAATTGAAAAAAGACTCTAACAAGGAATATAAAGACCATAATAAACACACAGGACAGAGCAATCTGGAGAAAAGAGAATCTACTCAGGGAGATGGAAATGTCAAATAAACAAAAAAATGAACCATATTTAATATCCTCAGAGTTGAGATGGTATTACTTCTCTGAACCACCCCCACCCCAAAATGTTATAAAAAAGTAACAATCACAAAAACCAGTTCTTGAAAATTAGAAATATGATAGAAATAAAATACTAAAAAAAAGTTTGGAGTTGGTGATAATGTCAGAGAAACTTCCCAGGCAGTACAGCAAAATAACAAAAAAATGGAAAACAGAGAGAAGAGATGAGAAAAGAGGATCAGACTAGGACGTCTGAATAATAGGAGTTTCAGAAAGAGAAAAGAGAGGAAGTAGAATGAAGGAAATCAGTGAAAATTTCTTAGAACTGAAGGACAAAAGTTTCTAGATTAAAATAATCCTCTAAGTGCCCAGCAGAAATGGATGAAACAGACACATATCACGGCACATCACTGTGAAACTTAATCACAATGGAAACAAAGAGAAGATCCTATAAGCTTTCAGAAAAAAAAGATGTCACATCAGAATAAAGAACAGCTTTAGACTTCTCATACAGCAACCCAGCAGCATGAAGGTGGGGGGAAACAATGCTTTTACAATGATTGTAAACCCGGAATTCTATATTCAGACCAACTATCAGTCACATACTGGGGCAGAACGAAACTTTCAATTCCTCCAAAAAATCTAAGTCACATCCCCTCTTCTTCAAGAAAACTACTGGGGATGTTCTCCATCAAAGCATAAGTACACAAAGGATGAGAAAAGAGTCATACAGGAAATGGGAGATTCGAACAAAAGAGCGAATCAGAGGGAATCCCCTGGAGAATGGTTAGGGAGATCTCAGGATATCTGTGCATGGATGTAGAGGGCAACCAGTCCAGACTGGAACAATATGACTTGAGACAGCCATTCATCGCCACCATTGTACCATCTTTTAAATCTGAGGGCAGAATGCCTAGGTGAGCCTAGCTTGAATTCTTCTTTGTAACTGTCTCAACCATCTGCCAGTGAAACTCTTGCTCTCTCCACCATGCCCTAGATCAGCCTAGAACACTCATTTTATACCAGCAAAGTGTTTTGCTTTAATCTATTTCTCAGAGTCAGAGAAAGACCAGAGTGATCTTAGAAAATACAGAGTTAGCTCACTTCCCGTGACTACCTGTTCTGGTAGACTTCCAGCACATGGTCCATAAATTAGTTCTGCCAAATCCCCTGACTATGGTGAACGTTATGCTTTTGAATACTCATTCACGACTTTGCTCACTGGCTTCCCCAGAGTGAGCTCTTGTAAATTCACGGGGAAACTGAAGTCACATTATCTTCTCCTAGCAGTCTTAACAGTGGCAGTATTGCTCTGTCATACAGGTGGATTACAGATAGACTGTCCTTGCTATTTCATTTTTCAAAATTAAAAAAATATATTGTTTAGGGAAGCTGTTCAGTTGATGCCACGTGTCCTGAGCTGGTCTTGGAGGTGCTGCCAGGAGTTATTGGACCCTGTGAAGACCATCCCTGGATCTTGGGTTAAAAATCTGTATTCTAATCTGAACTGTGGGAAGAAGGGATGGTTGGTGATATTCCTACTTGAAGGACATCATGTTTTCCAGACTAGCACATGTGCAGACGGTTGCTGTCCTTCACTGTGGAATTCATTCTTCAGTAGCTTCTGCTATTGGGTTGGCCAAAAAGTTTGCAAGATGGTACAGAAAAACTCGAATGAACTTTTTGACCAACCCAATACATCTGCTGCAACTAAAAACACAGTCCAAGAGCCCTCCATCTTCTCATTACATTTTTGAATGGGAATCTAAATATGGTGCCCACAACTACCACCCTTTACCTGTAGCCCTGGAGAGAGGAAAAGGTATTTACATATGGGATGTAGAAGGCAGAAAATATTTTGACTTTCTGAGTGCTTACAGTGCTATCAACCAAGGGCACTGTCATCCAAAGACTGTGAATGCTTCGAAAAGTCAGGTGGATAAAGTGACCTTAACGTCTAGAGCTTTCTACAACAACATGCCTGGTGAATACAAAGAGTATGTTACTAGGGCTTCCCTGGTGGCACAGTGGTTGAGAATCCATCTGCCAATGCAGGGGGACATGGGTTTGAGCCCTGTTCCAGGAAGATCCCACATGCCGTGGAGCAACTAAGCCCATGTGCCACAACTACTGAGCCTGTGCTCTAGAGCCCGCGAGCCACAACTACTGAAGCCTACGTGCCACAACTCTGAGGCCCGTACACCTAGAGCCTGTGCTCCACAACAAGAGAAGCCACCACAATGAGAAGCCCGTGCTCCGCAACAGAGTAGCCCCCACTCGTTGCAACTAAAGAAAGCCCGAGTCCAGCAACAAAGACCCAACGCAGACAAAAAGTTTAAAAAAAAAGAGTATGTTACTAAACTTTTGAACTACTACGAAGTTCTTCCTATGATTACAGGAGTGGAGGCTGGAGAGAGTGCTTGCAAACTTGCTCGGAGATGGGGATATACTACTGAGAAGGGTATCCCAAAATACAAAGCAAAGATTGTTTTTTGCAGCCGGAAACTTTTGGGGTAGAACATTGTCTGCAATCTCCAGTTCCACACACCCAACCAGTTACAATGGTTTTGGACCATTTATGTCACGTTTTGAAATCACTCCATATAATGATCTGCCTGTTCTTCAGCGTGCACTTCAGGATCCAAATGTTGTGGCGTTCATGGTGGAACCAACTCAGGGTGAAGCAGGCATTGTTGTTCTGGATCCAGGCTACCTTGTGGGTGTGCAAGAGCTCTAAACCCAGCAACAGGTTCTGTTTATTGCTGATGAAATACAGACAGGATTGGCCAGAACTGGTAGATGGCTGGCTATTGATCACGAAAATGTCAGACCTGATACAGTTCTTCTAGGAAAGGCACTTTCTGGTGGTTTATACCCTGTATCCAGTGTTGTATAATGATGAAATAATGTTGACCATTAAACCAGGGGAACATGGTTCTATGTATGGTGGCAATCCACTAGGCTGCCGAGTGTCCATCACAGCCCTTGAGGTTTTGGAAGAAAACCTTGCTGAAAAATGCAGACAAATGGGTATCATCTTTTTTTTTTTTTTTTCTTGCGTTATGCGGGCCTCTCACTGTTGTGGCCTCTCCCATTTGCGGAGCACAGGCTCCGGACGCGCAGGCTCAGCGGCCATGGCTCACGGGCCCAGCCGCTCCGCGGCATGTGGGATCCTCCCGAAACGGGGCACGAACCCGCGTCTCCTGCATCGGCAGGCGGACTCTCAAGCACTGCGCCACCAGGGAAGCCCATGGGTATCATCTTAAGAAGTGAACGCATGAAGCTACCTTCTGATATTGTAACTGCTGTAAGAGGAAAAGGATTATTAAATGCTATTGTTATTAGAGAAACCAAAGACTGTGACGCTTGGAAGGTACGTCTGTGACTTCGAGATAATGGACTTCTGGCCAAGCCAACCCATGGTGATATCATCAGGTTTGCACCTCTGCTTGTGATCAAGGAGGAGGAGATTCTGGAGGCCGTGGACATCATTAACAAGAACATCTTGCCTTTCTGAGGGTGGTGACAGTTTTCAATGGCGCCTGGTAGCCAGCTGGAGACAGGCAGTCAGTTGACATCCTGTAAAAAGCTCTGCATTTCTGTGCTTAATGCAGGCATATTCCATTCCCTCGTGGCAAGGGCTTTTTAAAAAATATATGTTTTCAGTTCATACATAATAGAATGACACTTATAAACGTGCAGTGTGCTGTGTAACATGACTAAAAGAATATCCTGGCATCTTATATTCAATTAAGTGGTTTTGTGTGTGTGTGTGGTTTCTAAGGTGAGATGCCTCTCTCTATATAGAAAGCCTTTTAATCAAGCCCCTCAGCATAATTTATATATGTTTTAATAATTTCCTTGCTGGTATAAATGTTTGTATTTGAAAGTTATATGAGGGTATTACACAGAAGACTTGCTTAACCTTATAAAGCTGAATCATAATCACCAAATTTTAGGAAGGATTAATGGTTAAGCTTACATAAAATCTACTAGATTTAGGGCTTCCCTGGTGGCGCAGTGGTTGAGAGTCCACCTGCCGATGCAGGGGACGCGGGTTCGTGCCCCGGTCCGGGAAGATCCCACATGCCGCGGAGCGGCTGGGCCCGTGGGCTGAGCCTGTGCGTCTGGAGCCTGTGCTGCGCAACGGGAGAGACCACAGCAGTGAGAGGCCCGTATACCGAAAAGAAAAAAAAAAAAAAAATCTACTAGATTTAAGTAAACTCCATATTGGCCAGCACCAGGATGTACTCTATGAATGTCATTATTTTGAATTAAGAATTAATGTTTAACATTCCCAGATTATGTTTTAAGTGTTTGATATAATTTGTAAAAAGTGTTTATTTTCAGTGTTTCTTTAACTTTAAAATAAAGCTCATATTTAAAATGTCAAAGAAATATTGTTTAGGGATATGAATATACATGATAACATTATTATTATTTTTTTAATGTAAGTTAATGATGAATACAAATGTTAGAACGGTGGTTTCCTTTGGGAGGGAGGGAAGGGAAGGTGTATACAGGTAACTTCTAAGGTTCTATATCTTTACCTGGGAGGTGTTCAAATTTGTTACTGTTATTAAAAATAACAAAAAACATTTTATATGCTCTTTGTGTGTGATACATTTCAGCCTATTAAAAAGATGTACTTAATCTCCGTACCTTGAAGACTTAACTCCGTAGCTCTTTTGAGGTCATCATCTTCTTTCTGTTCCCAAGCCTCCTAAAGGGATAAGAACAAAACTAAGGTATTTAAAGAAGTATTGATTAAACTTATTTAATGAGGATAAAATCCGCTGCTCTGAAAGTATTTGCTAATGTTTTCTATAATCTTATGGATGTTTGGAATATGACCTCTTGAGGGATGTGGAGAAGTTCTTTACTTTTTCCAACACTGTCTTCCTAAAACAAAAACCTGGGGGTTAAAAAGGCTTAAATGTTATCTCTTCTAGTTAGTGATGCTTGGCTTGCCAACCAAAAGCCATTCAATGTGACATTATGATGTAATTCCCTTTTCTTCTAACATGTATGAGATACCTGGAACATAGCAGATACTTAGTGAATAGCTCTCTTTTCTTCCCCTGATTTACAGGATTTGCCCAGTTCCTTGGTATAAATACTCCTACCATGGCCAATTTTAAGCTACCAATGTGACTATGAATGCAGATTTGGGAAGTATGTAGAGTGGGCTCTCCTAATCTGACAGGGAGCTGGCTCGAGCACAGACCCTACGCCTATGACATCAAGATAAACAATATTGGGCTTCCCTGGTGGCACAGTGGTTGGGAGTCCGCCTGCCAATGCAGGGGACACGGATTTGTGCCCCGGTCCGGGAAGATCCCTCATGCCGCGGAGCGGCTGGGCCCATGAGCCATGGCCGCTGAGCCTGCGCGTCCGGAGCCTGTGCTCCCCAACGGGAGAGGCCACAACAGTGAGAGGCCCGCGTACCGCAAAAAAAAAACCAACCAAAAAACAATATTTCCACAACATATGATTCACAGATTTCTATTTTTATTCTTGTTAAAGAAACCATAAACACGTAAAAGAAGCTTAGTAAATACTAAATGAATGCTGCTGACTGTTGCTTTTCTAATACATACGAGGTTTTCTTAGAAAAAAATTGTACCTCTGAAAATGTCTCAGCTAGATGACTCATTATAAAAGGAATAGGAAAATGTTTACTACAAAAAAAATTTCCCTCATTTTCAGAGAAAAGATAACTTACAAAGGATGCATGAGTAAAAAAAAAAGTAAAATTGTTTTATCCTTTTCTCAATTCTAGACTTGTTGTTAAAGTTACTTAAATGTATAAGAAGCTTAGAATGAGCTATTCTGCATTATAGTCCTGGGAACAATAATACTGTGTTCAAGAAAGTTACAGAGGTGATCTCTAAGAGGAAATATGATTACTTAAATTTATCCAAGTATATAAAGTCTATGCTGAAACAAGAAGGTAAAGGACTCTCTTTTAGTAATTAATAGAATGATGCAGGTATACCAAACTAAAGAAACTTCATCTCATGATCCTATCCTCATATCTGAGAAAAATAAGATAGTTTTAAATGGGTCAGCTGACAAGAAAAATATATGTCTTTTGTCTAAGAAAAGGAGGGTTGCTGAATTTTTTCTTTTTCTGCACTATAAGGAACTATTGTTAAGAAACCAAACCATGGCCTTTTACACTAAGTTTTCTATAACAAATGATTACTATATGTTATTTGTAAGATAGTTTGACATATACACATCTTGATGACAAGGCAACCAGGGAGGTACTTCTTATAAATATCAATAAAAGGATACAGAGCAGGTGGCTCTGAAATAGTTTTAAAGCAGGAGTTCTCAACCTTGGCTGCACATTAGAATCACTGGGGGAACTTTTGCTTTGTTTTGTTTTTTTAAAAAACCCTTATTAAAAAAAAAAAAAGAAATCTAGATGCCAGACCACACTCCAAATCAATTACATCAGAATTTCTGAGGGGCAGAACAACCCAGGCATCAGTATTTTTTTTAAAGCTCCCTAGATAATATTAATGTGCAGTTTAAATTAAGGCCCAATATTCTAGTGACATTAGATTTCTTAATCTGATATTTGCAAACACTAAAATTGTGCATTCATTCTAGGGAGTCTTGGCAAATTTTTATTACTAACATGTATTGTATAGGATTAGATAACCATCAAAATATCACCTTTTAGTCAGATAACTCAGCTGACTGCAACAGTGCAAATCAACCAGCTTTGGCAAATACAAGCATAAAGAACTAAAAATTGAAGAATAGACAACTACATAAAGAAAAGAGCAGATAAATGTTAGTCTATGGCTAAAATCTAAAATTTCAGACAATATTCCTGAGAATTTTATGTTCAAATAATTCAGAGGAAAGGATTCATATTGTGAGAAAATGACCAAAACAAACATTTTGCCTTAAAATATTAATGATAAAATCAGCATGGTATACTGGCTGTTTCAACTGCTTGCAAAATAAAGTTGGTCTACGGATGATCTCTAACAACTCGTCTTGCTTTAATGTGTAATAAATTATAGTAATAGGAGGTAACCAACAAGACATTCTGTTGCATTTGGGTTTTTTAAAAAAGAAAAAGGACCAATGTTTCTGTTTCAAACCCAAGGCAAAAGCCCCAAACAAGTTTACTTTGTTTTGGTGGCTCAGTGGTTCATCATATGTAAATCACCTGGAATAATGCCTGACACATAGTGCTTAACAAATGTTTTTTACTATTATTATTGTTCTATTTCTTGGAAAAGATAGGTATGGAGAAAGCAGCAATATAAATATCTCTTACTTGCTCTTGAAGGCTCTGAGCCAATGCCTGCTGAAGCTCTTGTTCCTCCCTCTCACGCTCCATATCATACTGCTGGAGCCAATCAACCTCTCCTTGAGATCCTTCTGGAGTTTTGTTTTCCTTATTCTCATCACAGTCTTTAGTTATCTCGGTAAAACTGGCAGGATCTGAGGAAGCAGAACATAACATAACTGGGATATCCTCTTATAAACTGAACTCTCTGCACTAGAGTGACGTGCACTGTTCAAAGAGTAATGTATCCTAACCTCAGACGTACCTCCTTGGGACACACAATCTCACCTTACTACATATCTAGATCAGGGTTTCTCAATCTCAGCACTATTGACATTTTGGGTGGGATAGTTTTTTGTTTGGTGCGGGGAGAGGGGCTGCCCTGTACACTGTATAGTGTTTAGCAATATTCCTGACCCCTACCTACTACATGCCAGTAGCAACCCCACACTCCCCAGTTGTGACAACCAAAAGTGACATTGTCAGATGTCTCCTGGGGGACAAAACTGCCCTTGGTTGAGAAACACTGACCTACAGCAATGGTTCTGAAACTTAAGCAATCATCAGAAACACTATGGTTAAGGATGGAGAAGAATAAATAGCCATATTCAAAGGTCATGTCACATGACCAAGTACTAGGAATAAAGTATTGTTTAGGGTAAATGAAGTAAGAATTAGGATAGAATACTTAAGCTAAATACTGAGATTTTCCCATTTATTACACTGTATGTCATATGAGCGTTTTTACATTAATAATTAAATGAGCCTTGAACATATTCTAAATCAAAAGAGCTATATAAAATATGTAATAAACATCTCATGTACCATACAAGTATATGACAACATATATGTTTAAAACATTCATCCAAGGAGGTAAGGAAAAATATTAACCTTTTATTTCTTTCTGTTCATTCTCAATTTCTAGATTATGGCTAGCTGGAATAATAATATTATTATTATAAATATTATTGTTATTATAAATAATATAGGCATAATTTTGTTCTGGATATCTGAATTTCATTATTTTTAATATAGGTAAGAGTGGGGAGAAGAGGAAGGAACTTCCTTCCCTCCCTCCCTTCTCAAACACTTTACTAAAGCAAAAATTTTCGTCTTAGTAAGTTAAGGAAGTTCTCATAAAAAGAATTCAACTGGTTAACAAGAACTACCTTTACAGATTTATTTCACATGGATTGTTTTAAAATTAGTAAGTGCTCTTTACCTGCCCCACTACTGCATTGTAACCATTTAGATGGTAGATAATTTTCTATAGCACAGACAACTCTGAAGCTTACAGCATCTTGGTTTTAGACTCTAAGTCAGCAACTAGTCATCATTTTTCAATTGAACTGACTTGCTGAGTATTTATCATTGAAACTAATTCTGAATGTTCATTAAAAGAGGAAAAGAAACTCAGGATATTATTAAGTGCAAAAAGTAGTACGATTCCAATTAAAAAAAAATTATACTCCTCCATTCTTGGAGAATGTAATTTTCCATAGCCTCCAAGGGGCAGCTCTGAGGCGTATAAGACCCCACCTGGCCCTCTGGCCTTAGCTTACTGGACCAGGAATGAATATCTGAAAGAATCAACCAATCAGACCACTTCTGGAAATTTGGAACCATGACATTCAAAGTTAGTTGATGTTGAGCGTTTCAAGTGGAAGAAAGATTGGGGAGTTGAGGCTGCTATTTTAGGGCATAAGATAAGCATTATTACTTTTATTATCAAAACATACTCATAAAAAGAAGGTGACAGAGGCACAATTTTTCTTAACCAATAATTTTCAGCACTCAATGTACCAATAAACCTCACACAATCCTAGAATTACACTAGCAATTAATCCATGTGATAGAAAACAGATTTAAGAAAGTTTACTTTTAAGATGCTAAAAATCAATATACATCTGTCTTCAGGACAAGATTATCAGATGGATACAAAAAACATTTCAGATCTAGGAACAAATATGACCATGAAATAACACAGAGGGGAACCATGTGTTAAAACTCAAACATTCTTATACTAAATATATCATCTGCCGCTTCTCCCACCCCAAATGAAAGCTGCTCCTTTCCTACATTCTATATTTCAGTCACTGGGATCACTGTCAACCCAGTTTAGTTGTTTTTTTTTTTTTTGAAGATAGAAACCTGGGAGTCATTTTGACTGCTCATTTATCCCTTCGTATTACACAAATCGTTATTTCCTAATTATCTTTCGAATCCATCAACTGTTTTTCTTTCTTTCTTTTTTTTAAAAAAAATATTTATTTATTTGGCTGTGCTGGGTCTTAGTTGTGGCACGTGGGATCTTTTTTTTAGTTGCGGCATGCGGGCTCCTTTTTTGTGTGTGTGTGTGTTACGCGGGCCTCTCACGGTTGTGGCCTCTCCCGTTGCGAAGCACAGGCTCGGGATGCGCAGGCTCAGCGGCCATGGCTCACGGGCCCAGCCGCTCCGCGCATGTGGGATCTTCCCGGACCGGGGCACGAACCCGTGTCCCCTGCATCAGCAGGCGGACTCTCAACCACTGCGCCACCAGGGAAGCCCACGGGCTCCTTTTAATTTATTTTTTAGTTGCGGCATGCAGGATCTAGTTTCCTGACCAGGGATCGAACCTGGGCCCCCTGCACTGGGAATGCAGAGTCTTAACTACTGGACCACCAGGGAAGTCCCAACTGTTTTTCTTTTCAATGCCAAAACCTTGGCTTAGGGCACCATTAACTTTTGGTCTGGACTACTGCAATAACTGCCTAACAGGTCTCACAAGATACTTCGGTTCTTCTCTAATTTATGCTCTACACTGCAGCCAGAAATGATCTTTTTCAAATATAAATCTTTATCAAACACTTTTTCGCTTAAAATTATTCAGTAACTTCCTAGTGCTTTTGAAATAAAAGTCCAAACTCCTAAACATGGTTTTAGGCCATGTAAAAACTGGAGACTGCATAACTCTCTAGTCTCAACTTTTTGCTTTTCCCCCTCAACACCATGTTCCAGCCATGCAGATCATTCTGAACTTCTGTAGGTCCACTAACTTACCATGGCCTTTCTCATGTCTGGGCCTTTGCATACACTCTTCCCCTCCCTTTGACTAATAGTAAAACCTTACTTAACCAGTATTCCTTCCCCTCCTCAGTTGATTCATGAGACAACCAATCTGATGAGCCCCAAATATTTATTGAGAATCTACTATATGCCAGGCACTGCTAAAGAAGCTGGGGATATAGTGATAATTAAGGCAAGATGGCCCTTGCCCTGAAGGCGCTTAAGTGCAAAGCTTCTGAGATGAAAATGAGCTTAGCATGAGGGACACAGAGAGAATGCTAGTATGGCTAAAACAGAAGAGTGAAAGAGGGGGAAGGTAAAGATTGACCATGGTGAGAAGCTTGGATTAAGTGTAATGGGAAATCACAAGTTTTAAGCAGAAGGGTGACCGTGTGATTTAAGCTTCAGAAAGATTATGTTGGCTACTTTGTTCATGAAAGAAGGTCTGTAGTGGGGCAAGAATGACGGAAGAGACATTAGGAATCAACTGTAGTGGACCAGGTGAGAGATGGAAGGCTAGAGTTACAGCTATGAAGATGTTGATAAATGATTAAATTCAGGATATATTTCAGAGGTAGAGCAGACTAGACTTATTGATGGACTGAATGTAAGGTGTGAAGTAAAAAAATCAAGGGAGACATATTTTTTGGCCTGAGTCAAAAAATGGTGGATGGTAGTACCATTTGCTGATATGGGGCAGGGTTATGGGGGGGCGGGGGGCGGTTAAAAATTAGACAGCCAAATGGACATTTCAAGTAGGCATTTACATGTGTAAGTTTAAAGCTCAGGGGAGAGATCCGGGCTAGGGATATGAATTTGATATTTCATCAGTATGTGAGGTTATGGTAATGTCTGAGATCAGGGAGAGAACTTTTGGAAAAAAGACAGCTAAGGACAGTGTCCTGGGAATACTCCAACAGTTAGAGGTCTGATGAGGCAAGCAAAAAACAAAACCATAAACCCTGGAATGAACAGTTGGTTTAGTAGGAAGAAAAAACCATGGCAAGAGTAGTTTATAGGAAAACGTTTATAAAGCTTTAAATGTTAAGGAGGGAGTGATGGATTGTATGAAAGTTGCTAATGCAAACTTTATAAAGACCATTTCAGTGGAGTGGTGGGGATGAAAGCCCACTTGGAGAGGGCTGACAAGAGAATGGGAGATGGTAAGAAAGTAGAGGGAATGAGTAAAACAAATCTTTCAAAGGATTTTTCTGGGAAGGGAGCAAAGGGAGCAGAGGCTAGAGGGAAACACAAGGTCATGAGAGTTTTAAAAAGATGGGTGATATTAAGGCATACCAGGAATAATTTAGAAGAGGGAAGACCTGATGCAGAAGAGAAAGAGTATCATTTCAAGAGGGAAAGTCTTTAGAAGGCACAAGTAGATGAGATCTTGGATATGAATGGAGGGATTGGCCTTAAATAAGAAGAGGGACATTTCCTCCATAACAAAGGTGAAGGCAGAGTTTTCATCTGACTGCATCTATTTTCTTTGAAAGGTATACAGCTAAGTTATGTGCCTAGAGCATGTGTGGAAGGAGAACTACCGATTTGAGAAAGACATGGAGACCAAGAAAAGAAATTTACTAAGGAACTATAACAGAACTGATGAGTAGCATGTAGTGCCCATGTAAGAGTGTAGTCATGATTTTGAGGAAAGTATAGTCAGCACAGTTTGGGGACTTTTCTCCAGCAATCTTCAGCTGCTTGGGTGTAGGCATGGAATAAGAAGCTGGTTGAACTGGGAGATGGGACTTTGTTAGGCGATTGAGAGAAGAAAACAGAGGAAAGAGATAAAAGTACCAAAATATGGCATATAGGCTGGGGAGGGAAGTGGTGACAAGAGGGAGGTGATGAATAGCAAAAAGTAGAAGACAATGGATTGGAAGTCTTAATGAGATCAAGTAACTGTTGAAATAAGAATATGATATTAGGTGAGCTGGGGGAGAGAAGGGTTAGAGAAGGATATTTGAAATTAAGATTTCAAAGGTGGTACATTTACTGATGATGACAAAGTCTAGGGAAGTGGTTCTCAAACTTCAGCATGCATCAGAATCAAGTGGAATCAAAACACAGAATGCTGAGTCCCACATCCAGAGTTTCTCACTCAGTAGGTGTGCAGTGGGGTCAAGAATGGCATTTCCAGCAAGTTCCTACATGATACTGATGGCCTGGGGACACACTTGGAGAACTACTGGTTTAGGGTATGAGTTTTGGCAGTTATCAAGATGGGGAAGAAGAAAAGTTCTTTGGAAATAAGATTAGGAATTGAGAAACCAGGCTGTTGAAATGGTCATTCATGAGGATGCTGAAAGCCCTAAGAATGCTGATAGGCATGGAGTGACTGGACGGTAAGAGAGAGCTACAGAGATAATAGGTGGCAAAGTCTGAAGTCACATACCAAAGGAGCTGGAGTTTTTGTAGGATGAAAGAAGACAAGCAGTTGGAAACGGCAATGAGCAACAAGGAAAAAACCATCTCCAGGCTCTGAAGTTTTAGGGTATGGGGAAAAAAAAACAGCTTATACTTAAAGAATAGTAGGACAATCCATTATGGGAGTCTTTCAAAGAAAAATTGGCCTGACTAGAGACTAAAGGGACCTAACAACCAAATGCAGGGGGTAAGCTTTGGGTTCTAGATTTTTTAAAAAGTGTAAAAAATATTTTGGAGATAATTGGGTAAATGTGCATGTGGGCTCTATATTAGAACTATATATGGAATTACTATTAACATTCTTAGGTATGATAATTGTTATATAGGAAAATTTCCGTGTACTTAGGAGAGGCAGGCTGAAGTATTTTAGGGTGAAGTATTATGATACCTGCAACTTCAAATGGTTCCATTAAGTGTGTGTGTGTGTGTGTGTGTGTGTGTGTGTGTGTGTGCGCACGCGTGCACGCGCAATCTCTAAAGATGGCCTCCAATGAACCATGCCTACAGGTATTCTAACTCTGTGTGGTCCACCTCACAGTCAATCTGGGCAGATCCTGTGAGTGCTTTAATGAAATGTGGTGGAATTGATTCTGTCCTAATTTTGAGCCTATACATTAAGGAGATCTGGCAGCAGCCTCTTGTGCTTTTGGGAGCCCTGAGCTATCATGTAAGTTTGGCTACCATGCTGAAGAGGCCATACAGGAAGAGAGAGGCCCTGAGATTACATGAAGAGATGAAAAGCTGAGGAGAAGAGGGGAAGGGAGATGGCCAGGGAGAGGGGACCAGAAGAACAGAGAGGATATCTAGCCAGCTCAGCTGACCCTTCTAACCAACACAACCCATGTGCCAAGGTGAGCCATCTTGGATGTTGCAGCGCAGTTAAACCCCAGCCAACATCACACAGAGCAGAAAACACTACAAGCTAAGACCAGTCAATCCATAGTAATGAGATATTAAAATTACTGTTGTAAAGCACTAATTTTGGGGTAACTGCTGCATAACTACACATACACACAGGGGCTGTGTGGAAGGGAGAGAAAAAAATGTGACAAAATGTTAATGAATCAAGGTGAAGGGTATAAAAGTGTATATTGTTTTATTCTTCAATTTCTCTCTGGATTTGAAACTTTCAAAATAAAACCTTATGGAGGGTTTGATCACATTTGATCATTCCTTAGAATTATTATTGATTTTTAAAGTATGATAATGATATGGAGGATAGGTTTTTGTAAAAAGAGTTCTTATCTTTTAGTGATACTGAAATCCTTACCGATGAAATGATCTAGTATCTAGGATTCGCTTCCAAGGGCAGTGATTATAAGTTTAGTAAGAGAAGGGGACTTCATAAGGGTACTTGCATCAAGAGGTTAAAAAAAGGTGTAAAGAAAAAAGAAAAAAAAAAGGAAACATCTATATACAAAAATCATCAGCTTTTTGTTTCCAGTTAAATTGAGGAAATACTCTTATTTTACTTGCACATAAAATAATTCAAAACTGAGGAGGCCCTAACAACCCCAAGAATACAGAAAATAACTTTGTGATATACTACTATTCTCTTCATCTCCAAAATCCTAGGCTTGATATATGGAAACATGTTAGCTAGCTACCTAGATACAGATACTAAAGATATAGATACTAAAGATATCAGGAGAAAATATTAGACTTGGCCCCAGGAAAAGGAAGCGAAAATTTTCTACTTAAAAAATCTTCAAATACCCATAGTGCAAGGCAAGGAGGCTCAGCTCTGTTGTTTGAAGTGATAGCTTGAGAAATAACAAAATGTGAGTAAAAATTACCACAAAAATAATTTTTATCTGTATAGCACTTTACATAATATGTATATACTATCTAACATTCTACCCACAACTATCTGAAGTATGTTTGGTAGATTCCCCATACAGAGGTAAGAAAACTGAGTATCAAAGAGGTTAAATTACCTATTTAGAAATTTATAACTAGTAGGTGGTATAGCTAAGATTAGACACCCAAGACCCTCTTAGTTCAGTGGTCTTGCCACCATTATGAAGGGATGAACCCAAAGAAGAATGGAGAACTTAAATTATTTATACATTAAAACTTGGTATAAGTTCAGATATACAAAAATGAAGAATTACACAAATTTCTGAGAGCAGTGGTGTGAAAAAAGTGACCAAAAACTGACACAAACATTTTTTTTTTTTTGCGGTATGCGGGCCTTTCACAGTTGTGGCCTCTCCCATTGCGGAGCACAGGCTTCGGACGCGCAGGCTCAGTGGCCATGGCTCACGGGCCCAGCAGCGGCCATGGCTCACGGGCCCAGCCGCTCCGCGGCATGCGAGATCTTCCCGGACCAGGGCACGAACCCGTGTCCCCTGAATCGGCAGGCGGACTCTCAACCACTGCGCCACCAGGGAAGCCCTGACACAAACATTTTTTAAATGCACAAGAATACTAACTTTTCTTTTGATGTACACCTAAAGGGACATGGCATACTTTACCACTAGCCTCTGGATACTAACTCACAATATTTGCTTCTCATTTTTTTAAACTGTTAGGGAAAAAAAAGCACAAAAATATTATTAGCTCTGTTATTCAGATCCATCTCACCTCCCATTATGTAGAAGTCATTTGTTACTATTAAGCTTTGGAACACAGTTGTGCCTGTTTAACAGATGTTTATTTTCATCAAACCTACCGGGCTCTGTGACTGTTTTTGGCTTCTCAGTTTCCACAGGGTCTGGATTTTCAGGCATTTCTTGAATATCATCTTCTGCAAATCCGGTATCAGGGCTGCTGGTTGGTTTATCATCATCTTCATGACTGAGAGATGGTGAAGCTTCTCTTTTACTTATCTCTAAAACAGCTGCTAGAAGCTCTTCTTCACTCATTCCGTCAAATCCTGAGTTTTCCAATTCAGACTTATCAGGTTCTAGTCTGCAAGATTTTGAATCCTGAAGAATAGAGCTGCTTTTAGAAGAAACCAGAATGCCTACAAATATAGCAATCTTGGAGTTTAAAGTGATAGGGACTCCCCTGGTGGCACAGTGGTTAAGAATCCACCTGCCAACGCAGGGGACACGGGTTCGAGCCCTGGTCTGGGGAGATCCCACATGCTGCAGATCAACTAAGCCTGTGAGACACAAGTACTGAGCCTGCGCGCTAGAGCCCACGCGCCACAACTACTGAAGCCCGCGCGCCTAGAGCCCCGTGCTCCACAACAAGAGAAGCCACCGCAATGAGAAGCCCGTGCACCGCAAGGAAGAGTTGCTTTTGCTGGCTGAAACTAGAGAAAGCCCGCGCACAGCAACAAGGAAGGAACGGACGGAGGGAGGGAGGGAAGGAAGGAAGGAAGGAAGGAGGGAAGAAAGAGATCTTGCCGTTTGTGACATCACTGAAGGACCCTGAGGGAAATAAGTTACACAAAGACAAATAATGTATGATCTCACTTACATGTGGAATCTAAAAAGCAAACAAACAAAAAAACTAAGCTCACAGATACAGAGAACACATTGGTTGTTACCAGAGGTGGGGGCTAGGGAGTGAGTGAAATGGGTGAAGGGGCAAAAAGGTATAAACTTCCAGTTATAAAATAAATAAGTCACAGGGATGTAATGTACAGTATGGTGACTACAGTTAATAATATCATACTGCATACTGAAAGGTGCTAAGAGTACATCTGAAAAATCCTCATTCACAAGAAATGATCTATCCTGTGTATTTATCAAGTTTGCTGATGCTGGTTATGAAAGGCATTTGTTTGGACAGTCAGATATTTTGGTGAGAAATTACTTACCTTTTCCAGGTCTTCCTGCTGCTGTTCACTGCCTGACATTTCACAAAGTCTCTGGCTAAGGGCCACAGAGCGTTTAAGCTCATCTTCACTGTCTGAATCAAGGCATAAAGCCAGGGAATTCTTGGATTTGAAGGTGAAATTCCTGTAATTTAAGAAAAACGAACAAACAAAAAAACCCTATGTAAGTCTGACAAATAAACATTTGTCCTTGTTATTTCTTGAAGTATAAATATCAATTAAAACAAAAAGCTTTTCCATTATGGAGAATGATTTAACAGAGAAAAAAAGATATATCAAAAGAGGTATATTTAAGAATTACCTTTGCCCTACTCCAAAAGAGCCATGCTTTGAAAATCAGACAACTCTTATGCTATTATATATTATCAGTAAACCAATCACTTTGTGCCTTTTTTCTTTTAATGATCAACTCCAAAGAAGTTTGTTACTGGCTTTATAAAGCAAGTACTTTACTGAATGCATGCAGACATAGCAATGAATACATTTTTGACAAGAGAGTGCATGAGGACTAATTTTTGCTCTTTTAAATTATGATCCACGTACTTTGAAATTAACAGTAACATTCCACTTATCCATTTATATGTAGGTCCAACTTCTGGCAACCTCTACCTTCTAGAACACAGGAACTTAAAAGTAAAAAAAACAAAACAAAACAAAAAAAAAACGCCTCTGAGGAAGGCAGCAGTTTCGAAGCCCATGAACTTTACTCTTCAGGCAGGGATCCTATTTCCCCAGGAAATAGTGTATAAAATAATGTAGCAAGTTCATCAAGAAATGAGAGCTAAGAAATGAGAGAGAATAACCACAAAAAGGGCAATAAAGAACTATAAAGTAATTTAATGTAAAGGTAAACTGTCTTATAAGAATTAAGAGCCTCTGAGGGCATTATTATATGAAAACACAGTGCAATAACTGATATTTCAATGCCGATTTTAAGTAATTACAATATATTTAAATTATCTGCAGCGTATTTTATTTAATATAAGGAATTCTGTAAGCTTACAGAGATATAACCATCTAAAATGGTTAAAACACTTTAAAGATTAAAATTAAAAAGGCAATGTTTAAAAGGACAAGCTTCAGTTATATAAAAATTCATTTATTTGGAATATCAAATAGTATTCTTCAATGATACCAGATAAGTAAGGTGTTACTGTGCTGTCTTCTAAGTGAGCTGAAAATAAACTAAAGGAAAAAGTGGTAAAGGTCAAAAAGCACAAATTTTCTTTGATGAAGGTTAACATAAATTCATATGCTGTACTAAAAAACAAAAAATGTAAAATGGAAATTGGAAAATGCAATAATCTAAATGTGAAAACTGTAAATAAACATGTAGAATGATGGCACCAAGAAATAAGAGGCCACAATGGAAATCAGGAGGATTGCATAGCAATGTAGATCAAAGAAAAGAGGCAAGTGGTCAGTGATAAACCCAACCATAGTCTTTGGCTGAGAGCAGCCAGGATATCACTGCACTTCAGTCTGAACACTTGAATAGCCTCCCAATATGTGTTCAAAAAGGGTTTTTAATATAACTTAGAAATAGCCAATTAGCCATCTTAATTCTTCATTTCTGATTTCATGCTCACCAAGCAAAACTGAACATATTGATTTATTTATCCATGTAAATACTTTGCTGAAGGAGGGTGACACCTGGCTACTAATATACCAGGGTCAAATGTGACAAAGGACATTATAGAAGAATCAATGGTATTCTGGTTCATAGCTCAGCCTCTTTTAAGTTTGATCGGCATGACAGGTCTTCTAGGGCCTAATCATCCTTTATTGACCAACTCTCAAATTCTCATAGCAGTAAGACCCTGGAGAACAGATTGACCATGCCAAGTATAATGATGCCCAATGAAACCATCTCTTTCTTGAAGCTATAGTGATTTGGTACATAAAGAGTGCATTCCATTAATAGTTACTATATTCACAGAAGGCAGCTTGCCTGTAGTAAGGAAAAATATTCATCCTGTAAATGCATCACTTGCTCACTTTCTAAGCAGCCAAGTGGTATTGCTCATTTGTATCTTGAGAACGGGCAAGAGTATTCATATCGGTACCATTTCAGATTTCTAGTCAGTTAGTCATCTGGTTTTAATTGCACTGAAAAATAATTAACAGGAGGAAAAGAAAATAGCAATTCCCAAATGTCATTTTATGGTTATATAAGCCCCCCAAAAGCCCTTAAACAACAAAAGTGTCTCTTTTCTAAAAGTACTTTGGGACATCAAATTTTTAGAAAAACTAATTTTAAAGACAAATGACAACGAAGTCATTTAGAAATGTCTAATCAGGAACCGTGGTTCTAGTCAAATCATAGAGGAGGTATATTAAAAAAAAAGTATTTGTTTCCTTCTTGGACAAACTTTTGGTCTTAAGCAAAAAACATTTGTAGAATAGCTACATTCTAATGTGTATTTGTTTTCCTGTCCCCTTTCAGAATAGCTCCAGCTCAGTGTCTAAGACAAGAAGTCCCACACTGGCTAGCAACAGGTGAAAAGATATTTTGGGATCTCCATGTGTATATTTGAAGAATGGTGCTTTTTATACCAGCAGGGGTTATTTTAACCCTTCAATCCTTAAAATCCCTCATCATTAGTCAATTTCTAGAGTTGTAGGATGAAAATATTACATACAACAGATGATTTAAGAAGTTTTAAAACAAAATTTTGAGAGGACCATCTGAACTTGATTCAGTGTTAAAAACTTGATACTAAATTACAGTTTAAAGCATATTCAGGAAAATTCCAAAGTACAGTAATGCAGAGCAATTATCATGCAAAAAGAGAAACAATAAGAAAAGGGGAGGGGATAATCTTGGAAATCAGGGTAAGCCAAAACCTTAAAAATACAAATTTTGGGTACACAAGAAATATAACTCACTTTGAAGGTGTAGAAGGGCTGGTGATGCAGGAATTCACCATTTGAGAGGCTTTCAATGGTCTAGAACTATCAGAAAATTAGAAAATATATATGTATACAATTACTATTACTAAAAATATATTTAACTTATTAAATGAATTATTCTGTATTATAGTCCCTTATATATCCTCTTGAAAAGCAAACAATTATAATACTTTTTAACTAACAATAGAGGCCAAAAGAGAAAACAAAATACTTTCTCTAGGCTCTTCCTTGTCTAATGATCTAAATAAACAACACAATACAATATAAAGAGAACTTGGGAAATTCTCTGTCTCAGTTCTTTTAAGCAATAAAATAACAATAGCTCTCATTTATTGAGGACTTACTAGATGTCAGGCACCGTAGTAAGAACTCTTGTGTATTACCTCATTTAATGTTCACAACTACCCTGTTATTTTCCCTACATACAGGTCAAGGAATCTGTTCAAAATCTTAAAGCTATCATATCACAGAGTCAGAGAGCCTGGTTTCAGGCCTGTGATCATAAACAGCCTTGGCTAATGGTTTGAAAGTACTGACAGAAAGAATACTAGCTCCACCAGTAGAGGGCAGTTTCCATCAAGCAAAAACATCTATCCTAATGAAAGGCCATAAGAGAACAATCCAGAACCACTGATTCTCTGGGAACATGTTGTTATTGACTTATTGAGGCCTTTAGTGTAAACGTACATGATGTAGAATATATTTCAATTATCCAAGGGGAATAATTTTTACAAAACTTTATTAATTCACGTTAGCAAATGTTCATTTGCTTTCTGTAATGTCTATTATTCCACATCAATGAAGAGACCTGGCTCTTCCAGTTACTAACTGTATGAGCTTAAGAAAATCACTTAATTTCCTTGGATCTCCTCTGTAAAATTAAAAAGTTAGACAAAATCCCTTTTACCTCTAAAGCTCTAGAACTTCATGATTATACCAAACTAGTGTTCAAGTATAAAAAAGAACTACAATATATGGCTCCAAAGTAATGCAAGTACGCAGAAGAAAGAGAACATTTAGAAGTCTTAAGGTTTTCCTGGCATTCATGATGACGCAAAATAGAATGTAAAAGTTACTTCTTTTCTCAAGGAAAAATTTCGAGGAGCCATTGAAGTTCTTTGCTCAAACTGGTAATAATACATTTATGAAGACACAATCTATTTTGGGGGTCTCAGCATAATATTTAAAGTACTGTTTCTCAAGTTTGCAAACTCCAGAGTCAGCAAAGGCATTTGTTAAAAATATTGATTCCCCAGCCCTATATCAGATTTGCTGAAACAGAACTTCTAAGGAACAAACACAGGAATCAGTATTTTTAGCGTTCAAGTGACTCTTATGATCATGCAAATTTGGTTTATATTCCCCAAATGTATCAAACTATCTTCTAGTGATCTAAAAGAGTAAGGAGCACTCCCGGAAAAGGTAATTTATTATGTAAGGCAATTAATATGTGTTGAAAGTTTTTGTTTAAGCATTTTATTCAATTACTTATATCAGGTATAACTTAGCACAAAGTCCCAAAATAAAGCAAAATAAAAATCTCCTTCTTGGTCTGATTTTACCTGGAGTCATGTTATGTAGTTCAGTCATTCTTTTGATCAGATACTAAAAGCCTTTCTACTTCAAAAGGGAAAGAAATTCTCAAGGACTTACATTGCCATTTGTGCACTCCAACCAAGGTTGAAGGGTGGTTTTGTATTTTCAGTGCAATGAGATGAGAGGGTCAGGTATCTTGGAATGATGACTTGCTGCCCAATCTTGTTGTTAAGTGAGAGAGCAACATTGAAGCTATATCGTTTCAAATGAAGAATGAGGATCCTGAAAAACAGGAGATGATAACATTATTAGTTTATACGTAATAGAGGTAGCTCTCTTACAGGTAAGAAGAGATCACTGTAACTAACCATGTTAGACAGCTTTTGATTTAAAGACTACATTAGGCTGAACTAAAGATCTGTCAAAGAACATTTACTGAATACTTGCCATGTGCTAGGCATTGTGCTAGGTACTAAGAATAAAAATAAAAATAAAACACAGGCATTGGGTAGATATTAATTATTAATTGGGAGGTTTCAGTAAAATAATGTTCCTAGAAAATAAAACACATCAGACAAGAAAACTAATTTTAGAATATTGGTATTGGTAATGGATCAAATCCCTAAATTACTCATTTCAATGTTATATAGTTTACCAAAAAATGGATGTTATATAACGACAAATGGTAATTTAAAGTGTTAAACAGGATTTCCCTGGTGGCGTAGTGGTTAAGAATCCGCCTGCCAATGCAGGGGACATGGGTTCGAGCCCTGGTCCGGGAAGATCCCACATGCTGCGGAGCAACCAAGCCCATGTGCCACAACTAATAAGCCTGTGCTCTAGAGCCCACGAGCCACAACTACTGAAGCCTGCACACCTAGAGCCCGTGCTCCACAACAAGAGAAGCCACCGCAAATGAGAAGCCTGCTCACTGCAACTAGAGAAAGCCTACACACAGCAATGAAGACCCAACACAGTCAAAAATAAATAAATTTATTAAAATAAATAAATAAATAGTGTTAAACAGCCCTTATGTTTGATGGTGAAAATTAATTTTTTTAAGATGACTTTTGACAAGAACTGTTCTTATTTCAGTAGCACATTCTCTAGAGAAAGGTAAGAGAGAAATGAAAAGTTTTCTCCACTTATAAAAAAGTTCTATATGGGCTTCCCTGGTGGCGCAGTGGTTGAGAGTCCGCCTGCCAATGCAGGGGACACGGGTTCGTGCCCCGGTCCGGGAGGATCCCACGTGCCACGGAGCGGCTGGGCCCATGAGCCATGGCCGCCGAGCCTGCGCGTCCGGAGCCTGTGCTCCACAACAGGAGAGACCACAACAGTGAGAGGCCCACGTACCGCAAAAAAAAAAAAAAAAAACTTCTATAAAATGTACATGCACAACAAATTATAATTGAGTGTTACACATTACTGAATTAAAAATTTACTAGTAAGTCCCCATCATTATTCCAAAGTCTCATCAGCCTCGTTCTCTTGTTGCCATCTTCTTGGGACTCTCAGGTTCCTTCTCTTCTTCAACTTTCCAAATCTTCTTCCTTTCTTATACAAGAGAATTGTAGGTTTCCATTCTCTACCCTCTTCATATCTCAGCTTTGCTGACCTTCTTTACCAATCCATCTGATAAGCCTCACTTATTCAGTAATATTTGTAAGTACTTTGAAGAAGAAAACTTGAAGAGCCAATTAATTTTACCTGGGTAGCCTGTTAAATTTGTGCCTGACAAGAGCACATTTCCCACCACACTTCTCACAGGAATACTCAAGTTCTTCTGCCTGTAAAAAGACAAGAGGGAAAAATAAAGAAGTATAAAGTTGAATTAGCACTGCCCCATTAAATGCTAATTTCTCTAGTCATACTAGTTCAGTGGAATGACAACTCCGACCAGTTTAAATTTTGTGTCTAGAATCATAAGCCTTACTAAATTAAGACCTAATCCTCAAAATATAGTTATAATATCATGCCCTGTTTCAGAATTCCTAATTTCCTTTTTTTACCAAGGAAACATCTCAATTTATGACAGTAACTAAACTATAGTAGCAGATTCTCAACCTTTTCCCCATGGATACACAAGAACCACTGCCAAGAGTATATCCAGATTTTAACATTTGGCCATAGCAGAGATAAGATCACCTTCAGGTTAGGCGGAGTTCCTGGTCTGTTAGGTGTAACTCTACCCCTTTCTTATAATGGAACTCAATCTTCTGGTGACAGCCCACTAAGAACAACTGCTCTAAAAGGACCAAAGTTTGGGGTGGATATCATTACCTAGAGAAAACTGAAACAAGAAATCCTTAAAAAATGGGGGTAAAGATACACAGGAAAAGCTTCAAATTCTACGATAATAACAGGAATAATAAGGAATGACTAAAACAAAAAGAAAAGCAGAATATTTATCCTTGGGTGGAGCTGAATATTCATCATTTCAAGAACAGAGGTCTTTTTTTTTTTTTTAAATCTTAGGATGACAACCCTGCCCATTTGCTACAACAAAACAAGAACCACTATTATACAGATGGCGAACTGCCATCAATTATAAGGACTGCTACACAACATGTCCAATTATGCCCCAGAAACTTTCTGAATATCTGTAACAGTATAACACAAATGCAAATATTTATCTATAGCTCTGAATAAACATGACTTGTCCTTTCTGTTTCTAACATGGTACATATAACCTAAGAAGCAAAAAGTATTTTTTTTCATTCCTCAGATCTTAGTATACTAACTTAGATAGTGTCTCCAATTTTGACTCACATTACCCAATTTTAGCATATGTCACTTCATATTATTTGTTTACAAACAAATGCTTCTAAGGTTGTCCAAAACACTTGCTGTTGGGTTAGATGTATAATCTACTTGAGCAATTAATTTTCATCTACAATCAGTTAACAACCATATTTACCAAGCTCCTAAAAATAAATACTATTTATAAATATTTCTCATTTGTTTCCCCTGCAACTATTTTGTCAAAACTCTGCCTTGAAACCAACTTCAAATACAATTATCTATGATATATAAAATTTAGTTATGTGGAAATACCAAAAGATATTATTTACCCTAAAGAAAAGATCAAGGGAATCTTGAATTGAACGAGGAGGGAGTGGCTTTTTCCTTCGAGGAAGGTCAATGGAGAGGTCATTAAACTGTTCTCTTTTGGGAATAATCTCTCCACATCTGTAAAAATAAAAGAAGACAAATATAAGAATTTAGAAGCCTAACTGTGCAGTACAAAATAAATACAAATATACTTCAGAAACACTGCTCCCCCAATGAACTTATCAGGTACTGAGAGACCATGACTAGGTGTGAGAAATAAACATTTAAAAGTTTTCTCATGCTTACTTTAACCCTTATTAAATCCACACAGGTAAAACATCAATTGAAAGTGTTTAAATACTTTCTTAAAATGCTAAATTAAAAATTTTTATACTTTCCAAAAAACCCCCGAACTTTAAAACACTGAAGTATAATATATATATAGAAAAGTGAACCAAAGTTGTATAGCTTGATGAATTATCAGTTAACACACACATGTAATCACCACTCAACTCAAGAAACAGAACACTATGAACTCCCTATAAGCCCCCTCACATGCCTCTTCCCAATCACTCTCCCTTTCTTACTTCCAAAAGATAACTATTATCCTGACTTCCAACACAACAGTTGAGTTTTGGTTTTTTATCTAATCTGCCACTCTATGTCTTTTGATTGGAGCATGTAGTCCATTGACATTTAAGGTAATTATTGATAGATATGTATATATTGCCATTTTAAGCCTTATTTTCCAGTTGATTCTGTTTCTTCCTTGTTCCTTTCTTTTTCTTTTTGTGGCTTGATAATTTCCTTTTATTTTATGCTTGTGTTTTCTTCTTTTTGATTTTTGTGAATCTATTGTGTTTTTGATTTGTGGTCGCCCTGTTTTTTGAGTATGTTAACCCCTTCCTATATCTACTTGCTTTATTTATTTTATTTATTTATTTTAAAAAAATTTATTTATTGTGGCTGTGCCCAGTCTTAGTTGCAGCACACAAGATCTTCATTGTGGCATGTCAACTCTTAGTTGCAGCATGCATGTGGGATCTAGTTCCCCGACCAGGGATCGAACCTGGGCCCCCTGCACTGGGAGTGCAGAGTCTTACCCACTGGACCACCAGGGAAGTCCCTCTACTTGCTTTAGACTGATAGTCATACAGGCTCAAACACATTCTAAAAAATGGAATAGTCAGCCATAAAAAAAGAACGAAATAATGCTATTTGCAGCAACATGGATGCAACTAAAGATTATCATACTAATAAGTGAAGTAAGTCAGAAAGAGAAAGACAAATACCATATGATACCACTTATATGTGGAATCTAAAATATGACACAAATGAACCTATCTATGAAACAGAAACAGAATCACGGACATAGATAACAGACTGGTGGTTGCCAAGGGGGAGGGGGTTGGGGGGAAGGATAGTGTGGGAGGTTGGGGTTAGCAGATGTAAGCTACTATATATAGAATGGATAAACAACAAGGTCCCACTGTATTCAGCACAGGGGACGACAGTCAATATCCTATGATAAACCATAATGAAAAAGAAAATAAAAAAACAATGTATAACTGAATCACTTTGCTGTACAGCAGAAATTAACACAACACTGTAAAATAACTATACTTCAGTAAAAAAATATACAAACAGCTCATAAAGTTCAGTATCAAAAAAACAAACAAACAATCAAAAAATGGGCAGAAGATCTAAACAGACATTTCTCCAAAGAAGACACAAAGATGGCCAAAAGGCACATGAAAAGATGCTCAACATTGCTAATTACCAGAGAAATGCAAATCAAAACTACAATGAGGTATCACCTCACACTGGTCAGAATGGCCATCATCAAAAAGTCTACGAATAATAAATGCTGCAGGGGGTGTGGAGAAACAGGAACCCTCCTACACTATTTGTGGGAATGTAAACTGCTGCAGCCAGTATGCAGAACAGTATGCAGGTTCCTTAAAAAACTAAAAATAGGGCTACCATGTGATCTTGTGATCCCACTCCTGGCCATATATCCAGAGAAAACCATAATTCGAAAAGATACATGTACCCCAATGTTCACTGCAGCACTATTTACAATACCCAAGATATGGAAGCAACCTAAGTGTCCCCTGGCAGATGAATAAATAAAGATGTTGGGTATCTATACAATGGAATACTACTCAGCCATAAAAAAAGAACACCATTTGCAGCAATGTGGATGGACCTAGGTTTAATCATACCAAGTGAAGTAAGCCAGACAAAAACAAATATCATGTGATATCACTTATATGTGGAATCTAGAAGAAAAAAAAGATACAAATGAATTTATTTCTAAAACAGAAAGACTCACAGACACAAAAAACAAACTTATGGTTACCAAAGGGGAAAGGGGTGTGGGGGAAGGGATAAATTAGGAGGCTGGGATTAACATATACACACTACTATGTATAAAATAGATAACCAACAAGGACCTACTATATAGCACAGGGAACTATACCCAATATTATGTAATAATCTATAAGGAAAAAGAATCTGTAAAAGAATATACACATATAACTGAATCACTATGCTATATACCTGAAACTTACATGATACTGTAAATAACTATACTTCAATAAAAAATTTTTTAAAAAATAGTTGAGTTTTACCTTTTCTGAACCTTACATAAATGGAACCACACAGAATGTTTTCTTTTAACTAGCTTCTTTTGTTCAACATGATTATAAGATTCAACCATGCTTGTTGCAAATGGCTATAGCCCATTTTTCATTGTTGCCTAGTATTAAGCTGTATGAGCATGCCACAATTTTTCCATATTGATGGACATCTGGACTATTTCCAGTTTTTGACTAAATGAACAATGTGTCAAATTGAAAATACTATGTGTTCTCAGTAAACATGTGTAGGCAGCTCTGTTCCCTAGCAGAATTGTTTGGTCATTGGATACATTTTATAGAATTTCAGAAAATGGGCTCAGAGATCAAAACATCTTATTCAATTTACCTGGAAGCCAACTTCTTTCTTTTACTTAGTTTTAGTTGACTGTTTTTCATTTTGTCTGCATTATCAGCATTTTTAGTAATATTCATTTTCCTGTCCCAGTTCTCTATTGCAACAGTTGAAGACTAGGGACTGTAAGAATACATCTGTTCTTCATTAAATAAACATTATTGAGTGCCTCTCTCCTAGAATTCTAAGATGACCCTTGCCCTCCCTTGCCCTTCCTTGTATAATTCTATCTCCTTTGAGTGTGGGAGGACTGTGATTATGATGAGCTATTGCTCCCATGATGATGTTACTTTACATGGCAAAAGGGATTTTGCAGATACAATTAATGTTACTAATCTTAACTGTAAAGTTCATCAAAAAGGAGATTATCTGAATGGTTGAGGCCTCATTACATGAACTCTTTAAATCTGGGTCTAGAGGTCTCAAACAGAGGAAGTCACAGATTAGAAGTCAGAGACATGTACTGCTGGCCTGAAGAAAGCAAATAGCACTGTTGTGAACTTCCTATAGAGGCCACATGGCAAGAAACAATAGGCAACCTTTAGGAAATGAGTTGCCCCAGTCAACAGCTAACAAAAAAATGGGGACCTTAGTACTACAACTGAAAGGAACTAAATTCTGCTCACAACCTTAATGAGCTTAGAAGGGGACTCCAGCCAACACCTTGATTTCAGCTTTCTGATACCTGAGCAAAGAACTCAGCCATACCCTGCCTAGACTTCTGACCTACAGAACTGAGTTAAGTGGATGTTGTTTTAAGCTGCTAAGTTTGGGACAATTTGTTACGCATCACTGAATATGTATCCTCTATGCTGAAACTGTTCTCGGCACTGGGATTGTAGCAGAGAACAAACCAAGACAAAAATATGTCCCCTTATGAAGCTTTAATTATACTGGAGAAGAGATACAATAAAAATATATACATAAGTAAAATATATAGTATGCTAGGTAAGTGTTAAAGAAGAAAAAGAAAGTATAGAAGAGGGAAGCAAAAGATGAGAGTAGATGGCTGGAATTTTAGATATGGTAGCAAGAAAATGCCTCACTGAGCAAGTGATTTTTACATAAAGATATGGAGAAGGGAGGGCACTAGCCCTGTGGAGCCTCCTGTGGAGCCTGTGCTCCACAACAAGAGAAGCCACCGCAGTGAGAAACCTGTGCACCACGATGAAGAGCAGTCCCTGCTCGCCTCAACTAGAGAAAGCCCGCGAGCAGCAACAAAGATCCAACTCAACCAAAAATAAATAAATAAATTAATAATAATAATAAAAAAAAGGCGAACAAGTATTCTCGAAGAGCTTGATTTTCCACACAGTGATTAAAAGGAAAAAAACCACACACACAGTAACACACACTCAAAAAGCAGAGCAAAATTAACCATTTAGTCAGCACTAAAGCATTTGACAAACTAAGTTCACTTTAGTTCTCACCCCACCAAGCATTCTTATAGATGATAAAGACACTAAACAAAGATATTTATACTCATGTTTCCTCATGACACAGGAATGAAGATAAGAATTAAAACCTTCTAGAAGAGTTTTAGTCACTTGCTGTAAAGAATTAAAAGGGAAAAGAGTTCTATTAGAGACTACTTACGCTTTACAGATGATGGAGTGCTGAACTTCAAACTCCAAATTACTAATAACAGGGCAAGTGTATACTCTAGTAGCTGAAATATCTGGTGAATTTTCTTCTCCAGGAACAGGTTCAGTCTTCCAAGTTTTATTTAATTTTTCCATATCCTCTTTCAGCTGGTCTAAGCACTGACTTAAAAATTCATGAGCGTCCTAAGAAGGCATAATATCCTTAATAAGATCAAAACATTTCTTGTCACAACAATAGCTTATTAACACTGTGATCTATACGAGTAAAGCACTTACAAGTCAAAAACATGTGTGGAAAAAGGCCAGATTTACTCTAATGATTTTGCGGTACATATTTTGTGGAAACAAAACAACAAACGACATATTTTATATTCCTAAGTTAGATTAGCATGACTAATAAATGAATCACTCCTTCATTTGTGTTTTAAAAATAGAGTGATTTGGGTTTCCCTGGTGGTGCAGTGGTTGAGAGTCCACCTGCCGATGCAGGGGACATGGGTTCGTGCCCCGGTCCGGGAAGATCCCATGTGCTGCGGAGCTGCTGGGCCTGTGAGCCATGGCCGCTGGGCCTGCACGTCCAGAGCCTGTGCTCCGCAGCCGGAGAGGCCACAGCAGTGAGAGGCCCGCGTACCGCAAAAAATAAAATAAAATAAAATAAAATAAAATAGAGTGATTTTTCTAAAATAGCCTTTGTAGCTAAAATAGTCCAAGGTCCTACACTGGCAAACTACATCTATATTATTAACATGATAAAATACACAGAAGAGTCATACTGAACCTTAACAGAAGTCCTCAGGTTTTCCAACCTGTGATGAACACACATACACAAATCTCATTTTAAAATAAAATTGGGTAACATGCTAAAATCATTTCAATTTTCCCTATCTCTAAGGTGTTTAAAAACAATTGGACAAGCCTCTTAAATAGCTTCATCCACCAGAGAACAGAGAGCAGAAGCAAGAACTACAATCCTATAGCCTATGGAACAAAAACCACATTCACAGAAAGACAGACAAGATGAAAAGGCAGAGGGCTATGTACCAGATGAAAGAACAAGATAAAACCCCAGAAAAACAACTAAATGAAGTGGAGATAGGCAACCTTCCAGAAAAAGAATTCAGAATAATGATAGTGAAGATGATCCAGGACCTCGGAAAAAGAATGGAGGCAAAGATCGAGAAGATGCAAGAAATGTTTAACAAAGACCTAGAAGAATTAAAGAACAAACACCTAGAAGAATTAAAGAACAAACAAACAGAGATGAACAATACAATAACTGAAATGAAAAATAGACTATAAGGAATCAATAGCAGAATAACTGAGGCAGAAGAACGGATAAGTGACCTGGAAGACAGAATGGTAGAATTCACTGCTGCAGAACAGAATCAAGAAAAAAGAATGAAAAGAAATGAAGACAGCCTAAGAGACCTCTGGGACAACATTAAACGCAACAACATTTGCATTATAGGGGTCCAAGAAGGAGAAGAGACAGAGAAAGGACCTGAGAAAATATTTGAAGAGATTATAGTTGAAAACTTCCCTAACGTGGGAAAGGAAAGGAAATAGGCACCCAAGTCCAGGAAGTGCAGAGAGTCCCATACATGATAAACCCAAGGAGAAACACGCCGAGACACATAGTAATCAAATAGGCAAATATTAAAGACAAAGAAAAATTACTGAAAACACCAAGGGAAAAACAACAAATAACATACAAGGGATCTCCCATAAGGTTAACAGTTGATTTCTCAGCAGAAACTCTACAAGCCAGAAGGGAGTGGCATGATATACTTAAAGTGTCGAAAGGGAAGAACAACAACCAAGATTACTCTACCCGGCAAGGATTTCATTCAGATTCGATGGAGAAATCAAAAGCTTTACAGACAAGCAAAAGCTAAGAGAATTCAGCACCACCAAACCAGCTCTACAACAAATGCTAAAGGAACTTCTTGAAGTGGGAAACACAGAGAAAAGGACCTATAAAAACAAACCCAAAACAATTAAGAAAATGGTCACAGGAACATACATATCGATAATTACCTTAAACGTGAATGGATTAAATGCTCCAACCAAAAGACACAGGTTTGCTGAATGGATACAAAAACAAGACACACATATATGCTGTCTACACAAGACCCACTTCAGACCTAGGGACACATACAGACTGATTGAAAGTGAGGGGATGGAAAAAGATATTCCATGCAAATGAAAATCAAAAGAAAGCTGGAGTAGCAATACTCATATCAGATAAAATAGACTTTAAAATAAAGAATGGGGCTTCCCTGGTGGCGCAGTGGTTGAGAGTCCGCCTGCCGATGCAGGGGACGCGGGTTCGTGCCCCAGTCCGGGAGGATCCCACATGCCGCAGAGCAGCTGGGCCCGTGAGCCATGGCCGCTAGGCCTGCGCGTCCGGAGCCTGTGCTCCACAACGGGAGAGGCCACAACAGTGAGAGGCCCGCATACCGCAGAAAAAACAAAAAATAAATAAAATAAAATAAAGAATGTTACAAGAGACAAAGGAAGGACACTACGTAATGATCAAGGGATCAATCCAAGAAGAAGATATAACAATTATAAATATATATGCACCCAACATAGGAGCACCTCAATACATAAGGCAACTGCTAACAGCTATAAAAGGGGAAATCAACAGTAACACAATAATAGTGGGGGAGTTTTAACACCTCACTTACACCAATGGACAGATCATCCAAAAACAAAATTAATAAGGGCCACAAGCTTTAAATGACACAATAGATCAGATAGATTTAATTCATATTTATAGGACATTCCATCCAAAAACAGCAGATCACACTTTCTTCTCAAGTGCGCATAGAACATTCTCCAGGATAGATCACATCTTGGGTCACAAATCAAGCCTCAGTAAATTTAAGACAAGTGAATCATATCAAGCATCTTTTCTGACCACAACGCTATGAGATTAGAAATCAATTACAGGGAAAAAAACGTAAAAAACAAAAACACATGGAGATTAAACAATACATTACTAAATAACCAAGAGATCACTGAAAAAATCAAAGAGGAAATCAAAAAATACCTAGAGACAAATGACAATGAAAACACGACAATCCAAAACCTATGGGATGTGGCAAAAGCAGTTCTAAGAGGGAAGTTTATAGCTATACAAGCCTACCTCAAGAAACAACAAAAATCTCAAATAAACAATCTAACCTTACACCTAAAGGAACTAGAGAAAGAAGAGCAAACAAAACCCAAAGTTAGCAGAAGAAATCATAAAGATCAGAGCAGAAATAAATGAAATAGAAATAAAGAAAACAGCAGCAAAGATCAATAAAACTAAAAGCGGGTTCTTTGAGAAGATAAACAAAATTGATAAACCATTAGCCAGACTCATCAAGAAAAAGAGGGAGAGGACTCAAATCAATAAAATTAGAAATGAAAAAGGAGAAGTTACAACAGACACTGCAGAAATACAAAGCATCCTCAGAGACTACTACAAGCAACTCTATGCCAATAAAATGGACAACCTGGAAGAAATGGACAAATTCTTAGAAAGGTATAACCTTCCAAGACTGAACCAGGAAGAAATAGAAAATATGAACAGACCAATCACAAGTAATGAAACTGAAACTGTGATTAAAAATCTTCCAACAAATAAAAGTCCAGGACCAGATGGCTTCACAGGTGAATTCTATCAAACATTTAGAGAAGAGCTAACACCCATCCTTCTCAAACTCTTCCAAAAAATTGCAGAGGAAGGAACACTCCCAAACTCATTCTATGAGCCCACCATCACCCTGATACCAAAACCAGACAAAGATACTACAAAAAAAGAAAATTTCAGACCAATATCACTGATGAATACAGATGCAAAAATCCTCAACAAAATACTAGCAAACAGAAGCCAACAGCACATTAAAAGGATTATATACCATGATCAAGTGGGATTTATCCCAGGGATGCAAGGATTCTTCAATATAGGCAAATCAATCAATGTGATACACCATATTAATGAACTGAAGGAGAAAAACCATATGATCATCTTAATAGATGCAGAAAAGCTTGTGACAAAATTTAACACCCATTTATGATAAAAACTCTCCAGAAAGTGGGCATAGAGGGAACCTACCTCAACATAATAAAGGTCAAATTATGACAAACCCACAGCAAACATCATTCTCAATGGTGAAAAACTGAAAGCATTTCCTCTAAGATCAGGAACAAGACAAGGATGTCCACTCTCACCACTATTATTCAACATAGTTTTGGAAGTCCTAGCCATGGCAATCAGAGAAGAAAAAGAAATAAAAGGAATACAAATTGGAAAAGCAAAAGTAAAACTGTCACTCTTTGCAGATGACATGATACTAGATAGAGAATCCTGAAGATGCCACCAGAAAACTACTACAGCTAATAGAGTGAATTTGGGAAAGGTGCAGGATACAAAATTAATGCACAGAAATCTCTTGCATTCCTATACACTAATGATGAAAAATCTGAAAGAGAAATTAAGGAAGCACTCCCATTTACCACTGCAACAAAAAGAATAAAATACCTAAGAATAGGGCTTCCCTGGTGGCGCAACTGTTGAGAATCTGCCAGCCAATGCAGGGGACACGGGTTCGAGCCCTGGTCCGGGAAGATCCCACATGCAGTAGAGCAACTAAGCCCATGCGCCACAACTACTGAGCCTGTGCTCTAGAGCCTGTGAGTCGCAACTACTGAGACCTCATGCTGCAACTACTGAAGCCCGCGCTCCTAGAGCCCGTGCTCCACAACGAGAGAAGCCACCACAATAAGAAACCCGCACACTGCAACGAAGACCCAACACAGCCAAAAATAAATAAATAAAATAAATAAATTAAAAAACAAAACAAAACCTAGGAATAAACCTACCTAGGGAGACAAAAGACCTGTATGTAGAAAACTATAAGACACTGATGAAAGTTGTTAAAGTTGATACCAACAGATGGAGAGATATACCATGTTCTTGGACTGGAAGAATTAATATTGTGAAAATGACTATACTACCCAAAGCAATCTACAGATTCAATGCAATCCCTATCAAATTACCAATGGCATTTTTTACAGAGCTAGAACAAAAAATCTCAAAATGTGTATGGAGACAGAAAAGACCCCAAATAGCCAAAGCAGTCTTGAGGGAAAGAAACGGAGCTGGAGGAATCAGACTCCCTGACTTCAGACTATACTACAAAGCTACAGTAATCAAGACAATGTAGTACTGGCACAAAAACAGAAATATAGATCAATGGAACAAGATAGAAAGCCCAGACATAAACCCACACACCTATGGTCAACTAATCTATGACAAAGGGGGCAAGGATATACAATGGAGAAAAGACAGTCTCTTCAATAAATGGTGCTGGGAAAACTGGACAGCTACATGTAAAAAAATGAAATTAGAACACTCCCTAACACCATACACAAAAGTAAACTCAAAATGGATTAGAGACCTAAATGTAAGACCAGACACTATAAAACTCTTAGAGGAAAACCTAGGAAGAACACTCTTTTGACATAAATCACAGCAATGTCTTTTTTGATCCACCTCCTAGAGTAATGGAAATAAAAACAAAAATAAACAAATGGGACCTAATGAAACTTAAAAGCTTTTGCACAGCAAAGGAAACTGTAAACAAGACGAAAAGACAACCCTCAGAATGGGAGAAAATATTTGCCAACGAATCAACAGACAAAGGATTAATCTCCAAAATATATAAACAGCTCATGCAGCTCAATACTAAAAAAACAAACAACCCAATCCAAAAATAGGCAGAAGACCTAAAGAGACATTTCTACAAAGAAGACATAAAGATGGCCAGGAAGCATATGAAAAGCTGCTCAACATCCCTAATTATTAGAGAAATGCAAATCAAAACTACAATGAGGTACCACCTCACACCAGTTAGAATGGGCAGCATCAGAAAATCTACAAACAACAAATGCTGGAGAGCGTGTGGAGAAAAGGCAACCCTCTTGCACTGTTGGTGGGAATGTAAATTGATACAGCCACTATGGAGAACAGTATGGAGGTTCCTTAAAAAACTAAAAATAGAATTACCATACGACCCAGCAATCCCACCACTGGGCATATACCCAGAGAAAACCATAATTGAAAAAGACACAAGCACCCCAGTGTTCATTGCAGCACTATTTACAATAGCCAGGTCATGGAAGCAACCTAAATGCCCTTTGACAGACAAATGGATAAAGAAGATGTGGTACATATATACAATGGAATATTACTCAGCCATAAAAAGGAATGAAATTGGGTCATTTGTAGAGATGTGGATGGACCTAGAGACTGTCACACAGAGTGAAGTCAGAAAGAGAAAAACAAATATCATATATTAACGCATATATGTGGAACCTAGAAAAATGGTACAAATGAACCAGTTTACACAGAAATTGAGACACAGATGTAGAGAACAAACCTATGGACACCAAGGAGGGAAAGTGGCAGGGGGTGGGGGTGGTGGTGTGATGAATTGGGAGATTGGGATTGACATGTATAAAATGGATGACTAATAAGAACCTGCTGTATAAAAAAATAAATAAAATTCAAAAATCAAAAAAAAGAAATAGAAAAAATAAAAACAATTAGTACTCACATTCTGCATATAACCAGAGAATCTCTCTGCTGTAGCTGAAATGGCATTTTTAACCTTCCTGAGTAAATCTTTTTTCGTCTCTGAATTACAGATATCTTTTTTAACAAGCAAGTGTGCAAAGCGCCTGGTAAAAGAGACAAATTTAGCAGGTTTTACAAAACTCTGGATGGTATTATCTTTTAAGGACTGCTAACAATGGCACATAAAAATTTAAGTGTCTAATACTCCATTATTCTATAATAAATAAGGCAAAAATGTTAGTAAGTACATAACAAGTTACCTGATAAGTGCGTTGAGTGGAATTTTCTTCCATGGGATACCTTGCTTGAGCAAGTCATTTGCAAATGATTGGAGTGAAAACAGAGACTGTAAAATAGCATTCATATAGCAGGTATTTCCCAAATTGGAGAAGCTGAAAATGAAAGAAATAGTACTTTTGAAGACAACAGTAGTTCCTGAAGTACGTTCACCTGAGCAGGGGTTCGCCACTATAGCATGCATCAGAATCACCTGGAGGGTTTGTTAAAATACATATTGCTGGGCCCCAACTCCAGAGTTTCTGATTCTGTAGGTCTGGACAGGGAAGGTGCAAAAAATGTGCACTTCTAACAGGATCCCAGTTGATGCTGATGCAGTATAACATTAATATAACTTAGTTTCATCTCAAGGAAAATTATACATTTTCAAATGAATGCTAAAAAGGACGGGGGACTTACCCAGAATATATATATGCTTAATGGGTACCGCCAAACATTATTCTAAAGTACATATTTAAAAAAAACTTTTGTTTGGAAATATTCTCAAACTTTCAGAAAAGTTGCACAGAATAATATTCTTTACCTAGATTCACCAATTGTTAACCCTTTTGTACTCTGTGCTTTATCATTTAACACCTCTCTCTCTATATTTTTCCTGAACCATCTGAAAATAGATCATACCCATTTAGTTCTAAATACTTCAGGGTATATTTCAAAAGAACGAGAACATTCTCTTATATAACCAGAGTACAGTTACAAGCATTATAAAATTTAATGCTAACATAATACTCTTATCTAATATACCTTCTTTAATCCAATTTTGTCAATTGACCCCATGTTTCTTCACAGCATTTTTTTCTCCTTAAGCACAAGATTCAGTCCAGGATAACATAATGCATTTAGTTTTCATGTCTCTTTAGTTTTCTTCAATCTGGAATAATTCTTACACTTGGACTCAACTCTGTCATGTTGTTATAATTTTACTTATCTATTTGGTGTGTTTTAGAAATATTTCTTTTGGTTTTAAGAAAGGATTTTTTTAAAGTGGTTATATCTGTATTTGTACTTTTTTATAGTGCTCATAACCCTTGTTTTTTAAGCTTTTTTTTTTTTTTTTACTATCTAGTCTGTCCATTTTAAATAGTACTCTTCCCTGTAACCAGTAAATAGCCCCTTCCCTGTAACCAGTGCTGCAAACAACCAAGATCCAGACCTATATTCAATATTTAGAAACTTAGTATTTGAATTTCTCTTTCTGAGAGTGATTTTTTCTGTGCTTCATCTAAGTCTTTTACTCCTATATATTCTTTTTTCATGAAATCTCTTAAGCCTCTTGTCCCTGACTCTCAGCACCCACAGGCTTAAAGCAGTGGGAAACAGGAACACTGCTAGAATCTGCTTTGCTTCTCTACTTAGAAAGTAGTTTAAAGGTGATGGTATTGTCTCCTAGAATGCTAAAGGTTATATGTGTTTTTCTTTGAACTCCTCATACTTTTTATGTTTTGTGGGGTATTTGTGAGGAATACTGGAATTAGGTAGCCTCCATTAACCTCTAGACTTGGCAGTTCTCTACTCGGTATTTTTGTTTATTTGTTTGTTTTTTAAGGAGTCCTTAGTCCTGGGTATTTAGCCTACTTGAAATATTGCACTCAAATTCCTGCAAGACGTCTGAAAAAAGGAAAGTTGGGTACAGGTAGTATACAGAAATTAAAGAAACACTGGAGGTAGAGAGGAAGCCTGGAGCACCAAGGGTAACTCAAGGATATCAAAGGACTCAGAAGGATATGAATGACAGAGACCAAAAGTACACTATAAAATACATAGGAGGAGGCACTAAGAAGATGAGCCAAGTAAGATTAAGGTACATAGAAATAAGATATGGATAAAAAATGGTCACAAAATAGGACAGACTAATATAAAAACGTTGTCTGGTAAGGAAGCAGCAAGATAATAATTTGAGGCAGAACAATTAGAATGAAGAAGAAAGGAAATTAAGAATTAAACTGGAAGGTAAATATTTTAGAAGACAAAGCAAAAAAGAAGAGGCTCGGAGAAGAAAAGTAAGTAGAGAAGAAAGTAAAATGTTTTCACTACAAGTTTTATGTTTTTCTCTGCTAAAATATGAGGCAAATAAACTACTATGGATAAACCAAACTGGCAGACACCAGTCACTCAAGTAAAAAGGTAATCCGAAAGCTGGGGAAAAACAGTAATCTGAGTGAGATTAAAAACAAAAAAGCTGGTAGGTTTTGGGAAAGCAATGTGGTAAGAGTAATCAAAAATTTCAAAGTGCCTCTCTTAGTTTTAACAATTCTATTTCCAAGAATTTTTCCTATAGAAAAGTTCTAACAAATATTAAAAACACGTGTATAAAAATGTTCATTTTAACCTGGATTATAACTGGAAAAAAGGGGAATCTAAATGCACACTAACATGGTTAAAGATTATGTACTAGCATAAGAGGATGCCCATAATTAATGTGGGGTAGAAAGAAATCAGGGAACAGAGAAGTAATACAGCATAGTGATTAAGAATGCAAGTGAACATGGTGATCATTTTGAAATGTACAGAAATACTGAATCACTATGTTGTGCACCAGTAGTAACATAGTGTTGTAGGTCACTTATACTTCAAAAACAAATAAATAAACAAACAAACTCAAAGAAAAGATCAGATTTGTGGTTACTGGATGTGGGGAGTAGGGGAAGGGAGAACTGGATGAATGTGGTGAAAAGGTACAAACTTCCAGTTATCAGATAAATAATTACTAGGAATATAATGTACAACATGATTAATATAATTAACACTGCTATATGTTATATAGGAGAGTTGTTAAGAGAGTAAATCCTAAGAGTTCTCAAGGATTCTTGAAAAAGGAAAAAATATTTTTTCTAGGGAACTCTCCTACACTGTTGGTGGGAATGTAAATTGGTGCAGCCACTGTGAAAAACAGTATGGAGGTTCCTCAGAAAACTAGAAATAGAATTACCATATGATCCAACAATCCCAATCCTGGGCATATATCCAGACAAAACTATAATTCAAAAAGATACATGAACCCCTATGTTCATAGCAGCACTATTCACAACAGGCAAGACATGGAAACAACCTAAATGTCCATCGACAGATAAATGGATAAAGAAGATGTGGTATATATACACAATGGAATATTACTCGGCCATAAAAAGAATGAAATAATGCCATATGCAGCAACATGGATGCAACTAGATATTACCATACTAACTGAAGTAAGTCAGAAAGAGAAAGACCAATACCATATGATATCACTTATATGAGGAATCTAAAATATGACACAAATGAACCTATCTATGAAACAGAAACAGAACCACAGACACAGATAACAGACTGGTGGTTGCCAAGGGAAAGGGGGTGAAAGAGTGGGAGATTGGGGTTAGCAGATGTAAGCTATTATATATAGAATGGATAAACAAGGTCCTACTGTATAGCACAGACAAGTATATTCAAGAGCCTATGATAGTATGATAGGACTTCCCTGGTGGCGCAGTGATTAAGAATCCACCTGCCAATGCAGGGGACATGGGTTCGAGCCCTGGTCCGGGAAGAACCCACATGCCATGGAGCAACTAAGCCCGTGTGCCACAACTACTGAGCTTGTGCTCTAGAGCCCGCAAGCCACAACTACTGAACCTATGTGCCACAACTACTGAAGCCCGCACGCCTAGAGCCCATGCTCCACATCAAGAAAAGCCACTGCAATGACAAGCCTGTGCACCTCAATGAAGAGTAGCCCCCCGCTCACCGCAACTAGAGAAAGCCCACGTGCAGCAACGAAGACCCAACACAGCCAAAAATAAATAAATTAAATAAATTAAAAAAAAATAGCCTATGATAAACCATCATGGAAAAGATTAAAAACAACAATGTATATATATATATATATGTATAACTGAATCACTTTGCTGTATAGCAGAAATTAACACATTGTAAATCAACACTTCAATTAAAAAAATATTTTTTCTTTTTCTTTTGGTTTATATCTATATAAGATGATGGATATTCACTAAACTTATTGTGGTAATCATTTCATGATGTATGTAAGTCAAATCGTTATGCTGTACAATTTAAACTTACACAGTGCTGTACATCAATTATATCTCAATAAAATTGGAAGGAAAAAAATACAAGTGCAGTCCAACTGCCTAGATTTACTACTGCTGTACTACAACACCTCAAGTAAGTTAATTAACTTCTCTAAGCCTTAGTTACGTCATCTATAAAAACAGATTTTTTAATACGTCTAGCTCAGAGAGCTATTGCGAAGATTTAAAGAAAAAAATTCATTTAAATGCTTAGCACAGTCTCTGGCACATAACAAACACTTTAGATAAAGCTGCTATTATTATTATAGTTATTATACCATGGTCTCATTTTTGGGTGTTTAATAAGAATATAAGCATGAAGGGGCTGGGAAGGATATAAATAAAACTAATGTTGAAGTATCTCAGGAGATGACGTGTATGGGATTTAAGAATATGCACTTTCTGCTTTATGACAAATGTTTATATATATATATATATATATATGCATATATATTTTTCCAAAGTTTGAAAATTAGAGGCCAGATAATGGACTGAATTTTATCGATGTGATAAATCTTTAATAAGTGAGCAAATATTTGAGAACTAAAATTAATATGACTCCTTTAATTATTTTTTTATACCAAGTAAAACATACTTCAGCTGAATCACTTTATAAAAAGAAAGCAAAATAAAAGAATTTACCTACCCCTGCAGTTGCTGCTGTTGGTGAGAGGAAAGGGGCACTCTTGGTTTGTTCCAGCCGGTGTAATCCTGGTTACACCTCAGTTTTTTAACAGAAAGAGGAGCTGGCTGAGGAAGAAATCCCAAACTTCTTTTGGCAGAGGGAGTTTGGCTTGAAATATTAGTCCTATAAAAAAGAAAAAATGAAGAAGCATAACAATTTTGAATGTTACTTTTTTCCCCTAGTAGATTCAGAGAAGTCAAGGTCTAGGGGAAAAAAATCCTAAATTTGAGGAAATATCAGTAATAATGATCACTTGGAAGAAAATTTCACAAATGTAAATCAGCAAATCTGTTGATAGGGAGCTGAAGGCATAATACTGTACCTACATAACCTATAATCAAAATAATCCAAGTTAATAGCTTGAGAAAAGCCATAAATAGCTTTACTTCTTTATTCACTTTTATCCACTTAATGACTATCATACATTAGTTTACCTAGTCTTGAAAACATTTAGGCAGTGAACTTTTTCCACTGTTAGACAACAAATATTCTTACCCAATCTTCTTGAGAACTTACTCTAATTTATATGCTTAGCAGTGAAAATGGTAGGAGTATTTTCATTTCAAGTTTTCCTAGATAGTGACTGTTTCCCAAAAAGGCTGTACTAATTTATATTTCCATCAGTAGTGAATTTCCCTTTCTTTACATGGTCTCCATTACATTATTATCACTCTAATGAGTGAAACATGATCTCATTGTTATTTTGTTTTATATTTTCCTGATTACTACCACAGTTGAACGTATCAATCTTTTCTTTATGGTTTCAATTTCTGTGTCTTGCTTAAGAATCACTCTGTAGGGACGTTCCTGGTGGCGAGTGGACAAGAATCTGCCTTCCAATGCAGGGGACATGGGTTCGAGCCCTGGTCCATGAAGATCCCACATGCCGTGGAGCAACTAAGCCCGTGCACCACAACTACTGAGCCTGCGAGCCACAACTACTGAGCCCACGTGCCACAACTACTGAAGCCCACACGTCTAAAGCCCATGCTCCGCAACAAGAGAAGCCATCGCAATGAGAAGCCTGCACACCGCAACTAAGAGTAGCCCCCGCTCGCCGCAACTAGAGAAAGCCCGCACACAGCAACGAAGACCCATTGCAGCCAAAAATAAATGAATAAATTTTTTAAAAAAAGGAATCATTCTGTAATGTAAGGTCAGAGAAATGTTTTCCTATATTATCTTTTAAAAGTTTAAAATCTTGTTTTCCCTCCTACTCAGGTCTTCAAGCTGTTTTGGACATTTACTTTTTGCATCTTGTAAAGCAGGAATTAGGATTTACTTTTTTATAAGGAAAAACCAATTGTCCCCAAACAACTTATTGTCTGCCTAGGCCATCTGTTAGCCAGTGTCTGGTTTTTACTCAAAAAAAAAAAAAAATTGTGAAATAGAATACAGAAAAGTATATAAAAATCAAATGTGTAACACTGTGGTACAGGATGTTGATACTGAGGGAAGTTTTGTGTGTGAGGGGGGATGGGGGTATTAGGTACACTTTGCACTTTCTGTTCAATTTTGCTGTGAACCTAAAACTGTTCTAGAAAGAAAAGTTTATTAATTAAAAATCAAGTGTGGAGCTTAACAATATTTTTATAAAGCAAACACATATGTAAACAACCATTAATGTCAAAAACCTCCAAGTATCCCTTCCCAGTCACAACCCCATTCCTCTACCCTAAAAGCTATCATTAGCTTTCTATCAGTTTTATTTCTTACTATGTACTCCTACATATTGTAGTTTGGACAATGAAAGGTATATCTGTTTTCATCCTTTCGCTTTCAACATTTCTCCATCTTTATACTGTAGTTGTCTTTTAAACAGCACATGGATTACTATTCTTCCTTTAAAATCCAGTCTTTCTCTTTAACTGAAACATTTAGTGTATTTATATTTAATGTCATTACTGATTTAGGTTAATAACTCAAAATCTTTGTCTACTAATTCTATCATATGTGTCATTTCTGAGTATTTATTAATTTTTCTCTTCTTATGAGTTGTATTTTCCTGTTTGTAAGCTTAGTAATATTTTCTTGGATGTCAGACATTGTGAATTTTATCTTGTGGGGTGCTGTGTATTTTTTATTTCTAGAAATATTCTCAAATTTTGTTCTGGGATGTGCTTAGGTTACCGGGAAACAGTTTGATCTTTTTCGATCTTGCTTTTAAGGTTTGTCATGTGGGAAAAGAGCAGCAATTCGTCTAGGGATAGTTTTTCCTCACTAATGGGGTGAGACCTTTCTTAGGCATTCAAATTGCTGCTATTAGGAACAGGAACTATGCCTGGCTTTATGTATACTCCAAGTATTATTCCCTTACATCCTTTTGGGTGGTTCTTTCCCTGGCCTTGACTAGTTTCCTCACCTGCATATGCTGCTCAGCACTCAAAATGAATACTCAAGGGGACACTCTGCAGACCTCTGCAATTCCTTCTCTGTGCAGCTTTCCCCTCTGGTACTCTGCTCGGTGAATTCTAGCTGCCCTTGGCCTCCCTGGACTCCTAGCTCCACTCCTTCAACTCAGGAAGAGCACAGGGCTGGCTCTGCATGGTTCCCCCTCCTTGTGTAGCAACCTGGAAACTTTGACTAGGAAGCAAGCTGAGGCAGTCATAAGCTTAATTTGTTTCCCATCTCTCAGGGATCACTGTCCTTCATTGACTCATGTCCAATGTCTCAAGATCCACTGTTTCATACAGTTTGCCCAGGTTCTTAGTTGTTTCATGAAGGAGGGTAATCTGGTCCCTGTTATTCCATCTTGGCCAGAAGTGGAAGTCATCTTTAACTTTTTAATATGTCTATGTTAACTGTGGCCTCCTCTCAAACAAAAAATGAACTTAAAAATGTTTTAATTTCCCTCTACTTTTCTCCACTCCTTTATTTCTTCTTATTGTGTAATATTTTATTAATTTTTTTGTTTTTAATTCTATCATCATTTTATAAAAACTATCAAAATGTATTTAGATGCATAGAATAAGCCTGGAAGGATATTAGTAACAGTAGTAGCCTCTTGAAAGAAAATGAACAAGTAGGAGTTAGGAGAGATTTATTTTTCACTGTATGCACCCTGAAACTTTTGAAGTTTCTACCATACGCCCTTATTACTTATACAAAAGAATTTTAAAGGTATTTAATTTTTAAATATGCTTAACATTTTTTTTGCTCACTGACTTTTCTTACTTCTACTCCTTTTGTTCAGTTTTCTTCTTGCTAAATAAATCCTGTCTTTGTATATCTAAAAACAGCAATTTTTTACAAGTTGTTTTCATCTTTTTTTGTTTTGTTTTGTTTTTGTAGTATGTGGGCCTCTCACTGTTGTGGCCTCATCCCATTGCGGAGCACAGGCTCCGGATGCGCAGGCTCAGCGGCCATGGCTCACGGGCCCAGCTGCTCTGCGGCATGTGGGATCCTCCCGGATCAGGGCACGAACCCGTGTCCCCTGCATTGGCAGGCAGACTCGTAACCACTGCGCCACCAGGGAAGCCCTGTTTTCATCTTTTGAACTTAATAAACGTGTCGTTCTTTTTTCTTTTTTTTTGGCTGCACAGTGCAGCATGCGGAACTTCCCCGACCAGTGATCGAAATTGTGCCCCCTGCATTGGAAGCACGGAGTCTTTTTTTTTTTATTAATTAATTTACTTATTTTATTTTTGGCTGCCTTGAGTCTTCGTTGCTGCGTGCAGGCTTTCTCTAGTTGTGGCAAGCGGGGGCTACTCTTCATTGTGGTGCATCGGCTTCTCATTGCGGTGGCTTCTCTTGTTGCGGAGTGCGGGCTTCAGTAGTTGGAAGCAAGGAGTCTTAACCACTGGACCACCAGGGAAGTTCTGTCTGCATTCTTGAATTAAAATTTAGCTGGATATGGAATTCTTTGATATTATTACTCCAGTGTCTTCTGTTCCTATTGTTGTTGATGTCAGTTTTCCTTTTATAGATGATATTTTTCTTTCTCTTAGCTTTTAAAATGTCTTTACCCATCATCTTCTACAATATGGATTTTAAAAAAATATATTGGCTGTTTGGCATTTGTTGAGGCATTTCAATGTGGACTTCCATCATTTCCACCCATTCTTTCTTTGACAAATTCCTTGCCTTTATTCTCCTTAGTCTTTTTCTTTTTTATCCCAAAATGCTATTAAGACATGGAGGGTAGACCAAGGAGCCCAACATAATTCTCTTAATTTCATTTACATTTACCATCTCCTCTCTGTGCTACATCCCATGATCATGCATTTTTGATGTGTTTAGGAGCTGTATCAGTCTGGACCTCTAACCTGCATAGGACTTTATATCAAGGGTTCAGAATTCTTGCCCCTATGCAGGTAACACTACAGCAGATGCCAATCATTGCAATTCCCATTTTGGGGTATTTGCTCTCTGTTTAGGGACCATCAGGCAAGCAGCATATTTATGGTTCCAAACTCAGGTAGCTACACAGAAGTATTGCACCTTGGTTTACTAGCACAGAGAACAGTTCTAGATACCCAGCTTCACGTAGCTTCATATAAGAAACCAAATTCTAATCTGGGGTCATGTTCAGTTCCCAATCTCATGCTGGTTTTCAAGACCCAGCCCTAAATACTTGACTCCAGTCTGTGTTTTGTAAGTGCTTTATGGCTTCAGCCTTTACTCAGTATTAGTTTTCTCACCAATCTGGAAATTTTCACCTCATCCTTGAGTGCAGCTTTGCATTAAAAGAAATTTTTATTTCCTCAATCATTCCTAGGTGCAATGAATATGCTCATTCTATTATTTTGAGAAGAAATTTGTATTGTATTTAATAAATCACTTGAAAACCAAATTTAGGTTTTTTTTTTCCAACTTAGATTCCTTTAAGATTCTTCTAATAAGCAGAAATGTCAAGCTTCCTCTGCTTAAATTCAAATAACTTAGTTACCACTGCAGTCATAAAGTGCTTGACAGATACCACCCAAGGCTAAATATACCTAAATATACAATATCAAATTCTTTATTTCGTCTTAATCATTTAATACAAATAATCCAGATGTCGTTACCATTTTGAATTAAATTCTAGTAAAAAACAAAATATGACTTAATAGGTCATCATTACACATCGTATCTATTATACACCATTACCCTCACTTTTTATCATTATCATTGCCCCTCTGTGCAGCATTCCTTGATCACACCTCCTTGACAAGTGCTTAAGCAGCTGCCTTACACATTCATACCCAATAAACCTCGAAAAATTTAATCTATATCTCTAGAATCAGCAATTAAATTTCTGACTAGCCTTTTCCAGTTAAAGATACCCAATAATGTGAAACTTTTGCTTTTTAAAGAAAATGCCTTATCTTTTGGTAGTAGCTTAACAAATACACAGGCAACAAAGGCAATTTTAAAATGCCCCAAAGGACAGATCATATGTTCATCACTTGGAACAATGGAAAATACACTGGTCTAGTATCTGATCACACTGCCAGTCATAGCCTGTGGCCTCAGTACAAATCTTCCTACACATCAGTTTATTCTTGTGTTGAAAAACATAAAAAATAAGAGTTTGAACGAAAACATTTCTAGAGTAGTTTCTAACTAAAATGTCATGAATCTATAATTCTCATCAATTTTGTTATTTTAAATTAGGGTATTCATTTACAGCATAAGGCACAGCCCATCCCATTATTTAATATTCTGAAGAAGAAAGCTCTTCAAGTTCTTCACAAGGCATATAACCAATGCATACCTGTCTAGGTTAGTGCTGCCAGGAGAGTAGTCCTTGGATGCAGCTCTGCTACCATAAAAAGATGATGACTGCAAAGGTAAAAGCCCTAAAAAATGAACAGACACAGGAAACGTTTAATTCCTAAATCAACCACTCAAGTTCATTTAATAATAAAATTATGCATTGGGCCTGTTTATATTTAAACTTTTTTTCCCCTTCTTTTCATCAAAATAATACATATATACACATGTTAAAAGATCAAACACTGTGGAAAACATTATAACAGGTCATAAAAGAATACTCTCCAGCCCTAAAGCTCCACAAATTTTGCTTCCAATTTCTAACCATTTTTTGAAACTTAGTTTTTCTGATTTCCTCCATAACATTAAATAATGTTTATATAATTTCTTGATTTATTCATTTGTAAACAATATCAGCTGACTCCCTTTTTGAAAAATTAGAAATAATTTCTTATTTACATCACCCCTACTCTTGTTCTCCTCTCTCCAACCAATTACCAGTTGTGTTATTTATTTATTTATTTTTTGGCCGTGCCACGTGGCTTGCAGGATCTTAGTTCCATGACCAGGGATTGAACCTGGGCCCACGGCAGTAAAAGCGCCGAGTTCTAACCACCGGACTGCCAGGGAACTCCCCATCAGTTGTGTTATTTTAGTTCTACTGATTAACTTTGCAGCTTTAACACACTTAAACTTTCTACATTTTATTCCATGAACCTTTTTATCACTTGACCATTTACTTCCTTCTCTCTCTCCTCTTCTACATCAACTTTTGTAAGACGTACCTTAACTTCAACAGTATTAAGGATCATTACATCTTTAAGTATTCTGTTTTCTAACTATAGGTTGATTGCAAAAACTTAAAACCAATAAGTGTTTACATAATGTATTATTATTTCAGAGGTAAGAATTATATTAGAGATACTTCTCTCTGTAGGAGTCCAATGTTACAACTCTGAACCACTAAAAGGAGACGGTTCCTAGAGTCCTGATCAAATGAATTCTCGTAAACTCCCAAATTATCAAAATTATGCCGTATTTTAGCTTGCTTCAATTTAATTTCAAGTTGAACTCAGTATTCAAATCAATACCAGATACCTGAGTCTTTAAGGAGTTTAGAGGATCAGAGAGATATGTTAAGTAGGAAACACTAACAAAAAGTCAGGGACAGTCTAACTTTTAGTTTTTGTAAAAACAAGGAACAAGTGAACTTAAACAACTGCTTCAGGAAATAATTTCAAGATCTTCTGGAACTTCTAATAAGTAGCAACACTGATGAACTTTAATTTCAACCACTTTAACTCCCTGGATTCATTCCATGGTTCAGGTACTTTGACAATGAAATAATTTAATTCTAGGTAGTTAAACAGGGGAAAAGGCAAAGCTTAAATTCCTTGCAAGCAAAATAAAAATTCCCTTATAGTTCTAATATTTTAAAAAATATTTTAGCCAAGTACTAGATACAAATTGGTACCTGATAACTAGTACTGAATTACACAGTATTCCTGAATAATGTAGAGAAATATGCCCCAGTTTAGGTTTCTATTTCTAGTCTAATACAATCCATCATACAATAAATGAGTATCTTATAAAAAGACCAAATACTTACCTGATGTCCTATTCTCTTCTGACTGTTTCAAACTCAGCTGCTTCTCTCTACTGCTGGTTAAATACTTTCTTGAGGGATCTGTCATAGCCTTGTTGTTCCTACAGTTAATAATTTAATTCAAATATATATATGTATAAAGATACAATTCTTAATTTTAAATAGTTGTCATTAAAAATCTACATTTCAATTGCCGAATTCATTGATTTGCTTGGAAGTTAGGTTGCAAGGTGTCAAAGCCTTAAGCAAATAAGGATCATAAAAATAAGCTTTCATTACCTAGTCAAAAGCCAATTTAATCCATAACCCTGGTAATTAGGAAAAAATGAAGGAGTATTTTCTTTATACAAAAGTCAAACCAGAGACGGCAATATTATATAGGTTTTCTTAGCCAAAAGCAAGGCCAGATGAAATGATTCAGCTACTAAGACCAAAAGAATCAATTAAGAACTAAGCTAAAAAAATTAAAATTAAAAAACAATTTTAATAAATAAAATTTTTAAAAAAGTAAACTATTCAAGCTTGACACTGAATAGGTTTAAAAAGTAAAACAGGACTTCCCTGGTGGACAGTGGTGAGGAATCCGCCTGCCAACACAGGGGACATGGGTTCGATCCCTGGTCCAGGAAGATCCCACATGCCACAGAGCAACTAAGCCCGTGTGCCACAACTACTGAAGCCCACGTGCCTGGAGCCCATGCACACAAGAAAGAGCAGCCCCCGCTCAACACAACTATAGAAAGCCCACGCGCAGCAACGAAGACCCAACGCAGCCAAAACTAAATAAATAAATACATATATATATCCTATGATATCACTTATAGGCGTTATCTAACAACTGACACAAATGAACATACTTCCACAGAGAAAGACACTCACAGACTTAGAAAAAAAAACTGTGCTTATCTAAAATGAAAAATGGGGGAATGGATAAATTAAGACCAGGTTTACCATACGTGTACAAATACGTATTAAATACATATATCAAAAAGACAGACCATATAGTAAGGGAGGTCTACGGAACACTCCTCAATAATTTACATAGGAAGAGGATCTCTACATAAATATATATATAAATAAATACATATATATATATATATATATATATATATATATATATATAAGAAAAGTAAAACAAAATCCAAAATGTTCTTATAGTTTATGTAATTTGAAATACTATTTACTAAATGTCAACATTTCAATTCATAGTGATTAAACAATTTTAAGTTCATGAATACAAAATTAAAATTTCTTAAGCCCCCTTTCCCCCCTCTACTATTCCCAAATACCTGGACCTATATTAAGTAGAGTGGGTCCATTCAGAAACATGCTCATGCTTTGATTAAAAGTGCTAATTTTAGGAGAACCATCATGAATAAAGCCTGTAAGCAAACAATGTAGACGCTCCACCCAGATTCCCTCTGGCCCCATTTTTGTGTCCTCTCGTCCACACCAATTTAGGTATTTTTTGTTTGTTTTCAATTTTTTTTTATATTGGAGTATAGTTGATTAACAATGGTACATTACTTTCAGGTGTACTGCAAAGTGATTCAGTTATACATATACGCATATCTATTCTTTTTCAAGTTCTTCAATTTAGGGTTTTTTTTTTTTAATTTTTTGATAGCCTATACCTAGGGTTCTTCTTCACAGGATTGCCCTCAAGCTACTACAGAGACTTTGCCTGCATTCTCAGAGAGTCACAAGTAAGGTCAGGTGCTAAAGTACAGAAGCCCAGCTCCCTTGCCTTGGATTAGAACAGTTTTAAGGTGAAATTTATATAAGAGATTTTTCTCTCTGGGATTAGGATGAATCCTAACCTCTGCATTTTTCAGCTCAGAGATCAGATTTCTGTCTGAGATCACACGCATTCTTTGTTTCTTGCACTTCAATATCTTGCTTCCCGCACTCCCTTCCTGGGTATCCCCTGGGAATAATTGCTAAATAAATCACTTGCACACTACCCTCTATTTCAGTTTGTTTCTGGGGAACTTGATCTACAACTGTTAGTGCTAGAAGTGGGTCTAGGAAGCATACTCTCTAAGGACAGGATTCTGGAATTGGATCGATTGTTTGGCAATGGCAACAGAAATTCCATTCCTGGTGGTAAAATTTTTGGTATCCTATAGTGTTACACCACCAAGATTTTTCATATGTAGTGAACAACCTGGATAAAGTAGAAGAGAATATGGCTCATGCAATCTCTCCAGCATTTGAAAAATGTGGTAGAATGCACAATGGATCGTTAGGGTTACAGAAATGTTCTAAAACTGGATTATGCTGATAGTTGCACAACTCAATAAATTTACCAAAAATACAGAATTATACATTTAAGACAGGTGAATTTTATGGTGTGTAAACTGTACCTCAATAAAGCTGTTTAAAAAATGTCCCAAATTATTCCCTTCCTTGTACTCAAGTCCCCTATTAAGAAATGCAATCTATTTCCCCATCCCTTAATGAGGCTGACCTTGTGATTTCCTTTTCCCAAACGAATGTGACAGACATAACAGCACATAAGTCCTGATGCTAAGGCTAAAGGCACCCTGCAAATTTCCACTCATTCTCTTGGAACCCTACCACTGCTTTGTGAATAATTCCAGGTAACCTGCCAGGTGACAATCTCCCTCATCACCCCAAGCACTAGACAGCCAATGGCCAGTCATACAAGTGATGCCACCTTGGACCAGCCAACCCTTAGCCAACCTACCAACTGACCATGGATGCATGAGAAAATGAGAGAATCCAGCCACAACTGGCCAAGCCAGACCCAGATAAACAGAACCACTCAAGTGACCACTGACCCGTAAGCGATAATAGTTACTATTTTAAGTATCTTGTTATACAACACTAGATAGCTGATACAGTGATATGGGGTAAATGATAATCATAAAGACTATGGGTCATCAAGGGACTATGCAACCAGAGCAAGCCATCATGAGCTGGGTGCTATCATACCCACAAAGCTGTAAGATCAGGAAGTTACAGCAGTAATCCATCATAAAATGTGATTGGTATATCCAAGCAAATAGGAATAGATAATGAGAACAGACCTATGAGCATTCCGGTGACCAGCTGGAAGAAGAGAAAAAACCTGTGCCTGGTTCATGGATGGATCATCTTGGTACATTGGTACAAGCTGAAAATGAACTGTTGCTGCACTGTAGCCCCACTAAGGGACTGCCCCGGAACACAGGAGTAAGACAAAATCCCACATTGTGCAGAGTTTGAGAAATGCACCTCATTAACCACTTTGTGTGGAGAGAAAAGTGGGTCAATAGACCCCTGGATGGTGGCAAATGGTTTGGATGGATAGTCAGGGGCCTGGAAGGAATAAGATTGGAAGATCAGGGAGAAATGATTTATGGAAGAGGTTTATGGATAGTCATATAGAAGTATGTACAGGGCTTCCCTGGTGGCGCAGTGGTTGAGAGTCCACCTGCCGATGCAGGGGACACGGGTTCGTGCCCTGGTCCGGGAAGACCCCATATGCCACGGAGCGGCTGGGCCCGTGAGCCATGGCCGCTGGGTCTGTGCGTCCGGAGCCTGTGCTCCGCAGCGGGAGAGGCCACAGCGGTGAGAGGCCTGCGTACCGCAAAAAAAAAAAAAAAAAAAAGAAGTATGTACAAACGGTGAAGATCTGTTTCACATGTTAATGCTCACCAGAGAACTCTACTAAAGACACATTAAGTCTCTTAATGTCTTCACTTAAGAAACAATCATGCAGGGTAACTTGTCCAGTAGATGCCATTCAATCTCTGTACTCAGCCATCCGAGTATTTCCACAAAAGGGCCCAAGAATAACAGCCATGGTGGCAGAGATAAAAGCTCTGAATGCACCCTACAATAGGGGCTCCCCTTCAATAAGGCTGGTTTAGCTACTGATGCTGCTGAATGTCCAACTGGTCAGCAGCAGAAGCTGATCCCCAGCCCATGACTGAGTACTATCCTTTAAGGAAATCAACCAGTCATTTGGCGATAAGTTGATTACATTAGACACCTTCCATCCCAGAAAGAGTAGCAATTAATTCTGGTTGGGATTGGCATATATTTTAGGTTTGCTTTTGCCTTTCCTGCCCACAGTGCCTTGGCTGCATTGCTATCTGAGGGCTCATAAGAGTATATGATTTATTAACATGAAATCTCATATAACACCATCCTGGAATGAGAAACCCACTTTACACCAAAGAAAAGGAGGTACAATAAGGGCCTATGACCAATGGCTCCATTGGTCCTACCACATACCATATTACCTCAAATCTGATGGCCAATAGCCTTTAAAGGTGCAGCTTAGAGATGATCTCATTAGGAACTGGGTGCCCTTCAAGACACAATATATAGCACAAACCAACAAGCCATTACATTTATAGAGAATACATGGGTCTGGAAACCAAGAAGTAGAAGTAGGAATGCCCCCACTAAATATCACTCTTGATAATGCTCTTGTGCTTCTTGTCCCCTCAATTTAGATTCTGTGGGTCTAGAGGTCCTGGTTTCCAGAGTGGGGACTTTTTCAAGGGGGGGACAGGAAAAGTCCCATTTAATCTAAAGCTATGGCTGCTACCTACTCATTTGGGGCTTCTCATGCTGGCAGATCAACAGGCAAAGAAAGGAGTTACCATACTGTGACTGACTTTATTATAAGGGGGCAGGGTTGCTGCTATATAATGAGGGCAGGAAGCATATGTTTGGAATAAAGGAAATTCACCAGGGAATCCTCAGTGCTCTCATGCTCAGTTTTAACTCTGAATGGGTAGTTATAGCAATCGCAGCCTGAGAAGTACACAGTGACCAGGGGCTCAGCCCCCTCAGAGAAGATCTCAGTCATACCACCAGGCAAACCATTAAGACCAGCAGAAGTGTTAGTGGAAAATGCAGTGAATCTAGAATGGATGGTAGAAGCAGATAATAATATCAGTTATAGCCTCAAGGCTATTTGTAGCAATAAGGACAAAAAGAACTGCAGCTCATCCCACTAACCCTCCTTTTTTTAATATTCTCACCCAGAAATTGAAAAGCATCAATGTGAAGAATCTATAATAAGATGGAATGAACTTAATAGTGATGCTCTATCAGAGCCCCCTCAGATCGCTGTTTATACTTCTCACACATCTAGACTATTATGTCTTCAACTGCCAGCACCTGCAGTTCTTCAGAAGACTGCCTTTGGGCTATTTCAAATAGTTTACACATCTAGGCAGAGCCAAAAGCCCCAAGGCAGCTGTTAACCAAAAACAGTGCAGTATGGAAATATGAAAGCCCATCTTCCTTACTTCTAGTTGAAAGAAGCCCAGACCTCCTGCTGGATCAAGATGAGGCCCACTCTCTGTGGGACTTTTATCTAAGGTGACATCCTTAGTTGGCTTCTTCCCCTTCCCAGTCCTGCTTTCCTTACTCTGTTACTGGTCTCGCCTATGAGTACTTCCTTAATAAGGCGCTTGCAGAAGTATGTTCATCTAGAGCCTGCTTCTAGGAAGTCCAAACTTTAAAAAATTTAATTGTGATGGTATAAAAAGTATTATTAGCCCAGAACAAGGATTAGAAATTTAGGGTTCATCAGACAACTCAAAGTGGAACAACTGAGACTTCCCCAAAGTGTGGTGAATATGGTGGACTGGCGTGCAAAGTCCATTACTACCACCTTTCAGTGTACCTCCCTGTTCTACAGAAGCCAGAAAGCTAAAAAACTACATTTCCAAGTTAGTGTTCAAGATTTAAGGTAAATTACATATACTTGTGCAAGATATGGGAAATGGAAATAGGGAGAGGTCATGTGTTCTGCTACTTCTGGTGGTTAACAACAAGGTGGGGGTATCTAGTTTTCCTGTAGAGGATTCCCGCACTTGGCAGTGGCAGCACAGTTCTAGAGATAACAGTTTTCGTGCCAGCTTCCAATTCAGCTGTTCACTTCATGACAGCCAGGAGCATCTTTGGTGACCTGATCTGGGGCATGGCTCTCAAAATCATTCCTGAAAGCTTAACCTAGAGTCTACATTTTCAGCTTTCCTAATGATTCTGTAAGCCATTTAATGCTCTCTGTATGGAAATACCTTTGTGTGTAAACTAGCTGGAGTGAATTTTGTTCCCTACAACTGGACTCCAAATACACAAATTTTGTTGCTGGAAGTGGGATGCTACCATAACAAACCTATAATATGCAAAACTAGCTCAGTAGGAAGGTAGAGGGTAAGAACACAGATATTACAGACTGGAAAGCTGGTGACTATTGTTATATTTCAGCAAAATATTTACAGAACTGTTGTCTGTAATGTCTTGGGAGGCAGACCTCAAAGGAAAAGGTTGAGACAATTAAGAACACTGGTCTTTCTTACTGCTTTCAGCGAGGTTCTATTCAAGACAGATAAATCTGGGCAAGAACTAGCCAGCTTCCAATCAAGGATGAAAAGGAATACATTTCTCTGTGCCATGGACTAGAATTAAAATTGTGTGGTAACTTGAGACCATATGGGACTAAAAAAATCCAACTGCTTCTAATTCTCAAATTGAGGCAATGATAAGAGGTAACTGGAGAAGCAGTTTTGTGAAAAACTGATGTTAATATTAGGGAAAACTGCATGAGGCGTATACAGGTACATTCTATACTACCTTGGCAACTTTCCTGTAAATCTAGAATTATTCCAAAATTTAAAAATTTATTAAAAGAACCAAAATAACATCAAAAATATTGGCCCCAATTCTTTCTCAAGCCTATAAAAGCCGGCTTGTTCTACCTTTAAAGAAACTTCTAGACTTCTAAAGCTTACAAATTTCTAACTTCCAGAACTACACCAGCATGACTTAGGCTACAAAAGCTGAATGGCTCCAAAGAACATAGTCTTCAAAAACCCCCTTCAGCTATGGCCTTGAAAGATAACAGACAAAGGAAATCAATCAAAGGGCAAAGCCAGGAGTCATATGGAGTACAATGAGCAAGTGTTTCTCCCAGAGGATAGGACAGAGACTGCTACATGGGCTAATGAAGAACTTATTCCACTGCTTTCACTGTCTTCACAGCTCTGCCTAACAAGATTTTATCTCTGCTATAGACCAATGACTCCTCAGTTTCCTATTCTTATCTTTTCTAAACGGTAACTTTTATTGTGGTTATCCTGTGCCTACTCCAGCAATGTATAATGAATGATACGCGTATGGAGATGGCAGTGAGGAATGCAGATTAACCTGCCTCTTAGTTTTTAGGTGTCAGACCATGAGAGGCATGGTCCAAGGCACACCTGGACCTTATGGAGAGAACTGCACATAACCCAGAGATCCTGGACTCTGAGCTGGATACAATGACTAAATGAGACATGGAGGTTGTCTCCAGCAGAGTGAAGGTAGGAGTACTCTATATACGGGAAGAATGATAAACAGAGGTAATTCTGTGGCTAGAAGAGTAAATATGGCAGACTGTTAGTTGTCCCCAAAGAACCATTGTAGTCTTCTGCCATAATAGTAGAATTTGGGCTAGGCATTTCCCAGACCTTCTCATAACTTGATATAACCACATGACTAAGTTCCAGCCAATGTGATATGCACAAAACTGGTGTGTACAATTTTCAGCCTACACGAGAGCAGTATGCCCTCCCTTTGCTCCTTTCCTCCTTCCCAATAGGACTACAGACATGAGAGTGGAGGCTGAAGCTATCCTGGTTCATAAAATGGAAGCTACTTATTAAGAATGGCAGTTCAAGAAGATAGAAGGAACTTGAGTCCATGGTCATTGTAGTTTAAGATACCACACCAGCCTTATCACCTACCTAGATTTTTGTATCTGTTACAACAACAGAACCAAGAACGCAATTACTATATAAAGTTTCTTTATCTTTTTCCCAACTCCTTTCTGGTGACCCTTTGATCCTGAACACCAGTTAGCTGAATAGCAACTGATTTCTGTTAAGGTATTACCTGGCAACTGTGTAATAAATTTTCTCTCCCAAAAGACAGACAAACAAACAAACAAAACCCACAACCCACCCATTATGAGGAAGAGAACTGTGAACTGGTGACTATCCTATTGCAGGTATGCCCTTTTGTTCAACACAAAAAATAGCTCCAAAAGATTGATGCTCCTTGCCTAGAACCTATGCAAGGTTTTATTTTTTTATTTTATTGGAGTATAATTGCTTTACAATGTTGTGTTAGTTTCTGTTATACAATGAAGTGAATCAGCTATATGTATACCTATATCCCCTCCCTCTTGGACTTCCCTCCCAGCCCCCCATCCCACCCATCTAGGTTGTCACAGAGTACCGAGCTGAGCTCCCTGTGCTGTACAGCAGGTTCCCATCAGCTATGTATTTTACACATGGTAGTGTATTTATGTCAAACCTAATCTCCCAATTCGTCCCACCCTCCCCTTCCCCCACTGCATCCACATGTCTACCTAAGCTAACTTTTCACATGAATAAGGTAAAAAAATTTTTTTACAGGTAAAGGGAAGAGGGAAGGAAGGGGGTCCATGCTAAAAGAGCAGCCAACAAGAAACACTTATCTAGAGTTCTTCAGCTCTATCCTTCTTCTAAGTGCTGCAAATAAAAAAAGCTAGGATGGGAGAAGTGCACGGAAATGACCAAAGCAGTACTAATGGCCAAATCCTCTCCCTACTGAGCCCACAACCTACTGTCACCAAAATACTCTAAATCCTGTTCTTCTATCTTTGGGATTCCCATAAACTGAACACCATCCCAATCTTCTCTAGTGGTTGTAATTACCAATATAAGAAACACTGATCTAGTGCCATAAAAGTTCTTAAAGCAACTTACGACGATGAATCATTTTCTTTAGGGTAATCTTCATTCAGCTCTGAGCCAGATGATAGCATTCTTTTCCTCTTTTCAGTCCTATAGAGAACAGAGAAAAAACGTTATTTTTAAAAAGTTGTAATTCATACTATTAAAAAGTATAAACCAACATACTCAAGAACAAGAACCGTGACTACTGCTATCTAATTCTCTACACCACATTTAAATTAATATACTGTGTATCTGCAAGCTCTATAAGTGTCACTAACATAAATCACAAGACAAATACTAATTATCTCCAAAAAACACACTTCACATTTTCTTCTTCTAACTGGAAAAATCTCCTTCTTTTTCTCAAATTATTGGTCTTTCTAAAAGGCCTGAAAAACATTGATAAACAGGCAGAGCTAATGACTAAGAAAGAAAAAAAGTCTTTCATACCTATTTTCTAATAACCCTGATCTAAGAGGTGTGGATGTAGATGTCAAAGAGGGAACTGTCCGGGTAGCAGTTACTCCACTTCCTGCTGCGGCCTTAATCGATCCTCTACCTGGATTACCAAGAACTTTTCGAAATGGAATATCATCTTTAGCTTCCAAACTTCCTCTTTTTGAAGAGACCTACAAGAATAAAGTTTAACACAGCCAGTTCTTCAAATTAATTGGCATACTTTTAGACCGGTGATCCTCATATAGGGAACTTTTAAAAAATACCCACAACTGGAGACCCAACTCCAGAGATTCTAGCCTATCTGGTATGGGGGTGAGGCCCATTCATCAGCACTTTTTTTAAAGCACTCTAGGTGATTCTAATTTACGGTCAGTGTCAGAAATTAAGCTTGACACATATTTTCCTATAGTATTCTTGTAAACTTACAAATTCCACAGCATTCCTGGAAGCAGAAAGGAATTTGCTTTGAATTACTGATTAAAAAAAAGGACTCACATACACAAGACATGGTTCTAGTGACCAGCATGAAAACACATCTTTAGGGAAAAAAATCCAATTATGATAATTTAAAGTGACATAAATGTGAGAAAAAGGAGCAATAATGACATTTGGTTGCCACAACTTAAATGCCAAGTCATATGTACAGCATATGACTTTTGAGGGGGTTCTAGTTTGGAGAAATGAAACAAATATATATAACAATGGGGAGACTGAAAGTGAAATAGAGCCTACTGGCAGGAGATGAATCAAAGAATCTACCCCAAAACACATTAAAAACATTCAGAGTTAATGCACACTTTACACATATTAGATGGGAAACAGTGCTTTTGACCAGCATTCTGCCAGATAAGTTTTATAACTCTACATTAAGAGCTATGTGATTATCTCTATGGAAAATATTTCCAATTACCTTCTACAGAATTACAATCTTAGAATAAGAAAGAAAAAATCTCTGTGGTCATCTGGATGAACTATTTAAAAGTTAAATTTATTTTCAAATGGGTAAATCATTCTCAAGATTCAAAAACAAAAACAAATACTATTATAAAAGCCATATACTGAGAAGTCTCATTATCACCCCAATGCCATTCACCCAGTTCTTCCACTTCCCATCCTCCTACACCTTATAAGTATTCTTCTATTGTTTTTTATGCAAATGAAAATCAATATTTTATTCTTGTTATACAAACAGTAGCATACTATATGCATACTGTTTTGCATATTTTTCAACCTTTTTTGACCATGACCCCATAGTGAGAAATATTTTACATCACAACATATTACACATACATATAAATAAAACCAGAGGTTTCAGAAACCAATACTTTTCCTTACTATGTATAATACCTTCTCTATCGTTTTCTCCTCTATTCCTTTTTTATTTAATGCTAGTCACAATCCACAAAATTGATTTTATAATCTCATTAATGGGAATCATTATTTGTGAAAGTATATTTGCTTCTGCTAGATATGTTAACACTTACAGTTTAAATATTCTAACACGTTAAATTTCTACCTGTAAATGGATCAATCTCCAAGTAATTATAATGAGTGAAAAACCCAGACAAAAAAAATTATACACTGATCCCATTTATATAAAACTCTAGAAAATGCAAAGTAATCTAGAGTGACACAGAGCAATTCACTTGTGGCTTAGGGATAGGGGCCAGACAGGGAGCTGGAGAGGATTACAACGGGGGATGAAGAAGCTTTTAAGGGTTTATAGCTATGTTCACTAGGTTATGGTGATGATTTTGTGGGTATGTACATAAGTCAAAAATGTATCAAATTGTACACTTTAAATATGTGCAATTTACTGCATATCAATCGTACCTCAATTAAAATGTAAAAAAAACAAAAAAAAACCCAACTTGTAAAAAGAAATTAACAAAAATGAAATCTCATTCATTGATTGCTTAGTCCAGTAAATGATTTAAGTAATCAATCTATCTGCACAGCCAAATAGAATTCATCCTTTTACTTACAGGGGAGTTTCAAAGTTTCTTTTCACACCTGGTTTACCTTTGTTAAGACAGATTAAAAGAGACACAGGACTGCTAAGCTGCAATAGTGCACAGTAAGTCTCATGGCTGGATGAATATTTATGAAAGAAAAACTGTTTAAAAGCAAACAGGGGGCTTCCCTGGTGGTGCAGTGGTTGAAAGTCCACCTGCCGATGCAGGGGACACAGGTTCATGCCCCAGTCCAGGAAGATCCCACATGCCGCGGAGTGGCTGTGCCCGTGAGCCATGGCAGCTGAGCCTGCGCGTCCGGAGCCTGTGCTCCGCAACGGGAGAGGCCACAACAGTGAGAGGCCCGCGTACCGCAAAAAAAAAAAAAAAAAGCAAACAGAAGACCCAACAAAACAGTCTGGTATCATATAGTATAGAGGCAAAGTTCATAATGTAGAACAGACCCAAAAAGCATCAAAGAAATACTAGCAGCAAACATTTATGGGGTTGTTAGTATATGGTATCGCGGGCTAAGCACTTCTACAACATGCATTATCTCATAACAACCCTTAAAATATTATTGCTGTCTTAATTTTACAGATGGGTACTAAGGCTCAGGGTACTTAAGGAACTTCTCCAATGACTACAGCTAGTAAGTGGCAGCAGCAAGTCTCAAACCCACATCTAACTTCAAAGCTATGTTCTTAAAAATTACACTGTGGTAAATTTCAGATATGTGGAAAGTACCCTTAAGATAATGCAAGAATTACTAGACATTACAGTCTAAATTCTACTTCCTGCAACTACTTTACAGAATGTCTATCTAAGATTATCTTTTTTTAAAAAAAAAAGCTAAAATGATTCAAATAAACATACCTGATTGTCTGAGTAAGAGAGCTGCCTGTTGGTTTCCTTCTGTGAGGTCCTGCTGCCCAGAATAGCTCCAAAACTACCAGAACCCTGAGAAGGTTTCATGGCTGGTGGGAAAAAAAAAAAATCTCAAATCGCTTAATTTAATAGAGATTTGTCATTATTATTATTTAATCTTGAGGAAACAGAAACAAGAAAAATAAAACAAATCAAAGTGCTTATCTGACAGAAAGTAATTCTGATATATACAGTAACTAAAATTTAGAACTAGGATCAAGCAAAAAATTAAATAACAATGCAAAAATCTGGAAACATGTATTAATAATAGAAGGGTAAATCTTTTTTTTTTTTTTTTTTGCGGTATGTGGGCCTCTCACTGTTGTGGCCTCTCCCGTTGTGGAGCACAGGCTCCGGACTAGCAGGCTCAACGGCCATGGCTCACGGGCCCAGCCGCTCCACGGCATGTGGGATCTTCCCAGACCGGGGGACAAACCCGTATCCCCTGCATCGGCAGGCGGACTCTCAACGACTGCGCCACCAGGGAAGCCCCTAGAAGGGTAAATCTTTAAATGCAAAAAGAAAATGCTAGAAATTCTCCTATATGAATATTTGGTAATTAACACTATAGAAAAGTTAGTCACTGTGTATCTATGGCATGAACATGGACACTGGATGCTAAGGACATGTGTCAGAACCAGTGACTGATATACTTCCAGTAATGTATATGCCAAAACATTCTCTGTAAGTTCAGCAGACTAAATGGCTTCTATTCTAAAGAAATCAATGCTACTTTAAAGAACATGCAAAGTAATGTATAAATATGAATTTTTATATACTTTAAAAAGTATTTTGGGCTTCCCTGGTGGTGCAGTGGTTGAGAGTCCACCTGCTGATGCAGAGGACACAGGTTCGTGCCCCGGTCCGGGAAGATCCCACTTGCTGCAGAGCAGCTGGGCCCGTGAGGCATGGCCGCTAAGCCTGCACGTCCGGAGCCTGTGCTCCGCAATGGGAGAGGCCACAACAGTGAGAAGCCCACGTACCGCAAAAAAAAAAAAAAAAAAAGTATTTTAAGGGAATTCCCTAGCAGTCCAGTGGTTAGGACTCTGTGCTTCCATTGGTCGGGGAACTAAGATCCCACAAGCTGCGGCGTGGCCCTTCCCCCCCCAAAAAAAGTATTTTATATTTTAATTTCATTAATTTCTCACTGATGATCATTTGGAATGTTTTAATTTAAAAACATGGCAAATAATGCCAAACATCCTTTTACATATCTTCTTGCACTAATGGAACAACTTTCATAGGATAAAACTCTTTAAAAAAAGAATGTTGGTGTAAAGGATGTACAATTTTAAACTAAATTGATATTATCACTATTCCTCAAAAAAAAAAATCTCGGGACTTCCCTGGTGGCACTGTGGTTGGGAATCCACCTGCCAATGCGGGGGGACATGGGTTTGAGCCCTGGTCTGGGAAGATCCCACATACTGCAGAGTAGCTGGGCCCATGTGCCACAACTACTGAGTCTGCGCTCTAGAGCCTACAAGCCACAACTACTGAGCCCGAGTGCCAGAACTGCTGAAGCCTGTGCACCTGGAGCCCATGCTCCGCAACGGGAGAGGCCACCGCAATGAGAAGCCCGCACGCAGCAACAGAGAGTGGCCCCTGCTCACCGCAACTAGGGGGAGCCTGCGCGCAGCAACAAAGACCCAAGGCAGCCAAAAATAAATAAATAAATTTATTTTTTTTTTAAATCTCTAAGCTCCTACCAAGTATATGAGAGTATCTTGCCTCCCCTCACACTACTGTCAATGTGATAGTAAGAATCTGAATTTAATTACTGGTGAAGTTGAGAATTTTTTTGTTTATGGGCCACCTGTTTTTCTTCCTGAATTTCATATATGTCCATTTCTCTACTGAATTGTCTTTTTTCTTACTGATTTGGAAAGTCAGTATTTATATATTAGCAATATTAACTCTGTCACTGTGGCTAGTTTTCTTCATTTTTTCTTTTCTCCTTGTCCCAAAGATCACTTAAATTTTTTACACAGCCCAAGTTATTAATCTTTTCCTTTATTTATTTATTTTAAAATTTTATTTATTTATTTTTGGCTGCGTTGGGTCTTCACTGTTGTGAGCGGGCTTCCCTCTAGTGGCAAGCGGGGGCTACTCTTGGTTGCGGTGCACAGGCTTCTCATTGCAGTGGCTTCTCTTGTTGCAGAGCAAGGGCTCTAGGTGCGCGGGCTTCAGTAGTTGTGGCACGTGGGCTCTAGAGCGCAGGCTCAGTAGTTGTGGCGCACGGGCTTAGTTGCTCCGCGGCATATGGGATCTTCCTGGACCAGGGCTCGAACCCGTGTCCCCTGCATTGGCAGGCGGATTCTCAACCACTGTGCCACCAGGGAAGCCCTCTTTTCCTTTATTGATTCTGGTTTTATGTCATACTCAGAAAGGTTTTTTCCATCCATATATTATGTTAAAATCCATTCTACCCTTCTAATAATACTTTTATCACCTTTTTTTTACATTCAAATCTTTGATCAATGTAAAATCTATTTAGATGAAGGAGTAAGATAAGGATCCAGTTTTATTATCTTCTTAAATGGTTAGCTGGTTGTCCTATTTATAGACAACAATGTTCATCTAATATTAGTCTTTTTCCCATTCATTTCAAATACCACATATTATACTTTAAATGTTTCATACTTTTCAAAGTATTTTTATATTCATTAGCTTACTCTAGTCTGCAAAGGACATATTATCACTTTTGGGCAGCTAAGGCAATTTAAACCTGAAGATTAAAACAACTTGCCTAAGAGTACAGAGTCCACAGCTAGCCACTCTAAAAGCAGTAATGACTTACTGAGTGCCTATCATGTGCCAGTCATGCTTTACATTAATGAGCTCTAATTTTTTATTAAGCACTGAAACTAAGGTGATAAAACATTCATTTTAGAGATGAGGAAACTGAACCTCAGTTATTAAGGGAGCTGCCCAAAACCACACAGGAAATAACAAGTAGAGCTAGGATTCAAACCCAAACCTGTTTAGGTCCAAAGCTCATGTTTTTCCATTATGCCATGTTGTTCAGACTCAAACTTGGGCCCCAGTCTACTGTGCTTTCCACTCTAATGCGTTTATTTATTTATTTATTTTTAAAATTAATTAATTTTTAAATTTTTGGCTACATTGGGTCTTCGTTGCTATGCGCGGGCTTTCTCTAGTTGTGGCGAGCAGGGACTACTCTTCACTGCGGTGCGTGGGCTTCTCATCACAGTGGCTTCTCTTGTTGTGGAGCATGGGCTCTAGGTGCGTGGGCTTCAGTAGTTGTGGCGTGCAGGCTCTAGAGCTCAGGCTCAGTACTTGTGTCGCACGGGCTTAGTTGCTCTGCGGCATGTGGGATCTTCCCGGACCAGGGATAGATCCTGTGTACCCTGCATTGGCAGGCGGATTCGTAACCACTGCACCACCAGGGAAGTCCCCTCTAATGCATTTAGAGACATGCTTTTCTTACACACATCAATTCTTAAAACAGTGATTCAATTAATATGATGGAATAAAACAAATATAGAAATACAGACCATAATCCCTGATATATTCTAAACTTTCAAAGGGTACTCAATTCCTTGATTCTAAAATTCAATATTTAGAAGACTGACATAGTTCAGATTTGGTAACATGAACACATAATGAATAGAAACCAAATGGCAAACAACCATAAAAAAATTTTTTAAACAAGAAAATAGTGTATGAAATAGAGGTATTAATTAAATCCAAGCAAGGCAGCACTGCTACATCTTCATTTTAAAAATGTTTTTAATGTGTTATATTTAAGTTAAAAAACTCAAAAGTATGTCAACTATAAAATATCAGTAATAACAAAGTATTGATGATGATAGAGCTGGAGACTAACAATAATAGTGGAAAACTCATTTTAAGCAACAAATTATTCCTAAAAAGATGCCTATAAATATATATTTTTAAAAAATCAAAACATTTTAAATGAAAGGGGTTGGAGGAGGTAGGAGAATCTTATCATACTGTGTGATTTTCTATAGTACCTTCTGTTTTCATAGCAAGAATAAAACCTCAGAATAAGTTTCATATAAAAAAGTATATAAGATTTATTTAACAAGGTAAGTTTTCCCAATTGTAATTTAAATCCTACTGCTTTTCTAGACACACTTTCATGGAATCTTTAGGGTGTTCTACATATAAGATCATGTCATCTGAGAACAAAGATAAATTTACTTTTTCCTTTCCAATTTTATTTCTTTTTCTTGCCTAAGTGCTCTGGCTAGGACTTCCAGTACTATGTTGAATAGAATGGGTAAGAGAGGGTATCCTTTCCTGTTCCTGATCTCAGCAGAAAACCTTTCAGTTTTCCATCATCGAGCTATCATATAAGGCATTGATTATGTTGAGGTAAGGTAGTTTCCTTTAATTCCTACTTTGTTGAGTACTTCTATCATGAAAGAATGTTAAATTTTATCAAACACTTTTTCTGCATCAAGATGATCATGTGGTTTTTGTCCTCCATTCTGCTAATTTGAATAATCACATTGATAGATTTTTTTCATATCTTGAACTATTCTTGTATTTCAGAAATAAATCCCGCTTGGTCATGGTGTATAATTCTTTTAACGTGCTGTTGAATTAGGTCTACTAGTATTCTGTTGAAAATTTTTGCATCAATATTCATGAGGAATACTGGTCTACTACCTAGTAATATTTTTATAACTGCTAATGTCAGACCCTGGGAGGATTAGTGCTCACCTGCATTAAGTCTGTTTTGATGAACTGCATCTAGAAACAACCTCATTTCCTCTGCATCCTTACTTGGTACTTTATCAATAGACAAGAAGCTGTTATCTTGTAGAGTTAACATTAGGCGGCTTTGTTTTGCTCCACTGGGTCGAAGCACCACATTTTTAATGTTATGACTTAGCTGATCAACACAAAAGGAAAAGTATCATTAAAAACGAATTATAATGAAGCAGAAAAAGTTGTATAATGAATACTAAACTTTATACTTTCTAAGTTACACATTTCTTACTTTCTCCCATATTAATTTAGTTATGTTTTTTTCCCCCCAACCAGAAAGAGTTTCCGTTTTTGACACATTTAAATCAAAGACTTCAGTTCTAGGAGAGGCAAACACATACTATTAAAATTTTACACAGTAATCCTAACACTTGATTTTTTTGGTAGGGAACTGCATATTTTCAAGTATAGTTATAAAGTTATAAAAACTAATAAGTTAATTTACAGAGCCTTGATGGTTATACCATCACCAGTTTAGAAAGCCATATTGGATTAGAGGCTTTTTCTTTCTTTTTTTTTTTTTTTAAACAAAAGCTTATAAAATATCTAGCAGGTGGTTTAAGCAGCTGCAATATAAAAGGATATACTAATCCAAACTGTAATCCTCAAAAGAATTCCACTTCTTAAAAACACATCAACATAAACCTTTACCAGCATTAGAACATTCTTTTTTTCTTTTTTAACTGTCTAAGCAGGTTCATTTAACTTTCAATCACAAAGATCATAAGTACCCTGGAACTCCCTTAGCTTACTTCTCCCACTCCCCAGAACTGGTTCAATAACTTGTCTTATACTCTTCCAGACTCTGGATATGTGCTATTAAGTGATAACTTTTGTTTTCTCTTGGTTGAAATTTTTCCAAGACTAAACTAATAAATCTTGCACTTTTTTAATCTAAATAATTCCTGCCAACCAGGCATCCTTATTCTCTAACATTCTCCCTCAGCAGGCATATTACAGAGGTTTCTAAAGCTGCCTTTTGCTGAAGAGAGAGCCTCTGAACAGCATGAAGAAAGAAGTAATAGCATTTCACAATTTTTTTTAATTAGGGAGAACTGACCTTTGACAATTTTTAGATAAGAATGAAAAATGAGTTTTACCAGCCTTAATTTATTTATTTCAAACTTAAATGACATTTTTTAAGCTTCAAAGTTGGTCTTAAATTCATGTCCTTGAGTAGAAATTCTATCATAAAACACAATAACTAGTTTCAGATGCTTTAACTCCAAAATATTTAAATCAGCAGTTTACCGTGCAAAAAGGAAAAGAGACTGCATAAAACCATTATTTCAGTCAATATGAGAATAATCTTGAACTTTATCATTTCAACAACTGAAAAATTCTAGCTAGTCATACAATTTTAGTTACTACCCATATGGTGAGGCCTCTCAGCCTTTTCTTTAAGTCCAGATCTCTGCCGGATCTCCAGTTTTTTTTACCAAATGCTTAGTAGATACCACTATCTGAATGCCTGACACCTCAGAAAACTCATCTCTCCCAATCCTCATGCCCCAATTCTTCCCCTCTGTCCCCTATCAAAGAGAAGATGAAAGGGACTGCCATCCACTCAAACCTAGGAATCTCCCCAGACTCTTCTCTCTCACCCCCCAAATCTAATGAATTAAATCTTCTTGAAATCTCTTCAAATCTACTCTTTTCTCCACTTGCTTCTCCCACTGTCTTTTCCATCGCTCAGGACTTTCATTTCTCATCTAAACTCCCACAATAACCTCTTACACGTCCTTATTCTCCCACTAGCTCTTGAAACAAAGTCATCCGCCTAGCTGTCAAATGAATTTAAACTTAAGATTCTTGGCTCCTTAGTATCTAAGTTCCCCTTAGTATGACAAACAAGATGCTTCAAGATCTGGTTCCTATCTAGCTCTTCAGCCTCTACTTCTGCCATTCACTCCCTACTGTGCATTTATTTTAAAATAATTTTCTGGTTCCCTGAGTGTTGACTCACAGTAGCATGTTTGTCCATTATAGAAATCACCTTACCTCCACTGTGTCTGGCAAATTCCTATCTATCCTCTAAATCCTCAGAGCACAAAACACTTCCTTCTTTGTGCTACCTCAGTATCTCTGAGATAATTTTACAGCTGAGAATGTATCTGGTTACTCTTAAGTTTGAGAAGAAAAAGTGTCTCATTCAGCTCTGTATTCTTAGCCCTTAGCACAGTACCCACCACGGTAATCTGTAGGTGGTTGACAAATGAATGCTGAATGCAAATTCATCTAGAACTGAGATGAAGGTGTAATCACAGGTAGATTCCTCATGCTTCTAAAGATCTATGTTTGTTTAAGTATTTAAATATTTACTCAGTGCTAATTTGGGATGAGGACTGAAAGACTGAACCTCTATTTGAAAAAAATCTTTCTTTCATTGAGATGGGCAATTAGTAGATATATACACGTGGTAGAAACTATCGTTTCTATTACCCATGTCACCATCTCCAATCTATTTAAGAATATCTTTGATACATAAAATCATAATCAATGTATTTCCATAGTTTAAAAGCAAAGATAAATAGAAATTTTACTTCAGCTCTGGTTCTCAAGCATAAAGTTTTATAAATTGTTCTTCAAAAGAGTACTTTAGAATGAATATTATACTTTTATATAATCTAATTAACAAATATAGCATTTTTAAGTGCAGAAAAATGTAAGTAAGACATTAAATTCAACTCTTATCAACACAAGTAGTTCTTGGCTGCACAAGACAGAAGTAAAAACAACATTAACTATCTCTTGCAGTGAAAAAATGAGATCCTTCAAAAGTTAACAGTTAGAAGAAAACAGCTGTAAGGATGACCTTGAATAATCATCCTTGAACGGTCTACACCACAACCTTTGGCAGGATTATTTATGAAGAAGTAATTTAGAAGACACTAATGAGTCTTATTAAAAGCTAACACTAAAAAAAAAAAACAACGAAACTGAGTTATTTGTAGTGAGGTGGATGGACCTAGAGTCTGTCATACAGAGTGAAAGTAAGTCAGAAAGAGAAAAACAAATACCGTATGCTAACACATATATATGGAATCTTAAAAAAAAAAAATGGTACTGATGAACCTAGCTGCAGGGCAGGAATAAAGATGTAGACATGGTAAATGGACTTGAGGACACAGGATGGGAGGGCGAAGCTGGGGTGAAGTGAGAGTAAGCATCAACATGTATACACTACCGAATGTAAGTTAGCTGGTGGGAAGCAGCAGCATAGCACAGGGAGATCGGCTTGGTGCTTTGCGATGACCTAGAAGGGTGGGATAGGGAGTATGGGAGGGAGGCTCAAAAGGGAGGGCATATGGGGACATGTGTATGCATATGGCTGATTCGCTTTGTTGTGCAACAGAAACTAACACAGTATTGTGAAGCAATTATACTCCAATAAAGATCTATTAAAAAAATAAAAATAAACTCAATACTGCAAGGATACATCAGTCAGGGAAATTTTTTCTTGACCCGGCTGGTCCAGAACATAATCATCAGTGAGGCTTTTTGCAGTCAAATACTGTGGTTGTAAATGTGGATTTTTTCCTCACATAAGAATATTATCTAATCCTTTATAAGATGTTATCAAGTGTATTGTCTCACTATTATTTTGTGTTAGTCAGTTACCTGGGTTAATTACATATTACACAAAATTCACTTCTTTATAGCTGCCTTCCATTTTACTACTTAATGGTATACATCATCTCATATTACAGCAGTATTAGGAATTCATTTGCTAGCTCTTTCTCTCTAATCCAACTTCTGCACAGTGGAATGGTGCTTAGGACCCTCACCAGAAGATGTACAGTGGCAAAGTTGAGTTTTGTTTTTGTTGGTATAGTCAGTTAGCTAGTTTATCAATGTTTATTGAGGGCCCACTATACACCCACCACTGTGCTAGGTTCTGGAACTAACCAGAAAGATAAAACCTAGACCTTCAAGGTGTTCATCTTCTAGGCCAGACATGGAACAGAAGCCATACTGAGCCAGGGCTCTCTTAGGTGGCCGACACTTAACTAATCTGTGGTCTCCATTCCCTCTGCAAATGTAAAGACAAGGTCCACAACATGCTGCGTGATCACAGCCAGTAGTGGCTACTCTAGCAGGCCTGCACCCTGCCACTCTCACCAGTGGAGTTGTCTGCTCACCAAAAGCCAATCTGTTTGTTCCCAAAGCTGTTTATGCTAGTTCTTCCTATCACTGTAATTACACAATTTAATTAAAGTTACTTAAAGTAAAGAAATATGAGTGCAAAAGAGATAAGTTGTTTCTTTAAGATCCAAGTTGAATGTCTGGGAAAGGCACATTAAAGGTGAGTTACGGGCTTCCCTGGTGGCGCAGTGGTTGAGAGTCCGCCTGCCGATGCAGGGGACGTGGGTTCATGCCCCGGTCCGGGAAGATCCCACATGCCGCGGAGCGGCTGGGCCCGTGAGCCATGGCCGCTGAGCCTGTGCGTCCGGAGCCTCTGCTCCGCAACGGGAAAGGCCACAACAGTGAGAGGCCCGCATACCGCAAAAAAAAAAAAAAAAAAAAAAAAGGTGAGTTACTAAAAATGTACTGTCAACTTAGGTGTGGGAGACCCAACTGTAAAACATCATTAAATCTGGAAAAATCTGATTGCCTCACAAAATGTCTTTAAGATCTCACTCCACTTTAAAGAAACTGAGACAAAATGACTGTGCAACCCCTGGACGTGTGGCTTATATGAGAAGTAGGATGCAAAGCACTAATGGGAGGCCCTAAATTCAAAAGACAGGCCTTAGCCCTACATCAAAAACTTGAGGGATGTTTTAAGTTAAAGGCTTAAGGAATGATTCAAAAAAAAAAAAAAAAAAGCTAACACTAAATGGTGATGAATTTATCATATATGTTGAGGGGGGAAAAATAACTGAAGTTATCCTAATGTGGTTTTAAACATAGCTTAGATAGAGAGTACCCAAACTCAGTTCCTTTCAGCTTCCTCCCACCAGTTTTCTTTTCAATAATGGTGACTACTTCCTACTCTTTATTATACACCATCAACAATTTTGCTGAATAATTTATAATATATATACCTAATAGTATTAGTGTCCTGGAGATAAGAAGCAAGAAATAGTAATCTAGGAGGGCTACCATGATACTTAGTATGGCACAGAACAGCTATTCACTAAAGGATGTGATTGAAGATCTATTCCAAATCAAAATTTGGTAATACCTGAAATATCCTTGGAATTCCTCCAGTATTGTAGTGAACTACTAGGCTGACTTTATTCTCTTTTTCCACAACTTCAAAGGATCCTTCTTTCCATTTTGTAATCCCAGTCTGCATACTTCGAATTCTGATAGGACCATGTATCTTCAGAGGAGACATACTTTCTTAAAAATAAATTGCTTCTAGCCAAATTAAAAAGAAAAAAATATACCTTCACCTGACAGATTCTAAGGAAGAAAAATAAAATAAAATAATAAGTTACAATTTACTAGTTTGAAAGAGAACATTTAATGAACCATCTTATGTCCTTTTCTCCATTTCAATAAACTACCTCTTAGTAAGTATCCTCAAAGGCTTTGGTTAGCTGGATGGCACAGGTAAGAAAAACAAATGAAGCAGTCACTGACATTCAGTGACTGAATTTACCCACCTTTTATTTTTTCTGCACATGTTCTCTCCTTTGCCGTGTACCCGTGTCCATTAGTGCCTAAATTTTGCATCTTGTACCATTAACAGCCATACTGCTGCCACTAAAGGCAAGACAATCAGGAATACTAAAGATTCCATTCTCAGTGTGAGTGCCCATGGCAATACGAGCAACTTTTACCTTCCTTCATGATGCTAAAGGATCTTGAATTTCAAATATAAGTAAAAAAATATTTTCAGTCAGCTGACTCCATTTGTTAGAATTGAGTTCCTAGCAAAACATCAAATCATATCACCAAATAATTCTTTCTACCAGTTGGCAGTCTATGCATATCCATATGTGAATAAATAATAAATAACTGTGAGAATAATGAGTAATTAATTGTGAGAATAATCAAATTAGTTTAAATGAATAAATAATTGTGAGAATAATCAAATTAGTTTAACCTAAAGAATTATATTACTTGAGAAAATCATTTATTCTCTAGGGAAAACAGCCTAACAAAAAAAAAACCCTGTTCCTAAGATCCACCTACCATTTACGCTTAATATTACCATCCTTGGAAAGAATATTTACCAATTTTATCTTTGACAAATATTCAAATTTCCCAAGTGAACTTCTGATACTTACAGAAATGATAGAATGTCTAAGACTCTTCAAACCAGCTTACCAGATGTCAGCAAGTAAATACAATTATAGTAACAGCAAAAAATGTTATCAAATAGTGCGTGTGTTACACACATACACACATATATGCAATCATCTAAAATTAAAACAAAACTTATACTGTAGCCTTCAAATCTCTAAAAACATTGCCTCTAATACAGATTCTTGCTTATAATTTAATAAATTAAAAATCATTAAACTTTGCCTCTGCCTAAACAGCTCAACTAGAAAAGCTAAAAGTAGTAGTATAAGTACAAAGGAAAAGCATACTAGATCTAGATATCAAGAGCCAGCTCTGTCACTTACTAATTTGTAACTTACCTTTCCTAACAACTAGTTTTCTCAACTGTAAAACAGGAATATGAAAATGCTGTAGTGGTGCAATATTAAATGAAATAACACACATTAAGCACTCAACAGGGAGCAGCTTCAATATGAATGGAATTACTGTCCACTTTCTGAATTTATTCCCTGTCTGCAACACCTCTTTATCCAAAGATCCCAGACAAATAACTTGTTAACAAGGGTCACCAACTCACTGCCTATAGAGGCCAGGTAGGTGACACAAATGATTTAGGCAGCCAGAATATGAAAACTGCTACTCAAATCTAGCCAGTTTTGCCATGTAGAAACAGTGAACCTAGCATTGCCAGATCATCTAATTCTTCAAGAAAATGACATCCAAATTTTCTGTCAACTGCCCATTTTAAATTGTGGGCAATGAATTCAAACTTATTTTTTAAAGCCACAAATCAAACAAAACCCACCTGTAGGTAGAATACAGCCTGGGGAATACTAGTTCAAGGCCTCTAGGTGCTGTACATCAAACAGCTAAGAATAACTTTAAAGAGAGATATGAAAACACTTTGAATAGTTAAAGGTATTATGCATTGTAAGTCCTCTATTATTACTCACTCATCTCATCAAATTTTTTGAGTGCCTAATTGTGGCCAGATTCAGATAGTATAATTGGCTGGGTGTATGAATCCATCAAAGTAATAGAGGCCACTACTGTTTACAGACCTGTTAATGTGACATTTTGCTCAAACTAGTAACTACAAAATCTGGGCCAGCAATGTGTTTGTAATGCTTTTTTTACAATTAATAATTTGGTGCTTCATCATTTAGATATAGCCTTGAGATTTTTTCCACTCTGTTTCTCAGCACTGCCAAGAATATGTGGCCCCTCTCCTACTCCAGTTGCCCATGCCAGAAACATGAGTTATCTTTGACTTCTCTCTTGACGATTATTGGTATTGGACTGGAAATGGAAGGTAAGGTTGTCATTTCTACTTCCATATACCTTCCAGACATCTTTATAGTGAACTTCAGGTCAAATCACATCACTCTCTTCAATATCATTCAACAGCTCCCCAATGCCCTCACAATTAAATCTAGACTCATTAACATGGCATAAACACTCTTCATGATCCAGGCCCTGCTTACCTCTCTATCCCCAAGAAACCCTCCAAATCCAGCCATCTGAACTACCTACAATTTCCCTAAAAAAGGCATATGTTCTCAAGCCATTGTACCTTTGCACACACTGTGGTCTACGTCTGCAGGATTTTTACTTACTCTACCCATCCCCGACCACCCCCCTTTCTTTCTTCTCCTGGCTATAAAATCAAAACTCAATTTAGATATTATTTTCTCTAAGAAGGCTTTCCTAGCTATCTTTCACTTTTTCTCTCACCCCATATCCACACTGACAGCATTGAATGCTTTTCTCTTCTGTTGTACCCTGTGCTTACCTCTAGTAGAGCATTTACCATATTGTATTATAAACTGTCTATTTACCTCTTTGTCTCTCTCTAGCTAGACTTTGCTGTTTGAAGACAGGGAATATGTTCTCTAGTCTTTGCATCCCCACTAGGACAGTGTCTGGCACACAAGAAACAAACTCATTATTCAAGAATAATGAACAAATCAGCACTATCAACTTTATTCGATTTACTGTTAAAATATGCAGCAGCAGATACCAGAACCAAAAATCCCTTTTATATGGCTGATATAGGATTATGTTTACTAAGCTCTCTACAAGAGTATCACTCTGTACTGTATACCTCATCTTCTGAATACTACATATAGGCTTTTTCTATGTGCATCTGAATTTCTCCTAAATGCAAAGCTGTCCACATATCTTGTTAAGATTCAATGAGAGAAAATTCATTTATGAAAAACAAGAATATGCAGTTACAGAATGCATTATTAAAACAAAAAACATTAGTAAACTTGCCTAAACTGGGATTCATATAATTTATTGTTCAATGAAGAAACTCCACTTAAAGAAAGAGGTTTATCAAATTACCTCATCTTTCCTTATGTCAGGGTGCCAAATTAAAAGCGAATAACATAAAACCCAATTATCTTAGTGCTTTCCTTAAAGACCAAAACACAAGTAAAGGACATTGACCTTGAATTCCTCCAACAAAAACATATTTTTAAAAATTAGATTATTTAACAAGATTTGGAGGTGAAGATTTGAAAGTTCAATAAAAAAAACTTTATTGGTTACTTCTGTTTCCCTCTATATAATTCTCTCTATATGTAATACATGATTTCTCTAGATATAATTCTCAAACATTTTGATGCAGAGTTTTGGTTTGTATAAAATTTTACATCAGATATTGAACATTTTCTTAACCATTTCTACTAGCAATCTCTCTTTCTTCTACGAGAAAAAATCTAAAAGGTACAGGACATAAAATTGGCAGAATCAAAAAGATTTTTTTCTTAATGCCTCAAGCCAGTCCATTATCTGCTCTTGCACTAAATGAATTAACTATATTTACTTTTGTACAATGATCATATTATCAGGGTTTGCCCTACTTGGTGAAGAGAAAGAACACTAAGTTTCCTTTTTGGTATCTAGCATGATCCAGTAACAGTTAAACTTTCTATGAACCTAGGACAAAGACAAGGTTTCAGTGAACTCTGCAATGCTAATTCACTATCAAAGCAATATAAGGAAGACAAAGTACAAGAAAAACCAATTATTCTTTAAGTACATCCAAAGAGATTCCCCATTCCCTAAATTTCTTCACTATTGTTAAAATTACTGTTCAATTTTGAGCAGTCTATGAAAGTTCAATCAACAACACTGGCAAAAATGTTTCTATACCCTCTACAGTTATTTAAATGCTCATATTTTAGGTACTTCTTTGAAAACATTCTTATCCAGAGGGTATTCTGTGGTTTAAGAAAGCATGCTAAAGCACAAAACTATTACTACAAAATAGAAGAAACTGTCAATTCTTGCCAGTTTGCATACTCTTGGAAACATATAACCAAAATAAAAACATTACTTACTTTTCAGTGACTTTTACTGAAAAACCCTACGTAATAACAATTCACCTTTATTCTGATCCTTGTGCCAAAGGCAATGCGCTCTTCTTGGGGAACTACTCATATTCTGCAGCTATGCCAGTTCTCCGGGAGCCATCAACTCAGCTAAAGAAAATATAAGTGTGCCTTTTTTTAAAAAAATTCATTTACAAAATTAAAATTTTTAAAAAGTGATCATTTATACAACAAAAATTAACCATTTGACTACTTAAAAACCACAAATTACTTTATAGAAAACATTTAATGCTCAAGATACACATATACACACACACACATAACCAACAGAACTCTAGGGATATATCTGCTGTGGAAAACAAGGGACTCCAGGAGCACGCACCTGCGTCAATTTGTGTCTTGTTTAGTTTACTCCTGCTACATTTTGAAACTAAGAAGGCAATGAAAAAAAGAGTATATCCTTTGTTGACTTTATAAACATTGTTACATAACTGGATGTCTTAAATCTTAAAATACCACTTCCATGATGTGTTGATACAAATTTCAAAAGGTGGGTAAACTTGGCTTTTACTTTTCTTTCAAAACTATCTTCATGGGCTTGTTTCCCAAATTTAGGCCTCTCAAAGCCTCAACTTTCCCTGAAGCTCTACCTAAACATTTCTCACTGTCTTCTTGAATACTATAACATCAACTTTAAACTCCTTTGTTCACTTGGTAAAAATCATTTATTGAGCTACTCCAATCTGTTGGCACTGTGTTAGGG